ATACATTTAGGTGTTTGAAGTGGGATTAGGCATGTAAAGCATTTTGATTAAATGCAAAGTTGATGTAATTTTGAGATCACATCTAAAGGATAACAAATACCCAAAGGCAAATGAAAACTTATAAAAATTGTGAGTGACACTCTTCTAAGTGGTTAAGGGCAATGGCAATAATGGTTCTTCTGCTCTTAGCCACTTTCATGATCTACATGGCTCTTCCTCGCCCTTCTTGACACTCCCAGAAGTGGGAGCTCTCTACTAGTCTTGTCACTACTACAGGCCACTCAACTGCTATGGACAATACCTCCTCTCAGCCTTGGCTGTACAGCAGTGCAAGCCACTTCCACCACTGCATTCCCAGAGCTCGTAGCAGCATTGTCGTAGCACAATTAGTTCGTCACAAAGTAGCATCATGTATCCTCTCTACTACACGCTAGTGATGGTATGATTAAGACTAAAGTAAAATAAAAAAATTTATTGTTTATAACTTGGTATTAGAGCTAACTTTTATTAGTGGTCAAATATATCACCATTTGATATTGATATCAGAAGGTCCTAAGAGTGGGTCTATCCTCAAAGAGTAATATATTAAGAGGGCATAGTTCTCAATTTTAATTCATATGTGAACATGTAAGCAATGTTGTGGATAAAGAAAGGGCTTATAAGGGAATGACTTTAAGATCTTACAAATAGTAAAAAGTTTTTCTTAGAAAGTTAATGATGTGATCTATATAAGCATTTAACTTAGGAAATTGATTGATGTGGTTGTGGTAAACTACAATTGGGATCATGAGAATGATAAAAATTCCTAGACAATGAAGGAATTATAAAATTATCCTTATATAGTTAAGGATGGTGCTCAATAGTTTGAAATTAAAGTTAATGTCCATGGAAAGTTAAATATGGACAAAGATATATATTCTTGAAATGGTAGCTAGAGCTACCTTTAATAAATGCTGGAACAATACAAAGATTGAGGTGTACTTAAAGGATGAGTTAACATTTTCATGACATGGAAAGATAGTTTTAAAGAGCAAAGGTAGTCCATATGGAATAAAGGATAATTAACAGAGTAACACTTGCAAGAATGGTCTTTCTAAATAGAATATAATACAAAATGTTGCATTCAAGTATAGTGGCACCTCAAGGTAACCATAAGACTAAAATCTTATAAGTCATCACACTTGCACAATCCAAAAGTTAAATGGCTTAGTGAAGTCAAGGGATAACTCTAAAGGCTTGAAAGAAACATATTGAGAGTGAAGTGTATTATGCACAATCATGCATTGGGAGGAATATAAAATTTAAGTATGAGATCAGTGAGTATTGTATTGATAGCAAAAGGTGCTATATTAAAGTCATGAAAAAGTGTTTACAAAAGAGAATAACTTTTGTGAAGAGATACGTGTAAAAATGATGGTGAAGTATCAACTAATAATTAATATAAGAAATGATAAATATAATCTTGATAAAAGACATAAATACAAGTGAAATATATTGTAAAAGCAAGCTTATAAAACTAATGGTGTAGACACATTAAATATCTCAAAGGAAGATGCCTTGAGGTTAAATTAGCTTATTTATTAGAACCTTTCACCAAATGAAATGGAATTAACATAACTTAAGTTGGAAGGTATAAAATTTGTGTGTTTTGTCCAAATAATGATGGAGGTGTGGAAGCATCAGCTATAAGTTATAAAATATATAACTATAAAGTAACTAAAAAAAAAGTTTTGATTAATTGGATGGAATTGTAGTACATGTGATCATAGGATGATATTTAGATATACTATCACCATAGATCTTTGGAACCTTAGGAGATAAATAAGAATAAAATAACCATTAAAAGCTCTTTCATCAAATAATTGCCCTTTTCCAATTAACTTAAGGGAATAAAGATAAAATGTGTTATAAGAATAGTGAGAGCTAACTTTCTGAAACTTCTTGTCGGGATAGAGAAAGAGGCTAAAAACATCTTTTAAAGGGCAAAATTATCTTAGAGGGAAGTAGGCATCCTTGCATAGAAGCTCAAGATGACATGAAGTTCATTCCAAATGATTGTCATCTGGTATTTATGCTTAGACCTCCTCCATGTCTATATGTTCTAATTATTTCTTTATAATGCAGATTCAAGGGAGCTGGATTCAAATCATCACTAGGCTAAATATGGGAGGCAAATCAACATATATCCATCAGGTGAGATTGAGTGTTTCTTGCTTCTTACTCTGATATAGTTTATTTTATTTAGATTGGTGTGAATATCTTGATGGCTCAATTGGCTCAGCATCTTCACCTGGGTTGGAGCAGGTGACTGCCAGGTAAACCCTTGACTTATAATGGATTTGGTTCGCATTTGCTAACTGCAAGGTTTTCTAGTGCTCTGTAACGCTCTTTAAACAATGGCAGGTCTGGCTTGGGCTATCTGTGAGTACATAGTGGATGTGACTAGAGCACCAACTCTATTTGCAATGCACTTCCACAAGCTCTGTCCATTTCTCATCGTCAAGGTCCATTAGCTCATGGTCGCAGCAAAGGTCCTCCTATAGGAATCTCCAACTTTCATTTGAGCGCACACATAGATCCTAGTTCCCAAAAGGTCACAATGGTTTACAAGGTACTTGTGTTTCTTCCTTTCTAATTCGAGATCTGGTCCATGAGTTCTTTCCCAAGTTGAAGATGGCCCTTTCGACCAGAGCTTCGGCATACATGTTACAGAATTTGCTCGATTTCCAGAATGTGTCGTCACACTTGCCAAGCAAAAGGCTGCGGAGCTCGAAGACTTCTCACCACTGGCGATTCTGAAGGACGAAGGTGACGCTGGAAGCAAGACCAAGCAGCAGCGGGGACAAAGGCTGGAAATTCCCCAAAGGCTTTGCTGCGGATCAGATGAGCTGAACATGGTCAAAGCCGAATAGTCGCAATTTACGAGTGGTTTAAAAAGTCAAAGATTCGATCACGTTTTCTATACGAATTTTGACTCTTACATTGTCGCTACTCGCTATTTAACATTGGAAAAGAAATTTACAAAGATTCCTTGCTGGCGGTATACAACAGCAGGGCTTCAACAATTGAGGAGCAGAAAGTAACAATGCTTTGGGCAGTCGCGCTCTTCCTCATCACAGCTTTCATTCTCAAGCACTGGCTCTCCAGCAAATCTTTCAATCTTCCGCCAGGCCCAAGAGGATTGCCACTCATCGGCCACTTCCATCTCCTGGGCAGGCTCCCACACATCTCACTCCAGCAGCTCTCCAAGAGATATGGACCCCTCTTTCACTTGCGCCTGGGATCAGTCCCTGTGTTCGTGGTCTCCAGTCCAGAAATGGCCAAGGAGTTTCTCAAGAACCACGACACGGAATTCGCCTATAGGCCTCGGAACAACGCGGTCTCCATAGTCATGGATTGCCGGAGCATGTCTTTCTCGCCATATGGAGACTACTGGAAGAAGCTGAGGAAGCTCTGTGCCACGGAGATATTCACGGCCAAGAGGGTGAGTATGAACACGCAGATCATCCGGGACGAGCTGTGGGAGCTCAGTGGTGAGCTCTTGAGAGCTTCTAAGGCTGGCCAAGTTGTGGGAGTGAGACCACACTTGAGGGCGCTCAGCTTCAACGTCATGACTCGCATTCTGATGAAGAAGACGTACTTTGGATCCAAGGCCTCAGGCGATCCCGCTATTGCGAAGGAGGCCTCGAATTTCATAGCGATGATTGATGAGATCCTCGAGGTGGGAGCGGCTTTCTCGATCACTGACTATTTCCCCTACTTGAGCTGGCTCGACTTGGTTGCCCGCCGTGCAAAGGTGGCCGGGGATAAGATGAATGGCTTCTTGCAAAAGGTTTTGGACGAGCAGCGCCCTGGTGAGGTTCCCGATTTCGTGGAGATCACAAGGTCTCACATTGGAAACGATGCAGGCAATCTCAGAGCTCTACTCATGGTAATTTACGAATCCATGATTTTCTGTGTGGAACTTACTTGATTGTTCTGTGATCTTGATAGGATCTACTGCTTGGTGGATCTGAAACATCATCCACCGTGACAGAGTGGGCTCTGGCAGAACTTCTTCACCACCCAGATTGGATGGTCAAAGCTCAGCAAGAGATTGAGAGTGTTGTTGGACGCACACGCATGGTCGAAGAGGGAGACATATCCAAGCTCGAGGTTTTGAATGCCATCATCAAGGAAAGCTTTCGTCTCCACCCTCCCATTGCTTTGCTCGTACCACACGCATCCATTGAGGCCCAGAAAGTTGCTGGATATGACATCCCCAAGAACGCAACGCTGCTTGTGAACGTCTACGCAATTGGAAGAGACCCTCAAGTCTGGAGTGATCCTCTGGAGTTCCAACCTCAGAGATTCATTGGCAGCAACATCGGTGTCAGCGGCCAAGACTTTGAGCTACTTCCATTCGGATCTGGAAAGCGGTCTTGCCCAGGGCTTGCTCTGGGTCTTAGGAACGTCCAGCTTGTTCTTTCCAATCTTCTTCATGGATTCGAGTGGGAGTTTCCTGGCAGTCCGAAAGATCAGCCCATGGGTGAAGCTATGGGTATTGTAAACTTCATGGCACACACTCTCAAAGCCAGGATCACTCCCAGGCTCCACGAAAGTGCGTACACCACTCTCCAGTTGACTGAATAGCGTAGCAATTTGATCTTTATTCGTATATAAAATGGTAGAATATGCATTGACGTTGTAACGGGCTAAGGTGACACTGGTGATAACGGTGTCTAGTTTGGTCGAGCCCTAACCGAGTGCTGACGTGGCAAGTGGGCGAGCGAGGGTTCTTGGTTCGAGAGGCAGGATGGAAAGAGAGAAGTGTGGGCGCTGGAGGTGAGCGCACGGGGTGTTCTGTTGTGTGTTCTAGTAGTTCAGAGGTGGATCTCTCTTGGTTTCTCTGGTTTCTTTGCTAGTGTCCATGAATGGACTGTTTGACCGCTACAACGTGGCACCTAAAAGTCTTTTGGTATATTCTACTCATATTCATTTCATAACCTATGGCGGGAAATTTCTTAACCTAAGGGCGGGAGCGATGGTCGCGCCGGCGGTGGATTTGCTGCGGAATCCACTGGGCGCCGTGCGAGGCGTCTTCTCCATTGCAGCCATGGCCGCTTCTCCTGCTCCAGCCGCAACTTTGGAGCTCTCGGGGGGCGACTGGGGCGTCAAGGGAGTCTTCGACAAGTTCTTGTACGAAGAAGGCGCCATTGCTCAGGTTTGCTTTCTTCTTTTTACTTCTTAGCCGGGCTGGAATTGAATGCCGCTGCTAGGTTCCTCACATTGGCGATTTGGCTCGTGATTCTATTCCTTCTGGCTCGCTGGTTCGCTTCCGGGGAATGGTACATTTTTCCGAAAAAAATTGTTTGCAAACTTTTTATCTATGTTTCTTACAGATCCAAGATATGTTCGATGTGGAATACTATGTTGGCGCTTACAAGGTAATGCTCTTTCTCTTGAGTTTTTTATTTTTCAAGGTCCTCTATCGTGATTTATGTTACAGGATTGCAATACTTGGCAAACAAACAAGTACACCGACAGCCCAGTTCCGCAAGATACCGAGCAGCAAATCTGGGATCGACGGCTGTTTATTGCGTTCCAGTAAGTTTTCACTTTCTCAGGGCTTTCAACTTTTCTTTGAGTGTTTGTAGATCCCTGGTGAAAATCAATGGATGAAAAATAGATGGCATTCAAATGCTGTACAACCGGATGCAACTAGCCAGAGCTTGAAGCGCAAACGTGAGAAAGTTTTTTATGCGTTTAAATGGATATTCTTATCATATTTTTCTTTTTGCAGAGCATGGACTGTGACTCTCCAACGAAAGAGCAGAACTCGTGCCTCGTCAAGGTCGAGAATTCCGTTTTCTTTTTTCTGAGACTTAACCACTGCCTTTTTTCTGCCAGATTTACGATGGAAATGATGGGGACTTGAAGTTGAATGACATCGCAGAGTTTGTTGGTATCGTATGGAAAGAATCGGAACTGGTTTCTAGCTCGACTTCTGATTCATCAGCTTTTGCTGAATCCTTGATGAAAGATGACACCTCCTTGCAGTTACCGTCCAGCACGGTAAGAAGCTCATTTCCATTACCTCTCTGACTTTGATATCTCAAGGTTCCTCGACTTCACTGTATTACCATGAGAAAACTTTCAGCTTACAGTATTCCTAGTCAGCCGGGTGCTTTGGCGGATATATGCTCCGTGAGGGAATCTCTTCTTTGTAAATTACAATCTGTTCTCGGTGAGGACAGACTCGCCGCAGAATATTTACTCTTGCATCTTCTGTCAAAGGTATGCACAATTTAAGGTGTTTTTCTTGGTGTTATTCTGACTGTGATGCTCAGGTTTATAGCCGTGTAGAGCCCTTGGCTGTTGGGAAGTTTTCTCTCAACTTTAGCGGGTGTCAAGCTGGTGCCGATGGTTCCGTATCACTCGTTACCTCTGCAGTCGGGCACGCGATATCAGTACTTCGTCCCTGTTCACAAGTGGTGCCGCTGTCACTCCAGGACTTGAACTCCTGTCTGATCGCTCCACGAAAAGATTATGCCACCAATCGGTACGCTTCTTTTGTTTTCTCTTTTCATTCCGGTCTCACTTGCTATAGTTTCATGTATAGATTGGTTACCGGTGGTTTACAACTAGCAAGCGGCACGCATCTTACGTTAGACGAGACTGCTTTGAACACAGGAAGGCTGAACGAAACCGGTGTCAAGAATTTGCAGAGCTTGAAGAGCGTCATGGAGTCTCAGAAAGTAAGTCTTGTCTTGCTCATCTCTTACGTGGTATGCTGATGTTTTCGTTCGTTTCAAAAGGTCGACTACGATTTCCAGTATTATCAGATGGAAATGCCGACAGATTTGCCCGTGTTGGTGGTTTCTTGCGGCAAATCGAGGATTTTACCAGCTGATGCGCTCGTACCTTTAAGGTGCAGCGCGGAAGCGGCACGTATCCATGCAGAAGCATCGGACTTGTCGAAATGGCGTATTTATTTGAGCAGTGCGCGGGAGGCCGACCACGTTATCGAGCCTTCAATGCAGAAGGTATTCTTTTCTCCAGTGTCTTTCTCCTTCCCGAGTTCTAACTGTTGGCTGCCAGATTCTGGAGGAAGATCTTGTGGCCGCACGCCAGAAGGATAGAACTGTAGGATCTGAAACGTTTCACAGGTATAGCTCTCCTTACTCCGAGTCGAGAGTAACAAAATCCTTGTTTCTCTTTGTGCGTAGATGGTTAACAATGGCTCGCCTGTTATCCTTGAGCTATGGCGAACGAAGCTTGACGAGGGAGAGATGGGAGATGATGAAGGAACTCGAAATGAGGTGTGCCGCGAGATTAAGAGAAACTACAGCGTAACAATTCCTAAGAATGGACCTTTGTGGAGTTCAAATGATCATCATTAACATCCTTCTGGAGCTCAATTAGATAAAAAAAAAAAGATAGAATCTTTATCTTTACCATTTAAAATTTAGGTTTTCGAGTTTAGTTAGCAGTAACCTTTTCCTTTTGCCTCTTCTATATAAACTTGCAACAAAGGTTTTTGGGGAGATGAGGATTTTAGTGTTCGTGCTTGCAATCTTGGCTCTCTGCGCGTGTGTGTTTGGAAGGTCAATTCCTCAGCTTAGGACCATTTATATGGGAGATTCAATCTTTGATGTAGGAACTAACAAATACGTGAAAAACTCAGTTTCGCGTTGTGACTTTGTTCCATATGGGGAAACACAGTATGCCAAACCATCTGGGAGGTGTAGTGATGGATTCATCATCCCAGATCTGATAAACAAGGCCCTGGGTTTGCCCTTTTCCAGGCCATTCCTGGGTTTGAAAGCTGAGAGCCAAGTTTTTCCTAGTATCAACTTTACATCTGATGGTAGTGGATTACTCGACTCGACTTATTCGGACTGGGGTGTCGTGCCATTTAGTGAGCAGCTAAAACAACTCAGGGAATTCTCCATGAAGATCTCCAAGAAGAATCTCAATGACTTTGTTGTTGTGATCTCTTCTGGTGGAAATGATATCGCAGCAAATCTTCAAAACATTATGGATGTGGACTTGGAAGGGATGTTAATGTCATTAGAGAAAGGTTTGCAACAACTTTACGAGTATGGTTTTAGGAAGATCATCTATTCAAGCGTTGGGCCGCTAGGATGCTCACCTATTGTTACTTCAGGAGGAAATTGCGTGAGTGAAATCAATAATTTGGTAGAGCAATTCAACACACAGGCTCGGGGGATTGTTCTAAGGGCAGCAGAAAGATTACCAGGGATGAGAAGTGCATTCATAGATGGTTACTCACCAATTAAATCTTTTGTGGAGAACCCAATCCAATTTGGATTCAAGAACGCAGGAGGTTGTTGCCCTAATTGCCTCTCACATGAAAATACATTGAGCGGTCTGTGCAAGAATCCAAGTGATTATGTCTTTTGGGATATGATACATCCCACAGAGCACACATACACTCTCATTGCTAAAGAATTCATAGAGCAGATGAAAAGAGTGTTATAAAATTACCAAAACAAAAATGTTTTGTTATTCCTAAGCTATTATAATTTTTCATTTATTTTTTATATTTATTTTGCAAATAAAAAGAATTCAACCATATTTGAATATGAAACCTTCAGTTTATGTAAACCTTCATGTTAGGAATTGTGGTCGTCTCCTTCTAACCCCAGAGTTCGATCTCCACTTCCGCAGAAAGAAACGGATGATCAATTGTGCTGCATCTTGTTGAACGCGTGGGACTCCAAGGTACTGCCGATGCTTGACTTGGATGACAATCCAACGACTGAGTCCATTTGGGATTCGGAAGACTCAAAGATCATCGAGCAAGAATGCTTCAGGGACGTGTGGAAGCTCAAGGTGGAGCCTTTTCCAGTGTGAGGGAAGACAGGCTGCTTTGGTGCTTGGGAACCTGGTTTCCTCCTCTACGTTCTGGCGCTGCTGCTCAAGGAAAAGCAGAAGGTACTGCTGCTGGCCAGAGGGGGATCTCTCTATTACTTCCTGCCGGATGGTAATGGAAGATACCGAGTCTTGCAAGACTATCAGGACGTATGTGGAAGTGGAACTTGAGGTAGATTCGGATATATGTTTCTTGGTGGACATGGAGCTGAAAAACATCCCTCTTTTCATCAGCAAGGCACTCTTGGTAAGCAGCCCAACGAGAGAAAACTACAAGGACTACCAAAAGGACACGAAACGCAGGACTTTCTATCTCTCCGTATGGTCGAGCAATGAGCTGAGCCCTCTCCAGAAAGAAGTCCTCCCTGACAAAGATCTGGAGGCCTCAAGACGGGCAATCCGAGAGAAGTCTTCCGTCGCTGGAACCTTGGAGTCCATCACCAATTGGGTGGGAGACGTGATACTGAGGAGCTACTATACAGGATGTTTTACACGAGTGCCTCCAGTACATCAGTGTCTCCAGTTACAAGACGGCCAGAGGCGGCTGATCTTCACAAAACTGCATGGGCATCAGTTGCTCCAAGGTTTCATTATGTGCCAGAGACATGACTTTGAAGATCTGAAGGCTGGAGTGGTGAGCGAGCATTTCAGGCGGTCGACATAGGACCCGTCGTCGAAAGATCAAGATTTGTGAGGTGTTTGCGGGCAAGGGTGGCTCAGCTTGTGAAGAAAGGTTGTGTCCGGCATTTGATCCACTTTCAGGTCGTCCAGATACCATGCCTTGCTCAACCTGGCGAAGTTGAAGAATTCCAGATACGATGCGCTAGAGAATCCCATTGACAGCATGTACACAGAACGAAAGGTGGTGGCAGTTTTACAGGTTTTCCATCTCGTCCAACTCAAAGTGATGCAGAAGTTTGGAGCTGACAGTGTTGAGTTCTACATGGTCACTCAAAGTCAGTATTGGCTGGGATGCGGAGGTCCCAGTCGGATCGTAGATAGTGTTGGGCGACACACAGATATTCTTTTCTAAAATAGTTTCCGAGAAAACGTTTTTGGTGGTTTTTAATTTCTCCAAAAGTGTACATATGTTTTGTAGAAAGTATCCTCGACGGTTTGACAAGGTTGTGATTTGTCACCCCGGGACGTCATCGTCAACGCTGGTGGTTCTCTATGCATACACTTCGATAGTTGACCGTCCAAAAAGGAGTGACATGCAACTTGACGCTTCCCCTTGTCAGATGGGCTGTCGTGAAACTCGATCGGGGCAGACTGGCTGTGCACTTTGGTGCGGATTTGGCACTCGAACTCAAGAGCCGTATTAACATGTCGTCTCGACATGACACCAAGTCTTGGGAGCGTGGAACCTGGAATCTTTTTCCTATGCTGACAGGAACGTCCCGCATCTTCCGAGACTTGAAACTCTTCAAGCTTGAGCGACTTGAGCGAGGGATTGAGCGAGCTGAGTACCTGGGGAGTAACTGGAGCGTGGAGGGAGGCAGAGGCTCAATTGCATTGCATTCATAAAGTCTTATACTTTTCCATACTATTCAGCTTTCAATTTGATTTAGCACAATGTTCTAAAACAGTTAAAACTCTTTTTGGGCTAATTGAATATGCATATTTATGTATTCCTTTTCTATATTCTATACATTCACAATATGAACACTGGACTCTGAATCCGCCAAAACATTGCAAACTTTTTGTTCCTCTTACAATTATTGGGACATTACCCTTTTTACCGGTTTAGGGCACAATTAGGGCTCCTATTTCCAAGGGAATGTTTGGGAGGAAAGGAGCACAGCTGTGCGTCGAGCTCTTGCACACGGAGGAAGATCAGCTGTCGCGGTTCAATGTGAGCTTCTAGATGGCCTAGATTTGCTCTGCTTATACCGGCATTCTTGTAGAATGATCTCTTCGAGCAGGTTTTGAACGAGACGAGCGAGCATTTCGAGCAGCTCGAGGCCAGATTGACGTAAGTGAGGCGATTTTCTGGCATTTCGCGTTTGCCTCTCGATTCCTCTATTGTCTGATCTGTGAGAATTTAGACAGGAAAATGCATGAAGAAGGATTGGACGCTCAAACCACCAAGAATGCGGACTTTTATGGAGGATTAACGCATCACACGAGCATTCTTCGTAATAAGCGATGCCTTCTAGCTTACATGTTTGTGCTTCTCTCTCCGTTCTTTTTTCTTTTTTCTTGGTTTCTTTTTCGTTCTTGAGTCCTAAATTGTCTTCCATTTTATTCTTTCCAGCTACCATCGAGCTCAAACGGTTCAGAGACTACGATGGCAACTTGGTGCTGTGCTTCCAGATGATATCCAGAGCAAGCTGAGCTACTCGGAAAATAATTATTTCAAGCAGTATTCAGATTCTCTGGGGGTTTATATGTCGAGCATTGATCTTGATCTTTCAGTGGTATGTTTTTTCATGTTTATCTGGAAGCCTTTTTCTTACTATTTCATTTATCGTATGCAGGATTTGTCACCACCAAAAGATCCTTACATTCAAGTGAAAGTTTTGGAGAACGTCGGAAATGTGTACTTAGACGATCAGTCAACGTCGCTGCTTCGGAACTCGATACATTTGATTAAACGATCAGAAGCAGAACCATTGATTTCGCAGGTAAGACTCTTATGCCTTTAGATTCTTTGATCCTCAATAGATTTTTTATTCTGCAGGGTCTCTTGGAAGAATTTATTGACTAGTGTTTGCATTGATTCTGGGACGCTGAGATGCTTCCCGGCTAGTGATTCTTGTTTATATGAGACCGCTGAGGGGCAAGCACATTGCTTTCCAAAAACCAGGAATCTTTCTACGCTGTCATGGAAGTTCCTCTCGCTCTGAGTGGCAGTGTAAGCTGCTTGCGCGCCTTGACAATGGTTCTCCAGCCACTCTTGCCGATATCATATGCGAATGTGGCCAACACAGAGCCCTTCAACAGGGAAAGCTGGTTCACGCACATATATCGCGGCAAGGATTGGACGGAGGCACATTTCTAGGCAACAGGCTCATTGAGATGTATCTCAAGTGTGGTTCTGTAGCTGATGCTCGACGAACACTCTACAGTATGCAAGGGCAGACAGTAGTAACTTGGACCGTGAACATGGCAGCTTTCTCACAGCATGGTTACTGCAAGGAAGCTATCCGGTTACTCAGAGAGATGCAGCTACGTGGTTTCCAAGTCGACAGGGTGGCCTTCGTCACAGCTCTCGGTTCGTGCACTACTTGCGGATCTCTCGTAGATGGGAAGCAAATCCACGCTAACTTGGTGGAGTATGGACTGGAAAGGAACGGCAGGGTGGGCAGTGCGCTCGTAAACATGTATGGAAAATGCGGGGACTTGGACGCTGCCTCAGAAGTCTTTGGTAAGCTCGATCCTTTGCATGTAGCGGCCTGGTCTGCGTTGCTTGGAGCTTATGCTAACTCTGAAAACGACGCTGTGCAGGCTTTGGAACTCTACAAGAGAATGCAGCTGGAAGGTGTTCGTCCGGACAGCGTTACGTTTGTCACCTGTCTCAAAGCCTGCACTGTCGAGGGAGCCTTGGGAGATGGCAGAAAAGTTCACGCTCATATACGCGAGTTGGGGCTGGAGACCGACATTTATGCGGCAAATGCTCTCATCAACATGTATGGAAAGTGTAGAAGCCCCGAAGACGCCTTCCAGCTCTTCAGCAGGATGGAGAGTCCAAACGTGGTTTCCTGGACGTCCGTCATCGGGAACTTTGCGCAGTATGGTCACCTGGGAAGAGAATCCGTGTTACTGTTCCGGAAGATGGAGCTCGAAGGGATCCGTCCGAACTTGATCACCATGGTGGCCGTGCTGAGAGCTTGCAACTTAACAGATGGGAGACAGGTCCATGGATATGTTTTGGAAGCTGGAATGAGTTTGGATACCTCGCTGGGAAATGCTCTCGTGGACATGTACTGCAAGACCGGGGGTGTTGACGAAGCCGATGTAGTGCTCCGTGAGATGCCCAAGCGGGACGTGATTTCCTGGAACATTATGATATCGGGGTATGCTCAGAGTGGAGACTGCAAGGAAGGACTGAGATGCCTTTGGCGAATGCAGCAAGATGGGCTTTCGCCAACCAAGGTGACTTACGCTACGTTGCTCAACGCGTGCTCGAGCGAAGAAGACTTGGGCGAAGGCAAGTCTATCCATCGCAGCGTTGTCGACATGGGACTCGACCGGGACGAGGTTGTCAAGAGTTTCCTGCTGGGGATGTATGGAAAGTGTGGCAGCCTTGAAGACGTGAAGCGAAGTTCCTGTGAAGTTCACGAGAGGAACACCATCGCCTGGAACACAATAATCGGAGCCTATGCTCGGTACAGCGATCACTTCCAGGCTTTGCGGAGCTTCCAGCAGATGCAGCTCGAAGGCGTCAAGGCAGACGCGGTAACGTTCGTTCTCATGCTTGGGACTTGCAGCAGTCCAGCACACTTGGCTCAGGGGATCCTGCTGCACGACTGGATCTCCCAGCTTGGATTCGAGTCCATCATCGTCCACAACTCTCTCACAGCGATGTACGCAAAGTGTGGCTCCCTGGACGCCGCACGAAAGATGTTCGAGGAGATGCCGTCACGGAACAGCGTGTCGTGGAACTCACTGATGTCGGCCGCGATTCAGCACGGCTGCCATGCCGACGCTCACAAGTTTTTTCAGAGGATGAAGCTGGAAGGCTCGAGACCAGACGAAGTTACGTGCATCAGCATGCTCGACGCTTGCACGAAGCAAGCAAATGCCAAAGAAGGGAGCAGCATCCACCAGATGGTCGTGGAGAGCGGCTTCGACAAGAGGACCGGCGTTGCAAACGCGCTCATCTTCATGTACGCGAAGCTTGGCGATCACGAAGCAGCGAGAAACGTCTTCGATGCCATGGCCGAGAGGAACACCGTCTCCTGGAACACCATCCTCGCGGCTTACGTTGAGAAGGGCCTCAACCGGGACGCGGTGGAGATGTTTTGGAAGATGGACGTGGCTCGAGACAAAGTCACGTACGTTGCTGCTCTAGACGCGTGCTCTGGCCTCGCGGGAGGCCTCGCTCACGGCAAACTCATCCACGGCTACATGCTCGATCACGGCTTCTCCAACCGGCTCGACACGGTAGCAGCCACGGCGCTCGTCAACATGTATGGAAAGTGTGGCAGCCTCCAAGAAGCGCGGAAGATCTTCGACGGGATGCTTCACAGGGACGTGGTGACTTGGACGAGCTTGATCGTGGCCTACGCGCAGCACAGCGAGATCGAGCAGGCGCTCAAGCTGGTGAAGATCATGGAACAGGAGGGAGTGAAAGTCGACGACGTTGTGTTCTTGAGCATCCTCTCGGGCTGCGACCACTCGGGCCTCCTCGAGGAGGGGTGCAAGTACTTCGTCTCCATGATCGATGACTATGGCATCAGTCCCCGGCTGGAGCACTACAACTGCATCATCGACGTGCTGGGACGAGCTGGGCATTTGGATCTCGCCGAGAAGCTCGTGGATCGTCTCCCGTCTCGATCGGATAGCAAAGTCTGGATGACTTTGCTTGCAGCGTGCCGGATGCATGGGAATCCGGAGAGGGGGAAGCGTGCTGCTCGTCGGATCACGCTGCTGGATCCATCCATCCCGGCTGCTTACGTTGTTTTGTCCAACATCTACACACAGACTCAAGCTTCTTGATACATGGTTTTAAAAGATGGTAACATTTTTCAATCGCCCTTTAGAAAAGGTCTCACGAAAAGGAAAAATAGGCTGAGGACTATAAAGGGGACAAACAATGTTAGGGTAGAACAATTCTCCTTTTATTTCTAACTTTGTTTATGGATACAGAAGACGATTATGTTCCCATTCGAAAGCGCAGGTTTGCCAAGCAACAACGTTTGCTACAAAGGAAGTCACAGAAGATCGAAGGCCAAAAGAAGGAAGAACCCAAGTCATGCGCTCCTCTCTCTCTGCTGGAGAAAGCATCACTCCTCCAGCACGAGAAGCAACAGGAAGGAAGACCTTTGCGCCCAAGTGAAGAGCTCCAAAGGCAAGAAAAGGATATGCTAGATAGATTGAACGACGAGAAGAGAATGCTACTGCCGGTGAGCGAGATTAGTAAGGGGATCAAGTATACCGAGCCCATGCACACGGGATGGACGCCACCTTCGCATGTTTCCGAAATGGGCGCAGTAGAGATCGAGGCGATTCGGAACAAGCTGCATATCCTGGTTGAAGGTGAGGACGTGCCACCGCCAATTCGGAGCTTCAAGGACATGGGTCTCCCGAAATCAGTCTTGAGAAAACTTAAGGAGAAGGGTGTGAAACACCCAACACCAATCCAGGTTCAGGGTCTTCCAGCGATCTTGTCCGGGAGAGACATGATCGGGGTGGCATTCACAGGCTCTGGGAAGACTCTTGCGTTTGTTTTGCCGCTGATTATGTTGGCTCTCGAGGAAGAGGAGAAGTCGAGGCTGAAAGGTGGCGAAGGGCCGGTAGGGTTGATCCTGTGCCCCTCCCGTGAGCTTGCGAAGCAGACTTTGGACGTGATCGAGGAGTTCGTGTCGGTGGTGAACTCGTCTCGTTGCTGCCACTTGAGGGCAATGCTGTGTATCGGGGGAACTGACATGAGGTCTCAGCTGGAGGCGATAAGGAGAGGAGTGCATATCGTCGTGGCGACTACAGGGCGACTTAACGACATGCTAGAGAAGAAGAAGATGAATTTGGAGCGATGCAAGTATCTGACTCTAGACGAGGCGGACAGGCTCTGCGACTCAGGATTCGAGGACGACATCCGAAAGGTGATGGATCACCTCAAGTTTCAGCGCCAGACGCTGCTCTTCTCGGCAACCATGCCCCGGAAGATCCAGGAGTTTGCGAGGGGCGCTCTTGTCAAGCCCGTGGTGGTGAACGTTGCCAGGGCCGGAGCTGCATCTCTGGATGTTGTCCAACAAGTGGAGTACGTGAAACAGGAGGCCAAGATGGTCTATCTCCTCGAGTGCTTGCAGCAGACGCCACCGCCTGTGCTCATCTTCTGCGAGAGCAAAGGCGACGTTGATAGCATCTACGAGTACCTGGTGCTCAAAGGCGTGGAAGTTGTGTCGATTCACGGTGGCAAGGATCAGGAGGAGAGGCAAGACGCAATTACTAAGTTCAAGCAAGGACGCAAAGATGTCCTGGTTGCAACTGATGTTGCTTCCAAGGGACTCGACTTCCCAAGCATCCAGCATGTCATCAACTATGACATGCCTAGCGAGATTGAGAACTATGTTCACCGGATCGGAAGGACTGGGAGGTGTGGAAAGACAGGTATCGCCACCACCTTTATCAACAGCAAGCAGAGCGAGAGCACGCTCTTGGATCTGAAGTATTTGCTGCGGGAAGCGAAACAGAAAGTTCCTGCGTTCTTGGAATCGCTCGAGGACCCCAGCACATCCATGGTAGAGGTTGGTGGTGTTAGAGGATGTGTTTACTGTGGGGGACTTGGCCATCGCATGGGAGACTGCCCAAAGCTTGATCAGCAAAAGAGCAGGGACATAGCTAGAAGAAGGCACACCAATTATGATAGATGAGAATTGTTGCTAATTGTATTTATAAGTAAATAAAATATAACAAGAAAAACTCCAAAAAAAAAACTCAACAGTGTTCCCATCTAAAATTACATAAATTGTCTGATCTGTGACAACGAGAACTTTGTAACCAACAATACCTGTCACAAACTGTTCTTTCTAAAATCTTCTTTTGTCTTCAAATCTTTGACTCTCCTCATTTACATTTCCATTGTATTTGGCATTATAATAGTTTAAGACACAAGGCATAAAGTATTTCATCTTAGCCATATATTTGAGGGGATTTTAGCTTCAAAGCTGCTGATTTGAGAATAGACGAGAAATAAACTTCTTATTAGCATTATCGAGTTCTCCCATATATAATACAACTTAAATTTTTTAGAAAACGTTCTATGGAATTTCTTAAAGGCAATTTTCCTCTTTCTAGTTCTATCTACGATCAGAAAGATGAACACTTTAAAGTATATAGCCTAGAAGATCACGATCGTGTGTGTTGATCAACCAAGCCAAGACAATCGTTAGAATCCTAGAGCGACTACATTTGTCTCACCTTCTCGCCCCAGTAGCGACTTGTTTGATCCAAGACAGGGACCTCGCGAGGGTGAATCGCCATGACCAAGCACGATATCGTGGCTTGAAACATCCGGTGTTGGAGAGGGCGAAGATGGAAGAAGAACAATTGGTCGTGACATGGAGCCACGCTCTCAAAAACCTGCCCTACGTCGGAGTAAATAAGTATCTCTTTTTAAAACTATTTAGTGTAACGTAAGATTTTGCCCTAAGTCAGCTTAGAATATACCACTTGCCACGATAGCAGACACGTAGATATCTTTACTCTGCGTGTAGTGCCACGTATGATCTCTCTGGCTCTGGGGCCTAGGTTTGACCAAAGAGAGGCGAGAGGGAGAGAGCTACTGTTCGCTCTTTCGATCGTGTCTCAGCTATCTACGCACGACCAGGGCGCACTGCGCGGCCCGAGTATCCAGCTTTGACATTCCGGCATTCTTGCGCGTCATGGATCGATCGCCTCCTCTCCTTCTTCTTGATCGCTTCCTGTGATCTTCCAGCGGCAATGCCGGGGATTTCTCCTGACGAGTGATAGGCTAGGAGCATCGGTTGGGAGAGCGGCTCGAGCAGGGAAAGCAAAATGGGGAAGAAGGTCTGGAGCGTCGCCAGGAGCGTTCTTGGATTGCGAATGTGTTCTTGGACATTCCCGGCCGATTCCGAGGGCTTTCCATCCGACGAAGAATGGGATTTCCAAGGCCGGCCGGCAACGCCGGCACGATCATCCATCAAGGTATGCTTCTTAGAGCTAGATCCAAAGCTCTCCTCTGGATTAGAAGCATTCCTCCTTTTCGATCGAGAAGATATTTATCATAGTTTTCTTCTTTCTAGTCGAGTCGAGCTGTGGGTAGCGTTCTTAGTTGTCTCTCTCTCTTCTCTTTTTTCGCGATCTTTGATCGTTCTTTGTGTGATTCCTTGCAGAGTTCTTGCCCGATCTGCCTGGAAGCTATCAAAACCGGGGTTGGACAGGCACTCTTCACAGCCGAGTGCTCGCACACCTTCCACTTCTCGTGCATTGCGTCCAACGTGAAGCACGGCAACATGGTGTGTCCCGTGTGTCGATCCCGGTGGAAGGAAGTTCCATGGCACGGCCCTCTTCCAGACACGAACAAGCCCAAGAGATCCTCGACCCCGCCGCCGCCACTCATCATCCCACCACCATCGCCGCTGCCAAGTTTCAACGAGCTTCTCCGCCAAGAACAACAACAACAACACGAGGAACAGGACCCCGTCATACGAATCATTGACGAGTCGATCGCAAACGCCAATGCCACTCAAGAAATCAGTCGAGCGTCGCCACCCTCGAGGCAACAGCAGCAGCAGCATCAAGTCATAGAACCTCTCGTTTACGACGATGACGAAGCTCTCGCCAACCAAGGCTCTTGCGACGATGAGTTTCCAGAAAATGTGACTTCGTCCGAGCAAAGATCCAAGCTCGAGCTCAGCGCTTACGCAGAAGTTGGCAGCGTGTCATTCTCGGAGCAGCGGAACAGTTTCAACGTCCTGGTTCACGTCAAAGCTCCGGAGCTTCTCGATTCCGGGACAGAACCAGCAGTCTTGGATCGAGCGCCGATCGATCTAGTGACAGTCCTGGACGTGAGCGGAAGCATGGCAGGGACAAAGCTCTTGCTCCTCAAGCGAGCAATGGCGTTTGTGATCCGCAACTTAAGCTCCCGGGACCGTCTCTCGGTGGTGGTGTTTTCCTCGTCGGCAAAGAGGCTCTTCCCGCTCAAGACTATGGTGGAGGAAGGCCGGCAGTTCGCGCTGCGAGCAGTGGAGACGTTGGTTTGCACCGGAGGAACGAACATTGCCGAGGGGCTGCGCAAAGGATCGAAAGTTTTGGAAGAGAGGCAGCACAAGAATCCAGTCGCGAGTATAATGCTGCTCTCCGACGGACATGACACTTACTCGCTGGGAACTCGGGGCCAGGTTTTCAACTCCTCTCCAAGCTCCAGCTTCCACCGTCACAAGCTACTGTCACGACGATTGAGCAACACCGGACAGATATCGCCACGCATTCCAGTCCACACTTTCGGATTCGGAGCTGATCACGACGCTGCGACCATGCACTCCATTTCTCAAGTCTCGGGAGGAACCTTCTCGTTTATCCAGGCAGAAGGTGGCGTCCAGGACGCTTTTGCTCAGTGCGTCGGGGGACTTCTAAGCGTTGTCGTCCAGGACGTTCAGCTGGTAGTCTCCACGAACGTTGGAGGATGTGAAGCCGGAGGGTCTCGGATAACGAGCGTTCATGCTGGCAGCTACAGGAGCTCGGTCGTGGAGGATTCGTCACGAGCAACCGTGAAGCTGGGGGATCTCTATGCCGACGAGGAACGAGACGTTCTTCTGGAGATTAGGCTCCCGGCACTCAACTTCAGCCTCAAGGAACAGTTTATCCTCGAAGCTAGGTGCTCTTTCACCGATCCAGTGCGTGGAGAGAAGCTTCACACTGCGTCCCGGAAGCTCTCGATCGCTCGTCCGGATTTCGTGAGCGCCAACCGGCAACATGTTAGCGTGGAAGTTGATCGACAAAGGAACCGGCTGCTGGCAGCAAAGACGATCTCCGAGGCTGGTTTTTTGGCAGATTCCGGTGACATCGAGGCAGCTCAGACGTGTCTTCGAGCAACTCAGCAGCTAATCCAAGCCTCGCTTTCGTTGCAAGGTGGTGACAAACTCTCCAAGGCGCTTGAGTCCGAGCTTGGAGAAATCCAGGAGAGGATTGGAAACAGGCAGCTCTACGAGAGAAGTGGTCGAGCATACATTCTCTCGGCTCAAAGCTCGCATTTCTCACAGCGAGCCACGACGAGAGGATACTCATACAATCGAGACTATCAGACGCCTTCCATGACTGGAATGATTCTACGCTCGCAGCAACATCCGGGCTACAGTAGCTCACCTCTTAGGAGCTAACTATCCAATGGAGGCGAAATTTATATTTCTCCAACAGATGCATGTCCTCGGTTTGAGATTGACGAGGTACGTTGTCTACAAGATACTTTCTCGTATTCTTTTCCTTCTCTAATGGTTAGAGAAAATTTTACAGGCCAAGCTAGTCTCTCTAGCAAAACTTTGGCTCGGCGACAGGAAAACAAAGGGATACGATAGAAAAAAGTGTCAGCTAGAGTATCAGGGTTCCAGGGATTTGTGATGGATCGGATCGGCTCCAGAGGGAACTTGCCTCTCGGGTTGGATGGCATTGAGCTGCTTGCTGGAAGGATCGTCCTTGAAAGTTCGAGGTGGGATAGAACGAGCTGCTGGGATAGCATTTATGGAAGAAGTTGCTGGACCAGATTGAGAAGAATCCTTGGAAGAAGTTGCTGCTGGAACTGAGATAGAATCCTTGGAAGAAGAAGAAGGAACTGGGATAGAATCCTTGGACGAAAAAGCTGCTGCTGGAACTGGGATAGGATCCTTGGAAAAAGAAGCTGCTCCTGGAACTGGGATAGAATTCTTGGAAGAAGAAGCTGCTGGTGGAAATGGGATGGAGTCCTTGGAAGAAGATGAAGTTACTGGGATGGATTGAGATCGATGCGTCAAGACATCGTGGTGAGGCTTGCCGACGGCCGAGTTCCAGCACGCAACGAAGTCCTTGAGGCGCTGGAATGGATCTTCCGGTCCAGTGGGAACTTCTCGCTCGAGGTGGTGATTGCCGGAGGGTGGCGCAGGGATCCCGACGCCGAATTCTTTGCGGCAAGCCGCCTGACTGATCGAGTTTTGGTACTGCTTTGGATCCGAGGGGCCGGAAGGAATGAGCCTCTCCGGCTGTTCCTCGCGATCGCGGAGAAGAAGTTTACGCGAAGTTCCTGGATCTGGCAACGAAAAAACCAACGAAAGTTAAGATCGATACTGGGCGATCGAGAGTGGAGGGAGCTGCTGCTTACCTCGAGATTCCAGAGCGTAGCAGCATAGCAAAGCCATGAAGAAGAAAAGGATGAGCGAGTGGAGCTCTAGCGCCATGGAAGGAGAGATTGATGGATAGTGGTATGTTAGCGATCGATCTGGGCTGAGATGCCATCGCGCTGGATTTAAATGGTGGCCAGCCGGAATTTCCGTTGCATGGAGAGCATGGGAGGGTGTTAAACGGTAACGAAACGCTCGCCACAGTGGGGAGATTGTGAAAGCAAGATGCGCCGCCTCGCCGGATTAGTTATAGCAGTTTTATAAAGGAAGGGAATGTTTAGCGCGCGCCCAAGAACCCTAAAATTAAAACACTTTTGCGCGCCAAATTTTAACTTTGTGGATTTTAGGGTTACTTGGTTTTAGGGTTCTTGGAGCTTGGTGCGAGGGGCGCCTGGCTCCATGCTCTTGCGGCGCGCTCTTCTCAGGCGATACAGGACGATTCCCAGCTTGCGCGAGGTAGGAGGTGTGAGGAGGAAGAATGCCGCTGGGCGGCGCAATCAGGGTGCGTCAGGGCAGCAGGACCCGATCGGGGTCTACGATCAGCTCCGCGGGGATGGAATCATGCCCAGCAATGCCGTGATTCTTGCGGCGTTGAAGGCGTGTACCAGCGCCAGGGATTTGGCCACAGGGATCAGGATCTTGGGCGAGATTCTGGAAGAGCACGGCAGCGATGGGAATGGAGAAGAGAAGAAAGGCTTGCACATCTTTGTGGCCAACACGGTGCTAGACATGTTCGCCAAGTGCGGTAGTCTGGATCGCGCTCGTGAGTTCTTCGAGAAGATGCCGAATCGCACAGTCTCGTCGTGGAACACGATGATTATGGGATTTGTCCAGGCCGATCAAGGGGAGTTGGCTCTCGAGTTCTTCGCCGAGATGCAAGAGAAAGGCTTCGTTCCGGACCCTCGGACGTTCGTTGCGGCTTTGAAAGCCTGCACAAGCCTGGCTCTCAAGGAGCAAGCCAAGCAGGTGGATGGAAATCTCGTCAAGGTGGAAAGTTTGAAGAGAGGAGCGGCTTTACACTCCGAGCTCGCCAGCCGAGGCCACGAAACCAACATCTACGTTTCAAGCACACTGGTGGACATGTACTCCAAGTGTGGCAGCATGGTCCAGACGAAGAGGGTCTTCGATCGAATGCAAAGGCACGACGTTGTGTCATGGAACGCGATCATCACCGGGTACGCACAATCTGGAGATGCCAATGAGGCTTTTAATCTCTTCTCTGCCATGCAGGAAAGAGGCTTCCAGCCCGACGCGAGAACTTTTGTCGCTGCGCTCAACGCATGCTCGACCTTAGCAGCGGCGGATCCGAGAACAAAGCTACGAGAGATTTGCCTGGAGAGAGGCCGAGCCATCCACGCTCAGCTCTCGAGTAGCGGATACGAGCATGACATCTTTGTCGCCAACACGCTGCTGGACATGTATGCCAAGTGTGGCAGCGTTCGTGAGGCAAGGAGAGTATTCGACTGCATGGAAAAGCGGGACTTGGTGACTTGGAACTCGATTATCATGGGATACGCAGCTTGTGGAGATGGAGAGACTGCTCTCCGGCTCTTCACTAGGATGCAAGACCAAGCAGGACTGGTGCCCGACTCAAGAACTTTTGTAGCTGCCATCAACGCTTGCACGGCTATAGCAGCCAGAGAAGATGCCACGGAAGTGGGAGGAAGGCATGTCAAGGCAGAGAGTTTAGAAAGAGCCCGGAGAATCCACTCGCAGGTTTCGAAGAGCAGCTGCGAACTGGATATGTTCGTCGCGAGCAGCCTCGTCGACATGTATGCGAAGTGTCGAAGCATGGAAGATGCGGGCAAGGTTTTCAACAGGATGCCTCGACACGACTTAGTTTCCTGGACAGCAATGATCTGGGGGCATGCTGAGAGTGGAGATGGCGACTTTGCTCTCTCCTCGTTTGCTCGAATGCAAGAGGAAGGCTTTGTTCCCGACGGGAGAACTTACGTCACGGCAGTGAACGCTTGCACGAGTCTAGCGGCCAAGGAAACTGGCAAGCAGGTTGACGGAAGAATAGTAAAAGCTGAGAGTTTGAAGAAGGGACTGGAGATCCACACCCAACTTCGCAAAGCTGGCTATGAATCCGACATGATCGTCGCCAACAATCTTCTCGACATGTACGTGAAGTGCGGAAGCGTGCCCGATGCTCGGCAGCTGTTTGAGAGGATGAAGCTCCGAGACGTTGTTTCGTGGACGACGATGATTTGGGGGTGTGCTCAGAGTGGAGAGGCCGACTTGGCTCTCCAGTACTACGCTCGCATCCGAGAGGAGAAGCTGGTTCCAGTTACGCCTCCAATCTTCGTAGCAGCGCTCAAGGCCTGTGGAAGATTGCCCGACTTGGAGGCCGGGAAGAACGTCCACGACGAGATTCGCAAGGCCGGCCTCGAGAACGATCGGCTCGTGGTGAATTCTCTCGTGGCTTTCTACGGGAGGTGTGGAAGCATGGTGGAAGCACAGCAAGTTTTCGACGCTTCCACGGCAAGAGACTTGGTAACTTGGAGCACTCTCATGGCCGGATACAGCCACCAATGCGACGCAAAGCAGGCTTTTGAGCTGTTCGAGAGGATGCGAAGGGAAAACGTGAGGCCGGACACGATCACTTTCGTCCACCTCCTATCACTCTGCAGCCATGCCGGCCTGGTCGACGAAGGCAAGCTCTACTTTGAGATGATGAGCCGGGAGTTCTCGATAGCTCCGCTGCTGGAACACTACACCTGCATGGTGGATCTCCTGGGTCGAGCCAATCAGCTGGAGAAGGCCGTGGAGATGCTGGAGACGATGCCTTTCAAGCCGGACACGACGGTGTGGATGTCCGTGCTCGCCGCGAGCCGGAAGTGGAGCAACGTGAGAGTTGGGAGGCTTGCTTTCGACTCGGTGGTGAGCCTGGACGACAAAGACGCTGGAGCCTACTCGCTCATGGCAAGCATCTACGCGAGCGCGGGGATGTGGGAGGAGAGTGGCGAGATCCGGAGCTTGAGAAGGGCTGCTCGAGCTTGGAAGAAGCCGGGGCAAAGCTGGTGGATCGATGGAGCTGGGACAGTGCACAGGTTCTCGGCGGGAGACTCGAGCCATCCTCAGGCGGAAGAGATCTCCGCGAGGCTCAAAGCAGTGACTTTGAGGATGAAGGAGGAGGGGGGATACGTTCCAGACACGAAGAGCGTCGTGCACGACATATCCGAGGAGGAGAAAGAGTCGGCATTGTGTGGACACAGCGAGAGGCTCGCCATAGCTTGCGCGCTTGTCAACTCGGTGGCCGGGACGGACATAAGGATCTCTAAGAATCTCCGGGTTTGCGAGGATTGTCACAGGGCGACGGCTGTGATCTCCAAGCTGGAGCGACGGACCATCGTGTGTAGAGACTCGAGTCGGTTTCATGTGTTTAGAGATGGAGCGTGCTCCTGTGGAGAATTTTGGTAAAGAGCTTAGGCGATAAAAATATTTTTGAAACATCCATGTACATCGTCAAACAGTAGATTTTGTTAGAGCAGTGCACTGAATGGATGAGTTCTCCATTAATCCTCGATGAACTTCTTTCAAACACTTCCTAAAATGCTCTCTCACATTCTAAAAAATATTATGAATTTAATTTTAGTTGAAGAATGATTTATAATGGTTTAATTTAACTTGTTCACAAAAATAACCATTATTTAAGGTATTTCATTTATTTTTGGTTTTTTTTTGCAATATTGGATCCTCTTTTGTAGAGCTCTTGCAAAAGGATCTTATATAAATTCAAAATAATATTTGAGTTTTGAATTTAGAATATATTGTATTCTGAAGTCTAGTTCAGTATCAAACTATAATAATAATAATAGCTTTCAATCTCTAAATTGTATAAACTATTAAAGATTTATTTAACTTAATTTCATTATTAAAAAAGGTTATATTTATATTTTAATTGTTCCAAATCTGAAGTAGATAAGGCTAAATCTATAAAATCCCATCAAATTTAAATTTAAAAGATTAACCTTTATTTATTTTGAGAGCACTTGAATTATTAAACTTTTATTTCAACCAAATTTAGATAGCAGGCATTTATATTTTTTAATACTCTTTTATGCAAAAAATTTTAAATTTATATATTTAAAATACTAATTTGAGATTGCCAAACTTTTACTAAATAATAAAAAATCAGTTTATTATTTGAATGATTTAGTATTAATATTTATAAATAAAATATTTATTGAAAAACAATAAAGCATTTTATCACGAAGTCCTGTTTAAGATCCCTACTTTGTAGCAATGTGCCTTTTTCAACTTCCATTCAATTTAAATGGAATTTAAGAACTTTCTATTGATTACAAACGAGTTTACAACCGCTTGGAATTTGGCGCCTCTTTTGCTTTCTTGACCTAAAGATGCCATGGCCGAGCATCCAGCAGGGGAGCATCAACCTCCATCGCCAGCGCCTCCAGCATTGGTAGCGGCGGCAGTGCCTCCCTCCTCATCCCACTCCTTGGGAACGCAAAGGAGCGTTCACGAGATTCTTGGAGGTGGCAAATGTGAGTGAATGTTTCTTTTCCCCCCCTGTTATATGTGTTGTTTCAGACGCCGATGTTCTCATGTGGAAGAAGAAGCATGTCACTGGCGGGATTTTGCTTGGAGCCACCGTTTCTTACGTCCTGTTTGAGTGGTGCGGCTACACACTTCTCTCCATCGCTTCAAATGCGCTCCTCTTCCTCGTCTTGATCTTGTTTACTTGGTCGAATCTCGCGGCCTTGCTCGACAAGTGAGTCTTTTCCTTTCACTGTGCTCTTCATTCTTTCGTTCTTCCAGGCCGCCACCACCGATTCCAGAGATACAACTCTCGGAGGAGATGGTCGAGAACATCGCTCAGACTCTTCGTCTGGAATTAAACCGAGCACTTGGAATAATTCATATGATCGCCCTGGGAAAAGATTTCATGCTCTGTGTCGAGGTAAATCCTTCTCTCTCTCCCTTTTTTTTTTCTCTTTCTCTTTCTTCTTCTTCCATATACTATAGTATTTTCGCTTTCTCTCTTTTTGGATCAAGTTGCGCTCCAAATCTCAATCCACTGTCTACAGGTTATAGCGGGCCTGTGGATCTTCTCTCTTGTCGGTGGCTGGTGCCACTTCCTGACGCTCCTTTATTTTGGTAATGTATTCCATTCCTCTCCTTTTCCTTCCAGCTTTTTTCGTACGCAAATCCTTGCGCTGTGCACGAAAGTTGCAAAGCTAAAAAACGTGCTTTGTCTCTCCTTTTGTATTTCCCAGTGGTGGTACTCGCTCACACGCTACCCCTCATCTATGACAAATACGAGGATGGCATTGATAAGTACCTGGAGATTGTTACCGCGCATCTGAAGAGCCAAACAAGTCGACGCCAAGTCTCTCCCCTCCAGAATTCCCCGAGCTAAAGTGCACTGATTCTCGCCGTGTTCCACTGCCAAAATTCCCCGGGTACGTGATATTCTTTTCGGAGAAATAGTCATTGTGCCGCTGATCGAGGCTCTTGCTTTCCAGTGAAGAGGACGCGACGCGATTCCTGGAAGCCAAAAAAAAAAAAAAAAAAGCCAAAAGAAATCTAACAGGTACTTAAAAAACTCATCCACAGGAACAGTGTGCTTAACACCCGGGTAACTCGCTCTCTCCTCCTGTCTGTCACTCAAGCTCTCACGTCGATGTTGCGGACTAAACTCAAACTCTTCTCTCTCTCTCTCTCTCTCTCTCTCTTTTCCAGTCAAATTCCGCGAGCTAGAGATGAACAAGTTGCAAGCTCGCCCCGCGTCTGTTCTTGCGTAAGTCGTAAGCCCGACATGTCGCTGCCAGAGATAATGCTGCAAACAACATACAAACACACCAAATCTTCACGAGAATCGCGTCTTACGAGCTTCCTCGAGCTTCACGATCAAGAGCAGAAAAAAAAACACACACACAACGAGAGAGAAGCTCTCAAGAGTAGAAAAGAAAACACCAAAAAAACGAGAGAGAAGTTCCGAGTGGTGGAAACTCTCGACACGAGCAAGTGCCGAGCCTTTGCATTGTCCAGGCGATGGGTGACAAAGCCCGCGTGGTTCCCATAACTCCGAGAATATTCGCGCCGTTCCCGGCGCATATTCTGCCAGTTTTTAAAAATTTAAAGGTTCCAGCGTGGCAGATCGGCCACGTCACCCCCGCTCTGCGCGCCATGTGTTTTGCCACACTCGTTCTGAAATCTCTTCGCGCCAACCAAACCCTTCCATATCCGAATATGTGCTTGGCGCAGGAATTCAGCACTGCAACCGATATAGAAACCTCAACACCAACCATGCGAAAATCAGCGGAACAGTGTAGTCTTTTTTATTGATTTCTCACTGAAATGAGCTATCGTATGAATTGATTGATGTTGTCTCTCTGATCCATCTGGAGAGCTCGTGTTGCGAATAGTTGTGTGTGTCAGCGCCCAATTCTTATGCCCCAAACTTTTGGCAAAACAAAAGCTATGTGTGTATGACTGGTCCATTGCACTTGAGAGATTCAGATCCATCCACACGGATCGAGTGGCCGACGTCGCTCCTCGTCGCCCCCAACTCAATCTATCCAATCGATCATTCGACCAAAATCAAAGCCCACGGGATGAATCAAGCAATCCATGCTTTGTTGTTCCCTTGCCAGCTTTTGCGATTCCATCAATTTTGCCCCCACGTAGCGAGATGTGGATGTTTTCTCGCTTAGACCAGCTTTTCAAAGAAGAGAGGCGATCGATCAGGCAGACAAGGTTTGGTTGCTTGTTGGATTCCGAAAACTTAAGGCGGGCCGATGTTGGTTGAGCTGGGCCTGTCGCCCGATTATTACAAGGCCTCGTGTGGTTGCCATTTGGTTAGATCACCGCTCGCTTGCCCATATCGATCCAGCCCTTCTGTAGTCTTCCTGGCACCAACTTTTCATGCATGATTTTACGTGGAATCTTGAACTAAACCCACCGCCACCTTTTCTCTCTCCTTGGAATGAATGAGGTGGCGATGGCGATAAGAGGGAGTAATAGCGGGGAAAGCAACCGAGGCATGGCCCCCCCTCTTTGGAGGGCCAGTGTCGCATTGTCCTTAAGACCGGGAACAGGGCCCTGTGGCTGGCCATGCAAAGGTGATGGGGACTTTGCCAGTGTCCCTCTTATGACATTTGGAGAGGAAAAAGAACGTCAATGTTTTGCTGCTTTGGTGGCGCACTGCCATCTTCTCTCTCCCCCTCCAAAGTGTGTTTGTCAAACCAGCGCTTGAATCGTGTTTTTAGGGCTAATGCATGGATAGATCGAGCCTTTGGATCAGGACAAACTCGCAGAGCCGCGTGCTTTCTAAAGTGCCTACGCACTTTACTCAAATCTTTGGTCTCCAAAGTGGAGAGGCCAACGAGCTCTCGGTTCCAGAAAAGAAGAGGAGCAAAACAACTTTGATCATGACGAGCGGGATGATGATGAAGAGAATAGGGCGGTGGCGAGCTCTCACACAACCTGGTATAAATTTGATGATCTTACATTTCACCCATATACTCAGTCAAAGAAAAAGAAAAAGGGAGAATGAGAAACACTACTGCAAGTGTATGCGATTCGATCAAACACCCAATTGCGAGGGCGAGAAGAATTTTTGTGGTTATGGGTAACACATGGGAGCGCACGAGAATGGGTTGGGTTGTTGGGCGACCGCAAGAACCCTAATTAAGATCTGACCGTTCAAACCGCGCGACGACCGACCGATCTCCGGATGCGGGGCCGACGGCTTTGACCCGGTGGGTGGGCCACTACTTACGCCATTTCGTACAGATGTCCGTATTGTTAGTTTACTATGTATCTTTTGATCGCATCGATTCTACGACCCCACTTTCGGAAAAGGGGTGAGGGCATTTGCGAGACAAAATTTGTTTAGAATGTTCTTCAACGGGTTTCCGCCACCTTTTTTTTTTTTTTTTCCTTTTCCGTTTGTGTTGATCTTTTTCCCATGCTACGACTCTGATAGCTAGGGCTCCCATCGCTTTCTTTTTCCGGAGAATTTGGCTTTTGCTTGACATGACAAGGCCCTATTCATCTTTTTAAAGATGAATCCATCCACCCCAATCCACTCCATCCATCCATTCACTGTGAATCGAGCAAAGCGCAAACATGTCCACCGGTGGGTCAACTTCGTGGCGAAATTGCAGCCAGTTTTATGGGGGGCGGGATTTTGGCGGCGAGGGCGAGAAAGCATGATCATCATCAAGCAGCACCATTTTCGTAATAGGCTTTAAAACTCTATCGCCCAACTGATTGCCAGCGACAATTGTCGGGGATTGGGATTGTTATAAGGTACAAAAGACAAGAATTTCACCTCGCTTGTGGCCGCCACCTTGTGAAATCCCTTAAAAAACCTGTCACCCCACCCTGGGTTGTTTCACAGCTACAGTGGATCCATGTTCTCCCGGGCATAATCATGGAAACTGGCACAAGTTCCTGATTAGATTATGCGCTTGCGCCCCTTGTGCTTGTGGGGGCAACTTGTGGTTCCCCAAAAACTAGTGTTAAAAAGCTGGATTGGGGGCATCAATAATGGCATCAACCAAGGCAAAGCGTACCTCGCAAAGTCAAAATCTATGCGCCCAAAGCTTAGAAAAATGGAATAACCCTCCTTGCCATTGTCTCGAGATTTCATAGCCCAACCAACTTCCCTAATCTCCAAATCATTTGCATTGTTTTGTGGGTGATGTCCCCAGGCAACTCACCACAGCGCCAACCGAGCATGTTCGCGCGAGCGAGTAGAATATTCGGCTAGGGCTTTTAAAAAAATGCCACAGGTTGGTAGCTTGGATTGCAAAGCCCTCACACTTCCTCCGCGTTGTCTGTCGCTGTTACGAATTGCCAGCTGCAGAGATGCCCTAATTTCCGTAGGTTGGGAACGCATTGTGGTTTGAAAACACCCCCAAACCAACCAACGAGAGAGAGAGAGATCTCAAGAGCCCTAAACTTTATGGAGAGAATCGGATTATATTACACTACAATGACCACCACCCACGAAATTTATAGGGCATTCATCGCCGATTTTATGTACGTCCCCAAACATCAAGGTGCCGCAGACTAACGGGAGAGGAGAATTTCTTCGTAAAGGTAAAACGGGGGGATAAAAGGAGCAAATCTACACAAATGGTAAAAAGAGGGTGGCAAAATTGTATTAAAAGAGGCGTATCGGCCTGACGGCCGACCGGATACCATTCCCGGCGACGGAAGTGGCTGCCGGTCGGCCGGCGGACCTGAGCACGAGGGACTCAATGCGATTTACCGCAAGCCTCGCGGACGCCAGACGCGGATTCCAATCCGGCTCACTGTCCTTAGGGGGTTGTGTGTAAAGGCCGGGTGTCCTTGGGCAGCATATGAATGTGGGCGGGGGCCATTCCTTCTAGCCTAGAGCTCTAAACTTGTTGTTCTTGCTTCTCGGGCGCCATAGCTAGAGCTTCACAAGGCACGGGAAGGGATTGCGGTTTCCATAGCTAGAATCGATCGAGAGAGGAGGCGCGGCAAGCGATGTGGCCCGGAGCTCGCGATAATCTGCATTCGCCTGGGGGCCTGGGAGTGGCGGCAGTGATTCTCGAGCGCTGATAGGGTCAGGACGAGGAGCGCGCGTCGAAATATCGGGTGTTGGAGCGAGCGCTGATCTTGTCAATGTCGTTTGTGGAGCAGCCGGCAGGGAAAGGATTCGCGGAGGCGGCAGGAGGAGCGGCAGCGGGTGCGGGAGGAGGAGGAATCGCGCCAGGAGGAGGAGCGGTGGTGAGGGATGAAGCATCGTGCATAGTCCAGGAGAGCAGCGGCGACAGCGGCAGCACGCTCAAGGCGCACGACTACATCGGCCTATCGGAGGTAACATCGATGCCTCTCAAGCCGGATAGCGGCAGCAAGCCGCTGCCGGATCTAAACCTGGGAGAGACCGAGCTCCGCCTCGGCCCTCCCAAGAGCAAGGAGCCAGCCAAGAACAATGTCGCGGCCGGCGAAGCCCCCAAATGGCAGCACGAGAAGGTCGAGCAGCCCAAGAGCGAGAAGAGCAACGAGCCAGATCTGTCCGGGGGCAACGTTTTCTGGCAGGCAGCAGCGCGGATGATCCCGCAGGAGGTCCAGGCGCCATCGCCAGCGGCGCACCAGGAGATGAGCCATGCCGCCTACTGCAATGTGGCATCCACCGCGGCCATGGCTGCCAACAAGAACAAGAGGGTCTTCTCCGAGGCGATTGGCAGCAATGGGCAGTTCGTGGAGGGGCGGTCCGTGATGCCCAATCCCCCCGGCATTGTGGTGGCGGGCTCTCCCAGCAACCCGGGCACTGGCAATGGCGGAGCTTCTTCCTCGAATCCTGGAGTTCCAGTGGCTCCAGCGCCATCGCAGCCCAGCAATGGCAAGGCTAGCGCCACTGCTCCGCCGCTCATGCCGTCTTCCATGTACCCATGGAACAGCTCCAAGCAGCTTCCAGCGGCGTGGAGGATGGGTCTGGAGCAGTCCAAGAGCTCGTTTGGCCCCTTCCCTTCGTCTTCTCGCATGGCACCCAAGATGGGCGATGTCGACAACAACAATAGCAACAGCGGGAGTCCAAATAGCTCGGGCCTCACTTCGCACAACAAGGAAGACGCTACAGAGGAGGCTGTTCCTTCGGCAAGGTGTGTTCTTTTCCTCTTTGTTTGTTTAGCCTCAAGTTCTTAGCTTGTTTTCTCATGCTCGGTGTTTTCGTCTTTGCAGTCCACCGGTTGTGGGCTGGCCCCCAGTGCAGTCTTTCAGGAAGAACTTGGTGGCTCATCCTCCACCTCCACAGCACAAATCTACAGAGACCACCACCAAGAATGGTGTTAGCAGCAACACTTCTGCTCCAGCTCCGGCTCCTGCTGCTGCGAACGCTGCTACTGCCAGTCCCTTGTTTGTCAAAGTTTACATGGATGGCGTTCCCATCGGCCGGAAGGTGGATCTCAAGGCCAACAACAGCTACGACAAGCTGTCTACCGTTCTCGAGGATATGTTTCTCCGATTCATCACTGGTAAGTTTGCATCTTTTGGTTTGCTTGTGAGATTCCTGAGCTGAGCTGGGGCCTTTGGTATCTAAACAGGTCAGAATGGCACTCCAGAGGTCTCGTCTATCCGCGATCCCGGCGAGAAGAAGCTCAACTTTCTCCAGAGCTCCGACTTTGTGCTGACTTACGAGGACAAAGACGGGGATCTGATGCTCGTCGGTGATGTTCCTTGGGGGTAAGTGTGCTTACACTTGTTTCTTCTTCTCCGTGCTTACCGAAAGCTCTTCCTCTTGGATCTTTCAGGATGTTCACTGGAACTGTGAAGAGGCTTCGTATCATGAAAGGCTCCGAGGCGATTGGCCTTGGTAAGTGATAGAAACCATCTTCCCCCTTGAGAAGCACACACCCAGAGATGATACCACACAGACAGTCACAGTCACACACTGCATTATACTTTTACATAGAGAGAAAGGCAGAGGACTTGGGGAAGAACTCTGCCGCTGAGAAGGCACGCTCAATCCTTCTGGCCCTCTTCCTGGGATTCTCATGATCTTGCCAAGATCAAAAGAAAGAAACTCTTGTGTGTGGATTTCTTTGCTTGTAGCGAGAGAGATCGAGAGGAGTGGTTTTTCGGGTTGATGTTATACACAGCGAAGCTGACGGATGGTTTTGTGTGTGGCCTGCAGCTCCACGGGACAAGGCTCAGGCATAGAGAAGAAAAAAAAAAGGAAGAAAAAAAGAAGAAAAAAAAACTTTGATCCCACTGTTTTTTTTTTCTCCCCCTTTTTTCCCCATTTTCGTTCTTTGGTTTTTATATTCTTTGCTTCTGAGAGTTCTTCTGTGAGAGTTCTTCCGTTTGATCTTCGTGAGCTTGTCACGAACTCCCCCGTGGACTTTCTGATCTCTTTCTCTCTTTCTTCTTGATGTTGGTGTGCAAGCTTTTGAAGAATCCCGCAAGGGTCTCTGTGCATTTGGAGTCTTTCTTATTTCCATCTCAGTGTGGTCTTGTTTTTGTGTGCTTTTAAAATTTTTTTTCTTCCTCCAGCAGCTGCTGTGTTTGAGTGAGCTTTGCCAATAAAAAGCTGGATTGGCTTGTTATGCCATATACTTTTATACATATATACATATATCTATACTATATAACCTCCTTTCTCCCTGCCACCCTTGTATAATCAACTTGTTCATATAAAAACCACCATCTTTTCTAAGATAAGTGTGATTTTAGAGACTAGATGAGTGATTTCAGGGCCAGGAAAGTTGTTTAGAGCGTCTGCATGGGGACCAAGTCCAGCAAAGAGGCCACAATTTCTTCTCTTGTATTTGTTAATGAGGCCGCCTGCAAGATGTACATGTCTATCCTGTTGTCTGTCTTGGATTGTAGCTGGCTTGCCTTGCTTGGCCCTTTGGCTGGCTGAGAGGGATCAGAAGATGGTGTGGAGATTTCACTTTCTCCATCATCTGGTAGTTTGGTTTGTCTCACCTTCCCATTTAATGCGGTTTGCAGCAACATTTCTTATGCTTCATGGTATGAGGCAGGAATTCACAGGTTTCAAGGTGAGAAAACTATGAATTCTTGGGTCCTTGTCTTCAAGAAAAGGGGCCTCTCTTCCTTCTGAACATTATGTCTCTCTTTTTTTTTCTTTTTTTTCTGGGAGGGTGTGTTGGAGCCTCAAGTTGGAGAGGGTTGGTGGTGGGTATTCGTTTGTTGTGTGTTGATGTTCAACTGTTGCAGTGATGTTGCTGCATGACTGCATTGTAGCATTGCTCTGCTGCGTGCATGCCAAGTGCTCTTCACCCAGCTGCAGATAGCAGCATAGCAAATGAAAGTGAAAGGATGGACAAACAGGAAACAATAATTGACAACTGGATTGGGAGAAGCAGCCAAGCCTCCTTCCCCTTCAGAAAAAGAGAAGGAAACCATAGAGTTTACGGGAAGAGCTGTCTAGAAATTCATTCCTTCTTGTTGTTTGTGAGTGCATGGTTTTTTCTTCTTTTTTCCCTTTTCTCCTCCTCAAGTAGTAGCATTGTGTGCTGTTGTGAAAGTGACTCCGAGAGGAATTAAGAATCCCAGGGCATTGTAGCCATGTGCTTTGCTGCTGGGTTACATGACACACTGCCTTACATTGATAATCCCCACTTATAAGTAGAGACTCTCTCTTCAACAGTGATCCTCTCAAGGGATCAGTTTCTCCTATGATCTGTGGTGGGCATGTGCAAATTCAAAAGCTTTTATACATGCATACATACAAGCAAAGACAAGAGGAGCTCTATGCAATCCCTCTTACACATAAAAAGGTAGAACTCCAAGAAACAAAATGCCAAAACCATGAAAATGCGGTATCTAGCAAAGTAAAAACAGTGAAAAACACATATATTTAAGCACCATTGAGTTGCATCTCACCTCGCCAAAATGTGGTACTTAAAGAGTGTCACGAACCTCAACTTCTGCATTTGCCCATACAGGGCAACGGCAGCAGAGTCCAGTATCTGGAGAACAGAAAGTTTTGAAGAATCTGTCTTTTAACCTTTCTAGTATCTACACAAAAAATGCCGCCACCCAAACCATCTAAGTTCTCTCAGCTTTGATCTCTGTGATCTCACTGCGAGGTGGAACCGGAGGAATAACAACGTAGTTATCATCATCCCCAGTGCTGTTACTATCGTCAACACTATCATCCTCGCCCCGGCGATGGCCACCATCACCACCATCGTCCTCCCCAGCCGGATAAACCTTGAACCCGGAGCTCACGAGCCCCGCGTACTGCTTTTGCAGCTCCTTGATCTCTTTCGACCTCCGCGAGTTCTCCTCGAGCAGCTTCAGGCTCGCCTTGATCACCTTGTGCATGACATCCCGAAAGTCGATGGACGAAGCATGGTGGCCGCCGTGATCGCCATCGAGCTCCTCGCTGTGCCTTCGCAGCACACACTCGAGGACATGGGGCTGGCAGAGATACGAGGCGTTCCTCATCGCCTTGTCATACACACCCGAGCTGAGCTTGGAGCAATCCACGAAGCTCCACAGCTTGTGGATCTCGTCGCCACCGAGCCTGTTCTTGGCGATCATCTTCTCCACCGCCGAGTAGAGCATGTCGTGGTTCCCGCGCGATCCCGGAGGAAATGCCCGCTCCAGCGCCACAAAAGTCTCGCACGAGATCACGCCGCTCTCGGCGTATCCCCACAAGCACCCGTCAACCTCGCTCGCCACCGCCTCGATCTCGCCCTCCCCTTGCTCCACATCAACTTCTTCACGATCAACCTCTTCCTCCTCCTCCGGATTGTCGTCCAGGTCCTCCATCTCCTCGTCCTCCAGCGCTGCATGGCTCGACGAGCTAATTCTACCTCTCCTCCTCCTCCTCCTCCCGGCCATGAAGTGCCTCACCAGCGCCAGCAGTGTCTCCGGCTCGAAGCTGTACGCCTGGATGTAATCGTCGAGCTCGTGCAAGCTCGCTCCAATCCGCCGCTGGAGCGACGCCTTCACCGCCGCCAAGCTCGCCCTCGCCGCCGGATCGTCCGTCTGCGCCATCAATCCCGCCGCGTGCTCCAGCAAGCTACACCAATACTGCGACGAGAGCTCCAGCCATGGCCGCTTCCTGGGAGCGTTCTTGAGCAGCATCCTGGCCAGGCATAGCACGATCCAGATCCGGGGCTTGATCCGCTTGCACTCGCTCCGGAGGAGATAGTCGATCCACTCCCGGACGCTCCTCGACTGGCGGCACTTGATGTTCAAGTTGGTATCCGAGGCGACGAGCTGATCGAGGAGCTGCATGGAGTAGCGATCGGGGAGCTGCGCCACCGCGATCAAAACGTCCTTGAGGTTGGCGCTGGGGGAGCTGTGCCAGGTGGTGGAGGCGCTGGCGCTGGCGGCGATGGCGAGCGAGGAGATCGGCACTGAGACGTGCTTGGTGTCGAGGAACGCCTTCGTGCATGCCGCGGTCACCACCTTGAGAGCTCGCGATTCGATATACTCGTCGGTGGAGGAATAGATCGGTTGGTACTCGCGGAGAAAGGTGACGCACGACTTCCAGCTCAAGAAGACGTTGGAGTAGAGGAACTTCTTGGTGCTGTCGATGAGATCGGCCATGCCCAGGAACTCGGCGGCGGCGCGCACGGCGGCAACGTTGGCGGTGGTGAAGCTGGGCCGGATGATGTAGCAGAAGTCGGCGGCGATGGAGAAGGCGGCGCCGCCGCCAGGGAGCTCGTCGATGGCCACCTCTTTGATCTGTTGGTGGTGGTGGTGGTGGCGATGGTGGCGGTGGTGTTTTCTTTTATCTTGAGGATCGAGCTTGGCGGTGGATGCCTCTCCGCCGGAAGAGCTGGAGCTGGAGGTGGTGGCGGTGGTGGAAGAATCCGGATTGGAATTGGAGGTGGCGGAGTTGATGGATTGGAAGTAAGTGGATTCGTTGACAAGCGGGAGCATATGGAGCTTGAATTCCTGGTCTTGGATCTTGACAGTGAGATCGCTGTGCTCGCCCGTCTTGCGGACTCTCTGGAGCCATCCCGCAAAGCTTCCTTCCTTCTTGGAGCCCATTGATTTAAAGTGGGAGATCTATCATCTATGCTGTATAATCTATGATCCTACTCCCCACACGAGCAAATGCTACCACCATACCTGAGGCGCGATCCATCCCGAGATCCACCACGAATTGGCCTCCTCCCACCGGAATCGCCTGGAGCCCCGCGATGAAGATCTGTGGAAGAAGATGAGCTTCCTCTCGCAGCACAGGAGCAGTGCCAGGAGACCCATCTGGGATTCGGCGCTGGCGGGGTGGAATGACCACGACCCAGATCGTTTCCTGGCTCGATCCGCGAGCCCAAATGCTGCGATCCTAGCTAGGATCGCTCCTCCTCTCAGAGGGTCGGTGAGGTTGCCGAGGAAGAACAAGACCAAAGAAGAAGAAAACCATTTTAATCGATCCTTTCGACGCACTTCTTTGATCGCCGTGCGAGATTTTTCTAAGGCTATAGTTCTATAGTTCGGCTAAGCGAGAACTGAGACGAAGAAAAAAAGGGAGAAAAAAAGAAAGAGAAGAAAAACCTCCGCTCCGCGATAACGGACAGGGCATGCCAGCGAATCTCTCGCTTTTCACTGCTTGTTTCTTTGATCCCTCTCCTTTTTTCTTGCTCGCTCGCTCGTACTCACAATAACCCGTGCCGCCATCTCTACCAAAGCTTTCATTTTCTTAGGAGCTTTCGTCCTTCCTAGCTAGCTTGGCGATGGATCGATCGATCATGGGGTTGTTTTCTTCGATCTACAGCCATAAGATAAGCAAGAATGGGAATCTAGTGGTGAGTTTCCTATGCGCGAATGCCGAGGAAGTGAAAGATTTTCTTTTCTTCTCACAGTGTAGAGTGAGTGAGTGAGTCACCGCACGCCTTGGTGTTGGTAGCTTTCAGCTTTCACGCAGACACGTTGCTCCTGGCTGCCGCCTGAAAGCCTGTTGACGAGCAACTGGGGCGTCCTTTTGCGGATCTCTGGCAAACCCACCAAAGAAATTCCATCCAAAGTTCCATCTTCTGGAGTCAAAAAAAATTACGAAAAATGGGAGGACATCGCAAGCAAGAAACACATGATCGATAGAAGGAAGAACAACTCAGGAAAAAAAAAAAAAAAAAGACGGGAAAAATACAAAGAGTTTGTTTTACCCCCAAGAAGAATCCCTGTCATGGTTTTTGGAATTTAATTGCTGTGCAGCGAGACAGTGCGAGGACGGGAGCAGTCTGCAGAGAAGAATCCGTTATGGATTCTCTGGTGAGATTGTTGTTTGTCACCATAGCCACAGGTTGAAAGGGATTGGATTGCTGGATTGATTGGATGGATCATAACATTTCTTCCCAGGAGTCATCCTTTTCGTCCATTTTGTTCTACAAAATGAAGATCATATATCATCATCATCATCAAAATGGAGATCATCAGATTCTCTTTTATCACAAACTGCCTGCCACCTTTCTTGCCCTCTTGCTGTTTTTTCTTGTTCCAACTTACATCATATGGACAAAACCTGGCAACACTTGGTTCCTGGCGACTGGTTGGCATTGCTTGTTCATCAAACTCTCCCTGATTTCCTTGAAATTTTGTCCTGGCAGCACTGATCCTTGTGTGTTGGTGAAGGGCTTGCATCACTGAAAAGCAAAAAAAAAGAGAAAAATAAAAATAAAAAAATAAAAAGAATAAAAAGCGAGAAACACAAAATTCACATGATTGCTGACTTGATGGGGGTGTTGGTCATAGTTGGTGTTTGCTCTGTGGTCCAAGCTCTAGAAATAGAGCAGAAAGACATATATATGAAAGCATCCTAAGCATTCAATTCACACACATTCACCAACTTTGGAAAGTTGGTGCAGCAAGAATTTGATGACCAACAAACACCCCATGGGTCACAACATACACACATCTCTCATACACTAGAAAAACATATACACTTTCTTGATCAATCACAGCATGAAAGAGTTCGAACTTGTCACAAACCATTTTGATCTCTCTGTCTCACGCATTCTCAACGGCGGCTTCTTTGGATTCGATGCCCCGCGGCTGCTGCTGCCGATTCTCCCCCTGCCACAGCCTCTCGATCTCCTCAAACGACAGGCCCTTGGTCTCAGGAACCCAAAAGAAGACGAAGAGCAGCGCCGCCACCGAGATCCCTCCAAACAGTAGAAACGTCCACGACGTTCCAATGGCCTTGGTGAGCGAGAGGAAGCTCTGCGCGACGATGAGGTTGGACACCCAGTTTGCGGTGGCTGCGATCCCCCCACAGACCCCCCGGTACTTGAGAGGATAGATCTCCGAGTTGACGGCCCAAGGCACCGGCCCCATACCTGGAGAGAACGCTGCGATGTAAGCTCCCAGGCCGATGAGAGCCAGCCACCCGTAGTGACTTGGACAGCCTTTCGTGAACCACGGTCGATGGTTGTCGCCACAAAAGTCACCCACGGTTCTGTTCGAGATGAAACAGCTCCCGGCAAACATCTATGAGGAGAAGAACAAGTTTTAGAAGCTGAGAGACTCTAGAGAGAGAGAGAGAGAGAGAGAGAGAGAGAGAGAGGATGCTTATGCTTGCCTGATTGGATTCGGCTCCACAGAAACCACAGTCGTGCTTTAAGCACGACATGCAGTCCCAGCGAGCGGAGTTCCTGGAGAAGTCCGGGCAAGTGTATGGAGAGGCGAACGAGGAGGTGATGTCCACCGCTGGAGCGTCGCTGGCTGTGATCTGGAACGCGGCCGTGAGGAGTCCCAGAGCGAGGATGACGCCGACGAGGCTGCTCATGGACAAGCGACGCCTGCCAAACTTGTCGATGAGGACTATCCCTGCGATTGTTCCCAGAGCGTTCATGCCGGCAACGATCATGGAGAGTAGCAGCGCGGTCTGGTGTGACGCGAAGCCGGCTTGCTCCACGATGGAGGGGCTGTAGTACATGACCGTGTTGATCCCCACGAACTGCTGGAAAATCTGTGGGAAAAGATATATCACCAAAGTTTCAGGAAAAAGTTTCTAGAGTACCTGGAGACCAACGCCAGCTCGTAGAGCAAGCCTGATTTCTCTGGATTTAATAAGTTCTTTTATCGAAGCCTTGTTTTCTTTCTCGGCATCCACGGAAGCCTGAAGCTCGCCCATTTCTTTTTTCAGTTGATCCCCGGGGTAGATATTGGTCAGCACGACAACAGCCTCGTCGACTCGTCCCTGGTCATTCGCGTGAGTTAAAAAACATTTTCAAGAGTTTTTTTACCTGTCTGAAGAGCCACCGAGGAGACTCCGGAAGAAAGAACATGAGAAACGCCTGGAGAAGGGCAGGCACGCACGCTACTCCCAACATCCATCGCCAAGTTCCAGGCAGCTGTATCCAAAATAGCATCAGCTCAGTACATCGAATATAGGAGAGAGAAGGAAGTACCTTGCTGAAAGCAAAATTTATAACGTAAGATATGAACTGTCCTCCGGTGATCATGAGAACGTTCAAGCTCACGAGTCCCCCGCGCTTACTCGCGGGAGAAGCCTCGGCGATATAGAGAGGAGCTGTCATAGACGCAACTCCAACTCCAAGTCCAACGAAGACTCGACCCACGATCAATAACGTGGCACTTGTTGCTGCTGCCATGAGCACCGCCCCAACTACGAACAAAGCATCCGCCACAATCAGCACGGGCCGCCTTCCAAAACGATCGCTCATCTTTCCACCAATGGCAGCTCCCAGGATCGCTCCAGCAATGGCCGTGCTAACAATCGTTTCCTGGTGTCCATCGAGTGAGAAACCAATTCAATGTTCGTTCTTTGCATCACCTGAAGGACCGTGCTTCGGTCCACCTCCGGGAAGTCATCACGGATGTATAGAAGCGCTCCAGAAATGACTCCTGCAGCTCAATTCCATTAGAGAAGAAGGAGAAAAGGGATCAGGAAGGCTCGCTTACCAGTGTCATAGCCAAAAAGAAGCCCACCCAATCCGGCCGCCAGCGTGAGCTTCATAACGTATGAATTTGGAAGCCATCGCCGCTCTTTGGAAGCTCCGCCATCGACCTCCATGGCGCGCTGCCCCTCTTTCTCTCGAGACTTTTAGTTGCCAAGATACTTCACAACATGAGAAAAAAATGTTGAGGGTCAGGCTGAATAATCGATACCGACAAGGAACTATGTTGACGAAAGAGAAGAAGAATCACGACGGAACTACAAGGCTTAGAATCTATTTAAACAGCTACTTACCCTTAACGCAAGGACACAGATTTAGTCCTCTTAAGATAGAAAAGGCATCTTATCCAACGCTCATTGTCAGGTGTAAGTCACTCAAAGGTAGCAGATGGAATGATCACCCTGCAAAAAAACAAAGGAAGGAACAAAGAAAGTAAGGACAAGCCAAGAAAAAAAATCTAAGTACCATCTCAATGTTCGAGAGAGTCACGTATGGTGCTTCACTCTCCGGGTCCAAGGCCTCGAGCTTTTCCGCAACACGACGAGCTCTCTCGACGTCACCGTGAACTCGGCAAGCAGCGAGCAAGGCTGTGAGAACTATGGTGTTGGCTGCCACCGGCATTCTCGAGAGGAACTCCTCCGCGGTGTGTAGATGCCCGGCTCTTGCGAGCAAGTCCACCAAGCAGCTGTAGTGCTCCATATTCGGCTCAATCCCGAGCTCGGCCATGGAGGCGAAGAACTCGCAGCCTTCCTCGATGAGACCGACGTGACTACACGCGGAAAGCATGGCGACGAACGTTAAGTTGCTGAGCTCGATGCCATCCTGCCTCAACCTTCGAAAGATCCAGAGAGCCTGTTCACCGTGACCGTGACGAGCGTAGGACGCTATCAAGGCAGTCCACAAGGAGATGTCCTTGTGCTTCGTCTTCTCGAAGACTATGCTGGCCTCGTCGAAGCTCCCACACTTCCCATACATGAAGACGATGGAATTCGCCACTGCTACGTCTGTCGCGAGCCCTCTTCGCATGACACGAGCGTGGATGGCCTGGCCTTGGCGTAAGTCGGAGAGATGCGCACAGGCGTTGAGAACCGAGATGAAAGTCACCCTGTCCGCTTCGACCTGTCTAGAGTGCATCTGCTCGTAGAGCTCAAGAGCTTTCCTATACTCGCCGTGCTGCTCGTAGGCAGTAATCATCGACGTCCAGAGGAATAAGTCCCGGTGGTGCTGCTGACTGTTGGAGAAGATGTTGTCAAAGATTTCTCTCGCGTTGTTCAGGCTCCCACAGTTGGCGTACATGGTGATGAGTCCCGTCACCATGACTATATCATTCTCCAGCCGGCTCTCCGCGATCCACGAATGAATCTGTCGGCCATCAACGAGACGATTAGGATCCGAACAGGCGTTGAGCAGGCTAGCAAAAGTTGCTTTGTCTGGTCTCATACCTTCGAGCTGCATTGCCCAGCAGAGTGAGATCGCGCCCTCTCCATCGCGGCCCTGGACGTAGGCAGCAATCATGTTGTTCCACGACACGACGTCCCGAAATACCATGCTGTCGAAAACCCCTCGAGCTTCTCCCAAGCTTCCACACTTTGCATACATGTTGAAGAGAGCCGTCGCAACGCGAACGTCCGCTGCGAATCCACTGTCGACTATCCTTCTGTGGATCGTCCTCCCGTTCTCCAAATCCGCCGCGTTGACGCACGCGTTGAGCACCGTCATGAAGGTGATCCTGTCCGGACTGACGCCTTCCGGCTGCATTTCTCGGAAGAGATGGAGAGCTTCGTGAGGATCCCTTTCTTGGTATGCTGTGATCATCGAGTTCCAGAGAATCCGGCTCCGGTTGTTGATCCTTTCAAAAACTTTGCGAGCTTCCCCCACGGTACCGCACTTCGCGTACATGTTGACGAGTGATATCCCCACAAGGTCGCCTTCTAAGCCGCTCTCTATAACGTGTGCATGGACGAGCTTGCCACCCTTAAGTTCCGCCAAGCTGCCGCAAGCTTCGAGCACCATCGACAAAGCTAACGTCTTCGGCATCACACCTTCGTGGAGCATGGAGCGGTAAAGCGGGAGAGCATCCCTGCAGTGGGATTCCTCCCGAGAGCAGGCCATGATGATCGTCGACCATGAAACCGAGTCTCGGACGCTCATTCTGTCGAACAAACTTCTCGAATCCTCCCAGCTGCGGCATCTGCTATACATCCCCAGCAGAGAATTCGCTACAACGACGTGTGACTCGAGACTGCTCTCCACCACTAGAGCGTGAATCTGCCTCCCTTGCTCGAGTGAAGATGGTGCTTCGCAGCCGCTCAAAATACTGACAAAGGTGACACTGTTTGGAGTAGTCCCTTCGAGCAGCATTTCCCGGAAGAGCTGGAGCGAGAGGCTGAACTTTCCATCCTGTGAGTAAGCTCCGATCATCACAGTCCAGGAGACCACATCCCGTCGCTTCATCCTCGCGAAAGTTTGCACTGCTCCATCTAGGCAACCACACTTCACGTACATGTTAATCGTGAGGTTGAGCACACCAATATCGAGCTCGAGCTGGGTTCCTGCTAGACGATCCTGGATAAGTTTCCCTTCTTCCAGAGCACCGAGCTTGGTACAAGCAGTGAGCAACGTCTTGATCATGACCCTGTCCGGTGGAATCCCTCTCCGATCCATCTCATCCAGCTGACCAAACACCAACTTCCATTTCCCAAGCCCCGCTCTAGCGACGATCACTGCCGTCCACGTTGCAACATCAAAGCTCTCACAAGCAGCGCTCTGGAAAACCCTCTCGGCCTCGTCGAAGCTCTGGCATTTGAGATACATATGGACGAGGTGATTGCCAAGGAACGCGTCGCGGACAAACCTGGATCTCACAACGTACTCGTGGACGCGCCGGCCCTCCGCGAGAGCGCTGGATCTTCCACAATCCAGCAGCAACCTCGCGAGCGTGGAAGAATCCAAGAAACCATCTCGACCTTGCCTGGAATCGAGATAATCCAGCGCCGCCTTTGCTCCTCCTAGCCGCAGCAATGCCGAGACATCGAACAAATCACTGGAAGACCCGCATTGCGTCGATATGCTCGAAACAAACAACCCGCGCCACGGCATTCTCCCTGAAAACACGAGAATCAATCAAAATCCGCGACAAATCCAGCACGAACCTGGCGCAAGCTGGCGCGTCGCCATCGCCAGAGCTTCCTCATCCTCAAGAACCCTAAAAAACAGGGGGCATCGTCAGCCCTAAACCCCATAAACCCAGTCTTTAGAAGGCCAGCTTCCGGGAAGCCGTCGATTAGTGGCCTCCGCGAATCTCGACCGTCCGTCAAGCCTAGGAATAGCCATTCCGCGTTTTTGGCCCCCTTTATAACGGGTACGCGCACCACTTACTCGTTCGTTTTGCTTTCGATCGATTCGATTTCTTGGCGGAGGAGAGGATGAGCTACTACGATCAGAAGCCGCCAGTGCAAGCGCCGCCGCCGCAAGGCTATGCTCAAGGTAAGCGCCGCGAGAAATCGCGAGATCTTTGCGACGATTTTACCCTGATCGCGAAGATATCTGAGAGATCTGGTGTGTTTTGGCAGGGTATGAAGCGTATCCCGCCCAGGGCTATCCTCCGCAAGGCTATCCTCCACAGGGATATCCTCAGCAAGGCTATCCTCCAGCGGGCTATCCAGTCCAACAGCCGGGATATAACCAGGAGCAGTATCATCAAAACAACAAAGGCCCATCGTTCATCGAGGGATGGTAAAATTTATAGTTCTAAAATCTCTGGAGCCTCGCTTCGCTCGAAGCTCTTCCCTTTTTTTTTTGCATTTGTTGTTTGTTTGATCCTTTTCTTTTCTTCCAGTTTGGCGGCCTTGTGTTGCTGTTGTTTGCTAGACGCTTGCTTCTAGCGCCCAAGACGACGATGTAGCTCCCAAGTTCTAGAATTATATACAACCGCCATGGTGTTTTTGATAGATCAAACTCTCTGTGGGAAAGGTTGTAGCTTCCAATACTTTGATTGGCTAGAACCAAAACTTTGGTTGGCTTGGACTTTTCTTCCATTGTAGTCTTTCTCAAGCAAAACTCTTTACCTTTGCTTCGAAACGAGATTATTCCGCGAAACTTTTGATGATTCTCGAAAGAAAAAGTGCTTTGTTTCTAAGAAAACCAAGACCTTTGAGCTTTCCTGTAGAGAAAAAACGATTTAGTACAAAGGAAACTTGGAGTCTACCTCTCTGGACCACGCCTCAAGTCCTCCCGTGACATCCAAGGCGTTAACTCCAGAGTTTCTGAGCAGCTCCACAGCTTCCTGAGAGCTATTCCCCCTCCGGCAGATAACAAAGACTGGCATCTTCTCGTCGTCGAGTATGATATCGCGGAGCTCTTGGCTGTTCTTCTGGAGTTGCGAGAGAGGAATGTTTGTCGACTGTGGCAGCGCGCTGATGGCGTACTGGTGCTCGTCACGGACGTCTAACAGGACGTGAGGGACTTTTTCTTCGATGCGTTTTCTCAGCTCTAAGCAGCTCAGGGAATTGGAAAGAGAGACCACTTGCTTTCGAACTGGAGCCTACGAAATGATAGAGAAAGATTATCGAAGATTTGAAAGCGTGTTGGTCCTACTTACCTCATCTGTCATGGCAACTCCGGTAAACTCCTCGTAATTCATGTTGTGAAAATTCGCTTCAGTGATTTCCGGATTGTCTCCACACGCCACACAGCTTGGATTCTTTGCTCTCAGTTTGATCTGATAAAAGACAAAGTCTAGATGACTTGCTCAGCTCAAAAGGAACAGCGTGCCTTACATTTTGAAACCTTCCCAAGGTCGCATCAAAGATTAGCATTCTGCTGCTAAGTGGCTCCCCGATACCACTTGCAAGCTTGATTGCCTCTAGAGCTTCAAGGGAGCCAATTATTCCTGGCACTGCAAGAACAAGAATAAAGGATTCAGATCTTCGAGGCTGTAAAGCTTCACGTACCAACACCAAGTACTCCGCTATCAGAACATCTTTGGCAAGCGCTTTGAGGAGGTGGGAGAGGAAATAAGCAACGATAGCATGGTCCATTCTTGTGATTGTAAACAGTTAGCTGCATAAAAGAATGTTGGATTAAATCACATCAAGCTGATGAAAGTCTTACCTGGCCATCTAGACCGAGTGCTGCGCCGGATACCAATGGCTGGAAACGCGAATTACGAGTGTTCTTTTATCCGTTCTATACATCCGAATTGATGGATATGTACCTTCCTTGCAACAACGCAGGCGTCACTGATGAGGTAGCGACTCGGGAGATTGTCCGTAGCATCGACGACCACATCGAACCTGTTGAAGAATGCGAAGAATTCAGGCGAAAGGACGATTGAATGGCATACTTTCTCACAATCTCCAATGCATTGTCAGCGGAAAATCCATTTGGAAACTCCAAAATGGATAGAGAGCTATTAATCCTGAGGAACGACAGGAAGAAAGAACTAGAAACCATTGCTGACGCATAGAAACACCATACCTCCTGCAAGACGTAGCAGCGGACCTCACTTTTGACGTACCGATGGCTTCCTCGGAGTGGATGATCTGAAAAGAACGAAGAAAAAAATGTCTGAAATGCGAAGAACGAAACGAAGTACCTGGCGATGGAGATTGTTTAGCTCCACAGTATCACGGTCCACAAGCCCAAGAACACCTGCCGCAGAAAAAATGATTCACGCACTAGAATTCGACGAAGTATACCAACACCAGCGGCGGCAAGATATAATGCGGCAGAAGAGCCTAAGCCTCCACAGCCAATAACCAAAATGGAAGAACTTAGCAACTTCTCTTGGCCTGATACTAGCTCGTTAGCCTCGAAGAAGAAAAAGGAAGTTCCAGAAGAGAAACTATTCGTAATACACACCTGCGATGCCAAAGGCCGGAACGAGGAGCTGCCTGCTATATCGACAGACCTGATACGAATCCAATCCATGAGTCGTGTAAGCCGACCGCAAATCCTCCGCCGCCGCGCTCCTCACAGGCACGCGATCTCGATCAGCCAGCTTCTGCTCTAGCATCTCCACGCGCTGCTGGAGACGAGAGATCTCCGCGCGCAGCGACTCGGCGTCTTCTCCCCCCATCTCGCAAACCCCAAAACCCACTAAGAGCCCTAAAAATGTGAGCGCCAAAATTCGATCTAGGGTTCTTGGGCTCGCGCGACGAGCGCCATGAAGCAAGTGATCAAGCTAGGCGCCATCGCTGTTCTCGTCACCGCGCTGTGGCTCAGTCTACTCCTTCGATCTGATCTACCGGATCCCGTAGCAAAATTCGTTCCTTACGTGAGTATTGCACTTCTATCTTTTCTTCGCTAAATATTTGACTTTGTAGCTCCCAATTCTCGCGATTTTTGCTTTGGGTTGCTATGGCGTCGTGATGGTTGCTTATGGACTCCTGGTTTTTCCATCGTGTCCCAAGGAGGCGATTCTACTACAACAGGTTTACTTTTCTCGATCAAATTCTCTCGGGAAAAAAGAGATTGATCTTTTTCGCTTCATTGTCTGTCAGGATATCATCGAGGCAAAAGATTTTCTTGAGAAGAAGGGGATCGTTTTTTAGTAGTGGAGCGACATGTGTTCTAACAGTCCGGAAACTTTGGTATAACCTTTTCAATGCTTTCAAGGAAACGAATTTTTTTTTCTTCCTACTTCGTTGTCTAAGTACTTGGTGATTGAATTTGATCTAGACAGCAAAGCAAAACGAGTGTGGATCATGCAGCGCATACACTGATCGATCTACCTGTCCCTCACAAGTTTTGGAGGTGTTGAAAGCACTAGAAAACTTCGTCGGTTCCCCTTCCTCCTCGAACCAAGTAAGCTACGAGATTTTTTAAGTCACAGTGGGATTACTTACTGGCAGCACTAGAAACAATGCTTTGGAGTTTCTCATAGTTTTTACAGGCAGAGAAGACAGAGAGGGCCAGCTCCGGTGCTCGCATTCATCGCTCCCCGTGCTTCTTCCTCGTCTTACACAACACTTTAGTCGTGCGAAATGGGGCTTTCGATGGGGAAACGCGCTTTCCACGATTAAGGTGTGAAGGAAACGAAAATCAAATTAAAGGAGGAGACCGAGGAGAGTCAAGAGTCATCGACAGCGAGCGATCTTTTGAGGTGGCAACTGGGGCTTTTGCTGACCGAGTCGGCATCGCATCAAAGGTTTGGAGAGGTAAGTTGTTAACTTCAGTTTCTCTTATTACATACTTTTTATTCTCTTTTTTGTCTCAGGGCGCGAGATTCCGTCAAGACTTCTCAGAGCAGCGGAGTCATCGCTGTATTTTGAGAGGGATCTCCATGGCTGGACTTGGCCAGGGTCTTGTACACAAACCATGGACTCAATTCAGAGGTACCAATCTCTGTAAAAATCGCTTTGAATGCCTCAAAACCTTTGTTTTCTTGGCGCTGCTTTCCTGGTAAACGTCAAACCGAAGTACAGGTAGAAGAAACACTCTGCAACTTTCTCGTCGTGAACTTACTGTGATTATTTTTCGCAGGTTTAAGGCCAGGGCAGCTTAAATGATTCTAGAAACCAGCCAAATGTCAGCAGCGTCAAGGTTCGCGAATTTATTGAAAAGATTAGAGCAAAGGTTTTTGGGTGTTTGTGGATCCGACAAGGACGTCCACGGATCCCCTCCATCTCTTTTCGTTTGCTTTCTGGGCGTCCTTGTAGCATTCCAGAGCTCCTGATTGACGAGAAATAACTCGCTCAGATGCAAAAAATGTCGAGAACGATCCCCCCCTCCGCCCCAGCGCAAGTTTTCAACGGAGTTCGACAGTTCGTCCACAGGTTAGCTGGGTGGGCGGTGCCACGCGGCAAAACTTTTAAATTCAAATCGGTAGAATATTCCTGTCAAATCAACGTCAGAGCTGGGCTTGACCGGGATCCTACGGCCCTTGGTTAAATCGGACATGGCTCTTTTTCACGCGCTGCGCGCTGAATTGACAAAACTGGATCGCGGAAGCTCCCCCAAGACCACGTAGAAGAAGAAAACAACGATTAGATTTACTAGACCGCGCACGCACAAAAATTTGGTGCTAATTTCCACTGTGCTGGAATGGTCAATGAGCCGCCGGTTTGAAACGATCGAGAGCTGCGAGAAAAGCCCGCTTTGGGATTTATAGCTCGCGCTCCGTGGAGGACTTTGGACGACGACTCTAGGTACCAGCAGCGCGGCAGAAAATCGCGGTCGTTCATCAATAGGCGTTCGCTTCCTCCTTACCGATCGAAACCCGAGACCGGCCGGAATTGCACGACCCGGGAACGAAAAATGTGCTGCAATTGGGGACGATCCAAGCTTGATCAGCTTGCTTCATGGACAGGTGTAGTGGGTTTCAGGCAATTCTTGAGAATTCGGTCTCCTTGGGTAGGAATTCGGGTCGCAAGAACAGAGCTTTAGCGAAGAAATGGGGTCTGGTATGTCGATTTCTCGTCGTCTCGCTGCTAATCCCTGCCGCGCGCTCATTGGGTTCAATGTCGGGGATCGCTCCCACGTACCCAGAAGCTCGGATTTGCGGGATTGTCCCCGGATTGGCTGGATCGATCATCAGCTGCGCGGGCAGCAATAACAGCGCCAGCCCCCCACTCAGCTATGGCGACGCTTCCTTCGTTGGTATCTCGGGCGGGAATGGATTCTTCTGCGCGCTCAGGGAGTGGACGCGGCAGCCCTTTTGCTGGGATTCCATGAATTTCAGCTCGCGCAGCCGCCTCTCGAGCGCGAGCTACTCCCAGATCGCGGTGGGCGATTCCCACGTCTGCGGCATTCGATCGATCGATGGCGGCGTGGATTGCTGGCGAGGGATCGGCATGGCGGCACCGACTAATCTAGCAAATCTCACCAGCATCACCAGCGGCTCGAATTTCAGCTGTGGCATCGTCGCGTCAAACGGGAGCGTCGTGTGTTGGGGCGACGAATCGATCCAACGGCGCTTCCAGCCATCGCAGGGCTCATTCTCGTCCGTACAGGCGGGCGGCCAACACGCCTGTGGCCTATACTCGTCCTTTGGGACCGTGTCGTACTGCTGGGGCGATAACACGTACGGGCAGCTGGATTTCCCTCCCAGTGTGGAGTTCTTCGCGTTTGCGTTAGGGCAGAGGCATTCTTGCGGGTTGGATCGATCGACGCGCCAGGCGCTCTGCTGGGGCGACAATTCCACCTCGCAGCTCGCGGCGCCAGCAGGAGTGAGGTTTGATTCCATCGCCGCGGGGGATTTCTACACTTGCGGCGTGAGGAGCGGCGATCTTGGGGTAACTTGCTGGGGCAGCGTCTCGATCGGGTTGAGCCAATCGCTGCCAGGATCGTGTAGCAGTGGGCAATGCGCGGCGGAATCGTACGCGCTGGTGAATGTCACAGGGAATTCCAGCGTCTGCGGTGGATTCAATCACGTCTGCGTGTCGTGCACCAGATGCCCGGAAGGGGCAATCGAGGAGGTCCCTTGCGGGATCACTGGCGGGGACAGGCAATGCAGCTTATCACCGCCACCTCCACCGCTAGCTCCTCCACCTCCTCCTCCTGGAAGATCTCGGCGGCGGAGGCTATCGAACGTGGAGATCGTGAGCGTGGTGCTGGGATCGACAGGGATGCTACTCGGCCTCGTTGCGATCGCGTTCTGTTCTTGGTCGAGGCTCCGCAAGCGCTCGGAGTCCGGAAGGATCCATCACTCCGTGAATGCCAACAATGGATCGGTGACGATCTCCCAGCAGCAGCAATTGCGACGGCAGCGCAGTGGAGCATCGTACGTGACCGGGAGCCGGAGGAGCCTGGGCCGAGCTGAAACATTCACGCTGGAAGAGCTCGCGGCCGCCACCGACAACTTCAGCGATGACAATCGCATCGGCACTGGCAGCTTTGGCACCGTCTACCGGGGTGTTCTTCCGGACGGGCGCGAGGTGGCGATCAAGCGCGGCGGGGTTGGATCGTCGGGCATGGACGCCATCGCCAAGAAGAAGTTCCAGGACAAGGAATCGGCTTTCCAGAGCGAGCTCGAGTTCCTCACCAGGCTCCACCACCGGCACCTGGTGACGCTGGTGGGATTCTGTGCCGAGGACGACGAGCGATTGCTCGTCTACGATTTCATGCCGAATGGAACCGTCCACGATCACCTCCACGGGCGAAAGGAGGAAGAACACCAGGAACGGCAAGAGGGTGGAGAGATCGTCCCACAGCAGCAAGAGAGGATCTTCGCGATCAATCTAAACTCGTGGCAAATGCGAATCGGGATCGCCCTCCAGGCCGCCAGGGGGATCGAGTACCTCCACACGTACGCGGTTCCTCCGATCATCCACAGGGACATCAAGTCGAGCAACATCCTCATCGACGCCGAGTGCTCGGCCAGGGTCTCGGACTTTGGCCTCTCGCTCATGGGTCCGAGCGATGGCGAGTCCCATCTCTCTCTCACCGCCGCCGGCACCGTGGGCTACATGGATCCCGAGTACTACAGGCTCCAGCAGCTCACCACCAAGAGCGACGTCTACAGCTTCGGCGTGGTGCTGCTCGAGATCCTCACCGGCAAGCGCGCGATCATCGTGGAGAACCGGCTCAAGCTCCGCCAGAATCCACAGCTGCCTGTCAATGTGGTGGATTTCGCGGTGCCATTCATCCTGGCGGGGCAAGTGATCTCAATCCTGGATCCGAGGATTGGAGTTCCCGAGGAGGCGGACGAGATGGAGGCGGTGTTGATCGTGGCGGAGCTCGCGGAGGAGTGCGTCCGGCTCGAGGGGAAGGAGCGGCCGAGCATGGGCGAGATTGTGAGCCGATTGGAGAGCGCTGTCGCGGTGTTGAATCGCAGCGAGAGGAGGAGGAAGAAGCAGCAGGAGCTGAGAAGCTCGAGCAATTCTTCGTCTAGCGGCCAGCTCTAGCTAGTTCGTGAATTTTTTTATTCCTTCGCTTTTATGGGGATATTCTTTTCTTGCCCGCGCCAGATTTTAAAATTTTAAATTGCAGCCGTTGGATAGATCCTGGAATGGACGGCTCGTATTTGGTAGAGATCTTCTTTTTGCTGCGCAGCTTTATTCCGCTGCAAGGTAAAGTACAAGCGCTTGTCACTTAGGTGAAAATTCCTCTCTATCCAGCTACCATGGAACGGAAGATTCCTGCGAGATTCCATACGCTTCTACTTTAGGGGCTACGATTAACATAACCGGGAAAGACAAATATTGTTCTGGCCACGTGGGCCGTACTGGATTTAAACCCCATGTGGCCCACCCTGGCAGTATGTCCGTACTAATCATGGTCTAAACCACAGGGGTTTATGCCGTGGGTTAAGCCGTATCATAACTAATCCGGTCTCGGTGTATAGGACGATCGCGTCCGTCCGATTGGCACGACGTGTCCACGTGGCACGTGTGGGGGAGTTTTGCCCGCCTGTCTATGGCTGCACTGTTGTGCTTGCTACAAGCAAAGCCATGACCCATCCTCTTTTCCTTGCTATTTAGCCCAGAAAGTACAGGGCATCGCCTGGCGATTCCTTTCCGGCCAGCAATTGGATCTTTCGTAGCTCTCCCCCTCCTGGATCGATCGATCCATCGCTGATCGCGAGAAATGCTAGTGGCGAGAGGAAGTGGAGTGGAATCGCCTCGGATGACTCATGGTTTCCAGAGGCCGCGCTGCCTCGATCACAGGCCGGGAAGAGGAAGGCCATAGCTATGGCGGGCAAGAGCTTCTTGGAATCGGTGGAGCTCTCGGATGATCTGGGCAGCGGCGGCGGCGGCAGTAGCAGCAGGAGCAGCAGCGGTAGATCTTGGCACAGCCCACGGATCTCGTTCTCCAACGATTTCGCCCAACTGGGCGATCTAGATCATCCCGGCAGCAATGTGGGCGCTTCGCTATCGCCACGCCACCGCCCCTCCTCCTCGTCTGGCGAGTTTGAATTCACGGCCAGCGCCACCGCCGCTAGCGATCGCGCGGCGCCGCCCAAGAACCCCCCAATGCTCTCCGCCGACGAGCTCTTCTACAAGGGCAAGCTCCTGCCACTCCATCTCCCTCCGCGAATCCAAATGGTCCAGGACTTGTCCGAGCTCCGGATGGATCCAGCGCCGCCTGGGAAGAACCAGCCCATCGCCCAGATGAAGCAGCAGCAAGGATCGATCGTGGCAAGATCGCCACCGGTTGCCCTAATGCGCCGCGAGCGCTCGCTGAGATCTCCCGCTCGCCCATTGGTGGTGGCGTCCACGCTCAAATCCTCTTCCTATCCCCCGCCGGGCTACACCTCGCGCCCCTCCTCACCCCCAAAATCTGGCAAGTGTTCTTCTTCCAGCCGCTGGAGAGATCTCTTCGGATTTCAAAGAAAATCCATTTCTTCCCCAAAAGCATCGAGTTCTTCCAAGCAAGGTGTTCCAGCCAAGCTTCTCAAGATGATCTTTAACCGGAGTAGCAGCTCCAATTCCAGCAGCTCCAATGCACCAGAGATCTCTCCTCCGGATGATCCGGCAGAGATTGTCCATGACATTTCTCTGGTGCCGCTGCTCAAGGATTCCTCCTCTAATTCCTGCGATCCCGAGATCCTGGCGCTCCACTCCTCGTCGGTCTCGTCTACTTCCTCCAATTCCTCCTCGAATTGGACAGCGTCGTCGGCTAATTCCTCTTCCTCCTCCTCCGCGGATTTCCCAGACGAGATCGCCATCGCCCCGGGCAGAAATTCGAGCAGGAGCAAGCCCGATTCGAACAGAGGCCGGGCTAGCAGCAGGGGGCGGCGATCATCGGCTGGAATCTCTAACGCCAGGCTCCATGGGCAGCTCCAGAACTCGTCGGCAGGGAAGAACAGCGGCAGCAATCTCCAGAGAAGTGGGAGCAATCGCAAGGCGAATTCTTCCACGCTATCGGCCAAGATGCAGCTCCAGGACCACGTCCTGATCGGGAATTCGCGGCCCCACAGCGAGAGCAACTGGAGGCGGCCATCGGATCACAAGCCTTCCTCCTCGAGCGTGCGAGTGACGCCCGTTCTTCACGTCCCGGCGTGCATTGGGCCGTCGCTCCGGAGCGTTAGGGTTCATGGCTTGCGGAAGCTCTTCTCGTCCTCGTCCTCGTCCTCTTCCAATCCGCCTCCCTCGCATTCGCACGGGCCGGGCAAGCCAGATCGCACCGTCGCTGTGATGTGAGACCTCTCGCCACCTCCAATCGATCGATCGACGGGAATGGATGGACGAATCAAGCACAATCCCGAGTGCTCTGGTTCATCGCTGGTCCGATGCTGCGATTCTACTGCAATTCGGGATGAATTCTCCCGATTCGCGGCTGCCCATCCAAGGAAATCGCGCGCTGCGGCTGCCCAAGCGATCGGAAAGCCGAGATTTGGATCCCAGAGTGAGGATTTGAGTGTTGTGTGTGTGATATGTGAGATAAGAGAGATATTCTTTGAGTGTGTTGAGTGAGAGACATGGACCATGACTACACAGGGGGAGAGTGGTCAACCAACACAATATATATAAATACCTTTGTTTCTTTTGGACATGTTCTTTGGCCAAAGTACACGCAAGACAGATCAAACGAGATGAGATATGAGGCAGGCAAGAGCGCGAACGAGAAACCAGCCCCTCGAAATTCCCCAGAGGCTTTTTTAATGCCTCGATCCTCTCATCGATGGAATGGATCGTCGACAATTCCATCATCTTTTTCCTTGTTCTTATGGTTGCTGTTGTTGTTCGTCCGTGAATCATTTCGTTGCACTCACCTGGGCTTGCGAGATTCTGCCCTGTTTTGCTCTGTTGCGCGCGGAATCAGGCAATTGGGTCCGCGCAGCTGTCCGGCAGCTGCGAGCCCACTAAAATAATTCGTGGAAATCGCGCTTGGATCGGCGAAACTCGCAATAGCCCTAGAAACAGGGGACCAAAATCCCTAAGAACAGAGTGACATTTATCAAGAACCCTAAAAACAGAGCTTCTCATCCCGCCACCAGCGGCATTTCCATATGGACGCGATTCTCCTGCTCGATCACGTCGAGGTAGATTGGATCGACCTTGATGTCGCTGTCGACGTGAACCTGGAAGACCAGCGCGATTGGGAGATTTGAGCGCGATGAATTGAGCCGACAAACCTCGAATTTGTGGCGCCATTTCCAGACTCTGGCGGCGCCGCAGATCGTGACGGTGGAGTGGAGCAGCATCTCGCGATTATACACGTCTTTGATGAGATCCTTGACGTGGTTCGTGACTTGGAGGCCATCGAGCTTGGCGGGGACGCGCAGGATTTTGGTGGAATCGGCCTCCTGGCTGCCTTCGTCAACCTGGAAGAAAAAAAATAAAGTTTTTTTTTTTTTTTGGTTGTTTAGACGTGAATGCACGCTCTCGAGCTCTGGAAGAACTTCCAAGCTCTCGATTTCTACGGAAGTTTAGATTTCTAGCTCAAATTTGAAGAAGAAGAGATTGGAGTGCTATTCATGCGAACCAAGACAATGTAGCAATTACTTGATCAAAGAAACAGGCAATTCACGAGGAAAACAATGTAGCAATTCCTTAATCGAAGAAACAAGATATTCACGAGGAAAAACTATGAGCAATCGTGAACAATCGAGATCTTGATTGGTCACGATTGTTTTTCATAGTTTTTCCTTGTGAATAACTTGTTTCTACAGTGTTCTCAATCTAGAACAGTTCTTGACAGGAGTGATGGATGATCTAACGAAAAAATGCTGGCTGCCATCTCAAAGCATTGATTTGATCAAGACAAAGAAAAAAAAAAAGATCTAGCACGCCTTGACATTCTTTTGGAAGAACGAAGAAAGCTATAGAAAGTATAGTAGAACTCACCTTGGCTTGCCCTAGAAGTGTGTCGTGGTAGAAGATGTCCATGGTAGTGCTCGTGTACTCAATCGGCGCGACGTTGGGATTGGTGACGCTGATGCTCAGCACCAGCTCCACATCGATCACCGCCATGAGCATCGGCGAATCCGTGCAGAAGCGCATCTGGAATCCCTTGAATTCGATCGAGGTTACCTCGAAGATGGGATCCTTGGGCCGGAATTTCCACAGCGCCACTCCCCCGGCTGCCATAGCTCCCGCCGCGGCGATCCCCGCCAGCGCCATTCGCATCAATCGATGGAGCTGGAGCGACCGATCGATCGCAGAGGAGGAGCAAGGGTTTCTCTTTTTTTCCTTCGGTTACACTTAAAGGTATGTGTCGTGGTCCCGACAAAAGAAGTGGCATGGTTTTATTGGGTGGTTTTTTAAGATAGAAGAATTTTTTTCTTCCACAGGTCTGGGCTTCACGAGATAAGAGACGGGAAGAACAGTGGATCCCTGGTAGCCGATTGGTACGTAGATTCGATGGCATTGCTGAGTTTAAGTCTCAGATCTCCTCGCCCGAGCTGCCATCCTCCGGAGAAATGGAAGAGAAATACCTGCGAGCCTGGAAATCGAAGTGGCACTGGTCGTGTTCTTCTCTCGAGACTTGGTGGTGGTGGAGGAATGGACATCCAGAGTAACTTACTTGCGCTCTCGGGAAGAAATCGTCGTCTCGTTCTCGTGCGAAGATCCTCGAGCACCGAAGGACACAACAGTGGAGAAGGGAGAGCTTCTTCTCTGGCACTCACGCAAGTAATCTTTCTTCTATGTTGAGAGATCTGAGTAAGATCTTTTGAGTTTTTGTCCTAGGTAGATCCAGTTTTTCGTTTTCGTTTTCTTTTTTCTATCGGCCAAGTTTTCGAAGTACTGAAGTTTTCTTGCGAATGTAGGTGGCTCATCTGGGAGTGTCACTGGGAATTTTCCTGGGACTGGATAAGCTACTCAAGAAACTCTTCGTTTCAGCGTCGATAAAGTTTCCAAGTGCGTTGTTTGGGATGTTTTGCATCTTCGTCATCCTCAACGTTTTGGACGCGGCATCACCCGACTCGGCTGCGTCGGTGGTCTCCTTTTTTTCTCCAGCGATCACGTTCATACAAAGATGGCTGCCACTTTTTTATGTGCCTTCCTTGGTCGTCATTCCACTTGCAACCAAAGGTATTCCTGCGTCCGCTGGTGCAAAGATTGGTGCCATTCTCGGTAAGATAAAAGAACTGTTTCAAGTTTTGGCATTACTGATATGGTTTGTTCCTTGGCAGTTTTTGGATGGGCTGCAACTTTGGCTGTGGCGGGATACACTGCGGTGGCTGTCAGGGGAATCGTTCGAACCAAGCTAGAGCCCACGGAGCCGACTCCAAAGCCTGCTCCATTCACAGCGAAAGAGATAACAACCTGGTCCATCGTGTTTGTATTGTCGTTTGGTCTAGCGGTTTTGTCTCCCGGGGCTCTTGGATCATTTCCAGCAACAGCGCTGCCTTTTCTACTTGCAGCAACTGTTCTCGGATATATGCTGGGCTCAAGGTTTGCTCGTCCAACTTTAGTTCTAACCGACTTTTTGTTTCATTGTCTGCTGTAGCTTCCCAGCGGATCTTAAGAAGGTGCTCCATCCGATTGTGTGCTGTGCTATAGCTGCAGACCTGGCCGCGTTCTTGCTCGGCCTTTTCACGCAAAGAGGATTCGAATCAATACTAGGTACACTTCCTGTGCAACCTGTTTTGCAACTTATTCGTGTTTTGTCAAATTCCTCTTTGTCAGGAGCTTATTTGACAAAGAATCCTAGGGATCCTGGTGCCGGTGACTTGCTCATGGGATTTCTTGGTTCGGTGATTCTCTCTTTCTCGTTCTCGATGTTTCGTCAAAGAAAGGTGACGTTTCTGTAAGATCTTATATGACTCGTTCGTTCATTCACTTAGAGTAATTTGTTTCTTCCAAACTCAGCTTGTCAAGAGGCACGCCGCGGAGATTTTTTCAGCAGTTATTGCATCGTCGCTTTTTTCTCTGTATTCCACCGCAGCAGCTGGACGAGTCCTCGGCCTGGACGGACAATTCACTCGAGCTATAGTACCGAGATGTGTTACTGTTGCTTTAGCGCTGCCAATCTCGTCTCTACTCGAAGGTTTGCTTTTCACTTTATCCTGCTATTGAATCGTTTTGTAAGCTCGCAGGTATTTTCTACAGCTCAAAATCAATCGTTGACAGCAGCAGTTGTGGTGTTGACCGGTCTTGTCGGAGCAAACTTCGCGCAGACATTAATGGATAAGCTCGAACTGGACGATCCGATTGCTAGAGGGATGGCTACAGCTTCCAGGTTTGCATTTTAAAATGCGTGAACTTTAATGTCTCATCATCGTCCTGATCCTTCTTCTTCTTTTTCTTCTTGCCAGTGCTCATGGATTAGGCACTGCAGCGCTATCCGCAAAAGAACCCGAGGCACTACCGTTTTGTGCGATAGCTTATGCTCTCACGGGAATAATCTCGTCGGTGGTGGCCGCAGTTCCCGTTGTCCAGCAAAGCCTCGTCGCTCTGGCCGGTTAGTTGCCAATGGAGAAAAAGGAACAGGCAATAGAAAGAAAAAAGAAACAAACTTCTCAGAGGTACGCGAGCGACTTTTTCAATTCGGCATTGATTGCTTGATTGATTCGTATATTTTTGCTGCTGCATTTCACAGAGAGCTTTCGCTTTTTCCTCCCATTGGTCTTGCACGAAAATCTCCCAGATGAACGCAGCAACTTTGGGGTGGAAGTATTTGTTTATCCAAGTCAAAAAAGCAGCTACCACAAATGGAGCACCGGAATTAAATCTGGACCATCATGAACAGCCGCTAGACGAAAGAGAAAAGCGGAGTTTATTCGCTGGGAGAAAGAAGATTAAATTATTTCTCCTTGGCGACGAGACGATGCAAGTTCTCATACGAACACAATCATTGTTTCAATGCGAGGTTCTTCTTCTTTCTTCCTCATCTTCGTCTAAAAATTTGTTTTTCCTTTCGTTTTTTTATATCTTTTTCTCTCTGCGAAGGAAAGAAGCTTCGCTTCAATCATTCCTGAGAAGCAAAAGCCGCAGGGAATAAAGTAATCGACGCTTCTTCTTCTTGTTTGCTCGCGCTTTTCCGTAAGAAGTTTTGTTTATGCAAAAACTTGAGAGCGTGTTAAAATGTTGGCAGGGTTTTCGGCTATAATCGCTGGTCCCTCGCGATGACGACGCTGCTGGGTCATGGCGCTCGTCCTCGGATCCAAGGTATGTAGCGTCACTGCTCGATTCTCTCACGACCCATCTAGTGCTTGGGATCAAACCAGCGAGAGGAGATCATGAGAGTTACTCGTCATGATCCTCGTGCTCCGAGAAGATCACAAAAATAAACAAGCATTCTTTAGCTTAGCTAGAGGGATTTGCGTTTAGAGTCGCTGCTGCTGTTGGATTCCTCACTTACTTTTGTCGATTTTGTCTCAGAAATCGAGGCGAGCGCAAAGAAAAACCATGCAAGGTTTTTATATCAATCATCCACCACCACTGACCAGCGCAAAAGGAAGAGGTATGTATATATAGCAACTGGAGAAAGTGAAGGAATACACAAGCTCCTCCCCACCACCTATGGCGAGGGGAGAGTTTTTATTTCCTGGAGGGATTTCGGAAGAATCAAACGATCAATCAGATCGGAGTTGGATCAGTCCAGACTGGAAAGAGGCATTGCATTGATCGCCATGCACAGAAATGCGAGCAGCGAGCGAGCAGAGACTCCAGGAATCAGAGGTAGCAGCAGCGATCATAAGATATCATTTTTCATCGTGCCTTGAAAGGAGGAGCGAGTAAATAAGTAAGCTATCACTCCTTTTGCTTCCATCTTCTTCGTTCTTCGTCTCACTCACACAAGGCACGGCTTTGGCAGAGAGGCAAAGGAGAGGAGCTAGCTTCTGGTCCGCCATGGCTGGGCGAGAAAAACGTTCTGCCCATCTATCAGCCATCGATCGAGGTAGGTTTTTTAAAGCTAAACTATGGAGTTGTGGCACTGGTAAGCATGATTTCGTCGAGTCTCACTGCACTCACGAGTTTTTTGCTTGGCTCTCATGCAGATATCTCCGCCGCTGCTGCCTCTGCAACAAGATCGATTGTTAAATCGATTGAAAGGACTGCGAGCGCGAGCTTCGCTACACGGAAAAACTTACGCGGTAAAAGTACCCCTTTTGGATTTCTAGGACGAACGAGCGAGTTTAGCGCAGCATTGTCTTCGCATCGCATCGAGTTGAGCTGATCCGAGAGTGGACATTTCATCTCAAAGTTAGCAGCTACTTACACCGATCGGATCATAAAACTCGAGACACGAACTAAAGCAGGCTAGAACAGCGATTTAAATGAGACGCCGACATGCCTGATCGAGCCTGAATGGGGGATCCGCGAAGCAAACTTCTAAAAAGAAATAAAAATCTCTACCAAATCTTAACCATAGCAGGCAAAACACCTTGGGGTATTTTCCTTTTATTTTCTCGCCCGAATGATAGTAAGTACGTTGGCTGATGATGATCATGCACAATGCTACGGCTACTTTTCCAAGTACCAACGTGGCACAAAAATTTATGATGGGCCATTTAGAGGGGCGCATCTTTGGCGGAATATGCGGTCAAGGGCTTGACCAGCGCAAACCCGAATATTCGCCAGGTGCTTAGGGCTGTATGTAGAGCAGTACGCTACGGCGTGGTTAATGCGAGATACGGTCCGTTTTCCCGCTTTATACGAGGCGGGTGGCCGGCGGACGTCAGTCGCGCTCTCAAATCCGACAGCCAAGCGTACCCCAAGATTTGACGCAAATCCAGTTTAGTGTGTGCTCGAAATCAAGGCCGTGTGTGTGTGAGTGTGTGTGTTTTTTCTTATGTTTTTTTTTTTGTCGCTCGCGAGTCGCGAGAGAGCGAGCGATGCGAGCGAGAGCCAAGAAATTGGTGCTAGCTAGAGAGTTCTTCTCCTCGATCCTGGAGAGGGAAGACAAGGAAAGCGGAGATGGGCTGATTGATTGATTTTGATCGGGTGGTCGTTCTTGCGGCGATGGAGGGGATGGATTCGGCGATCTGGGCGCTTTGACCCGGCGGGAATGGCGAGAATGGATGAGGAGGACGGATCACCAGCAGCGAATAGGTGTCTGATACAGTGGGCGTCACCGACGAGCGAGCGCAAGAAGAACAGGGGAGGGAGGGGATAAAGGAGAGACGGAAGAACAAGCAAAGAACAAGCGCGCTGTGGCTTGTGCTGGTGGTCGGGGGTTCCAAGGGATCCCACGCGGCCATAGCTGCGCTTAGCTAGATCGCGGCCGGGGAGAGACACGGACGCTGGTGGATTCAAGCGCAACTTGGAAGAGCGAGAGAGCGAGAGGGATTTGGTCTTGATGGGTCCTGCCAGGAGACAAGAACAGCTGGAGATAAGGACTTGGGTCGCTCTAAAATCCTCCCAATCGCCAGGAGCAGCCCTCCAGTCGCGAACCCACGCGCCAAATCCCGCCGATTGATCCACCACTCCCCTGTTTCTCCACCCCCACTCTTCAAGCTAGATCGCTTCCAATCGCCGGGCTTTGATGAGAGGCTTCGCCCGAGACATGGTGTACGAGTTCCCGGACGACATCCTCGAGCACGTCCTCGTCTTCCTCTCCTCCCACCGCGATCGCAACTCGGTGTCGCTCGTCTGCAAGTCGTGGTACAAGGCCGAGGCCGCCAGCCGCGCCAACCTCTTCATCGGCAACTGCTACTCGGTCTCGCCGGAGCTCGTCGCGCGACGCTTCCCCAAGGTGCGCTCCCTCACGCTCAAGGGCAAGCCGCGCTTCGCGGATTTCAATCTCTTGCCCCCGCATTGGGGAGCCTATCTCCTGCCATGGATCGTCACCTTCGCGCACGCGTCGCTCCCGCTGGAGGAGCTCCGCCTCAAGCGGATGTGCGTGAGCGACGAGGCGCTCGATCTCCTCGCCACCTCCTTCCCAAGCTTCCGCGTCATCGTGCTTAACAATTGCGACGGCTTCAGCACCAAGGGCCTCGCCTCCATCGCCAGGAACTGCCGGTAAGCATCTCCTCTCCTCTGGACGGATTGATTGGATGCTCATCGCCGTCGCCGTGATGATCTCTCCAGGAACTTGCAGGAGCTCAACCTCCAGGAGAGCCTGGTGGAGGATCACAGCGGCGTGGACTGGATCAGCGCCTTCCCGGACACCACAACCTCGCTCCTGGCGCTCCACTTCTCCTGCCTGGACGCGGCCGTGGACTTCGACGCCCTGGACGCGCTGGTCGCTCGCAACCCGCAGCTCCGGAGCCTGGGCCTCAACAAAAAGGTGGCGCTGTGGCAATTGCAGAAGCTGCTCCAGCGCTGCGGGCCGCAGCTCACGGATCTGGGCACGGGCTCGATGAGCGGCATCGGGAACCTTAACGGCGGCGGAGCAGTTGGCGTAGGTGGGCTTCCGCTTCCGCTTCCGCAGCAGCTTCAGGCGCAGATGCAGGTGCAGGTGCAGGTGCAGCCGCAGCCGGCTCCGGAGCAGCAGGAGATGATTCAGTGGGAGCGGATTCAGGACCTGAGTGCGTGTCTCGCGAGTTGCACCAAGCTGCAGAGCTTGTCCGGGATCTGGGAGGCGGAGCCGCCGTGTCTCATCGCGCTCTACCCGGTTTGCCTCAACCTCCTCTCGCTCAACCTCAGCTACGCCAACCTCCGCAACGCGGATCTCCTCCAGCTGCTCAGCCACTGCCACAAGCTCCAGAGGTTGTGGGTAAGTCTCTCTCGCTCTCGCTCTTGGATTTTTCATGGTTCTATGGCGTCTTTGTTGCTCCATGGTGATTGATCGATCGAGGCGAGGTTTTAGTAGTAGTAGTAGTGTTCGTGTGCGTGCATTGATGGTATGTGATCCCCTGCTTTTGTGCGGTGTTTTTGTTTTTTTTTTCGTTTCTTTTTGGTTGGGTGTGATCTCGATCGTGGGCTCCTTGCTACGGGCGTGCATTCGCGATTTCCTTGATGGGTTATACCCGGCCGCGGGAATCACGAGCTGGGTTGCGCTGAGTTTTGCCTCTTGGGTCGTCTCCAGGTCGATTTGTGGCTGTCCCCTTCTCTGGTGTTCTCTCTTTTCTTTTCTCGTTTTTTTTTTTTTTCCCCTTCTGCGTGATAGTTTGATTCTGAACAATGAACATGCGAGCCTCTCTGACTTTTGCTCCTTTTTGCTTTTTCGGTTTTTGCTGGTGTGGCATGGCATGGCCATTGGCATCTCTTCTCTTGCATCATGATTGCTTGCGACTCATTCGCTCACGAATGGAGGCAAGCAGCCTCTCGCTCGCTCTCGATCGACCCAGTCAAAAAGCCCATGCATTCTCTCGATCGATCGATCCATGATCCATTCATCTCACTTTTGCTTTTCTCCCCTGGTCGCAGCTCCAGGACAATGTCGAGGACGCCGGGCTGCGCACCGTGGCCAACACCTGCAAGGATCTTCGCGAGCTCCGGGTGTTCCCGGCGGATCACGAGGGCGTCGGCGTGGTGACCGAGCAAGGCCTGCTCGCCATCTCCGAGGGCTGCGCCAACCTCTCCTCGATCCTCTACTTCTGCCGCCGGATGACGAACTCGGCCATCACCGCCATGTCGCGCGCCTGCTCCAAGATGCGCCGCTTCCGCCTGTGCATCATCACCACCCGGCAGCCGGATCACGTCACGGGCGAGCCGCTGGACGAGGGATTCGGCGCCATCGTCAAGAACTGCAAGGACCTCAAGCGCCTCGCGGTCTCGGGCCTGCTCACCGATCGCGCCTTCCAGTACATCGGCGAATTCGGCAAGAACGTGGAGACGCTCTCGGTGGCGTTCGCGGCGGACAGCGATGTGGGCTTGGAGGCGGTGTTCCGGGGATGCACCAAGATCCGCAAGCTGGAGATCCGCGACTGCCCGTTTGGCGATCGCGCGCTCCTGGCGGGGCTGGAGCGCTACGAGACGATGCGCTTCCTCTGGCTCTCGGGCTGCCGGGTGAGCATCGCGGGCTGCGACGAGCTGTCCAAGAAGCTGCCGTGGCTCAACGTGGAGCTCGTCAAGGAGAGCACGGAGGACGAATATACGGTGGATATGCTGTACGTCTACCGTACGGTGATGGCGAGCGCGAGGAGCGACCGCCCGCCCAGCGTCATTGGGCTGCGCGGCGGGGAGTACTTTTGGCGGTGGGTGCGCGGCGCCGCGGTGGGCACGTCCAATTCGAGCATCTAGGAGAGCGCCCTGGGTCCTGGAAGGATTTTGGGCCTTGGGTCGTGGAGATTTTCTCCATCGAGAGCTGGGAATTGGGCGAGAAGAGGATTGGATGATGGATGCGCGAATTGGTTCCGGAGAAGAGTAGCGGCTAACATTGTTTGTAGATTTGCAGCGAAGGTGGTGATTTTTTTTTCTTGTCTCCTTTTGTTCTTCTTTGTTCCTTTTTCCTTTGAAATTCTTTTTCTCCCTCCTTTGAGCACGCATGGAGTAGCTTTTTCTCGCGAGAGACAACGAGGGGATCTGAGAGACGTAGTGAGCGATGATGAAATTTCTCCTTTTCTTTGCTTTCCTCCCTGCGCAGGCTTTGTCTGTCCAGATCTTGGGGGGGTGTTTTGTTTTGCTTTTGCTTTCTCTATCTTTTTTGGCTCTTCTAGCACTAGCTGCGTGTGCTGCGCTATCTGCCGTGTTGCTTTTTCCGTTCCTTTGTTCCTTGTTCGTCGTTGCTTGTTGCTCTTTCTGGGCACTTCTGGCCGCCATGCCTTGTACCTCCGGCTGGGAAAATCTCCCTGTATTCAATGATTAATCATTGCCGCGCCCACTCCAAAGTCGTGTGGGTCGATTTCACTCGCTCCACTCCACTCTCCTCTCCTCTCCTCCACTCGCCTCACTCGCCGGGAAGAATTCGATTCGATCGATCATCCAATCCCCGCACTTCGCGCGCGCGCCAGAGCCTTTGAATTTCAAAACGTGGAGGGATATTCCTGGTGCGAGAGGGCTTCTAGATTTGATTGATGCGTAGATTTTAGGTTAGCTAGGGGACGAATTTTCGCTGCCCGTTGGGGACGAAATCGAAGAAAAAAGAGGCAAGGACAAAACAAATGAAGTGACCACTCTCTTTTTTTTTTGTTTTTTTTTTTTTTTTTTTGCGCTTTACATGAATTCTTGTAGCTGGCTAGCAGCTAGTAGCTGCCTAGAATGCAATGAAAAGCCAGCCGCACCACCTTTTTCTTACCACATTTGTGCCCAAATCTCTACCTTGGATGGCTTGATTGATTGATGGATGGATAGAACGAACGAAACGTAAACGAGCATGGAGCTGGAAATTCTTCCTCTTCCGTATACTTTTGTCATCTCAAGTTCTTGGAAGGCTGAGAACTCGTTGCCTTTCCAGCCTGTTGAATTTTGGGCGAGAGACTTTTTCACCCGCCTCCACCTAAAGGAAAAGCTTGTGGAAATACACCACCACCAAGATCGCATCACTCCCAAAATTTCAGGGCAATCCAGATGCTCAGTATTCTTCCCCTCGTCGTCAACCATCTCACTTTCGATGGGCGTGCTGAATCCCGGACCCAGATCCACGGTACGGACGCGCCCGGTCAGATGTTGCAAAAAGGTGGTAAAGAATGCCCAAAAGATTTGAATTGAATGAATGGAGCTATTGCTTGGCTGGCTGGGGCCTCTCTCTCTCATTTCATCTCAATCACAAAACACACACCTCTTTTTCTCCTGAGATCTTTGTTTGCATGGCTAGCAGTTGTGGCGATAAAAGGTAAGAATAATGCAAGCAAAACAAAAGGGTGGGGAGGGGTGCGGTCAAAAGGTGGACCACTAGGCTAGAAGCAAACAAACAAACAACAATAACAGGCCAATTTCAGCCACATCCCTAACTTCCTTTCCACAGGTGGGAGGAGGGGGGCTCTTTAAAAACGTTGGCAGCCATGCACAGCAGAGAGAAAACACTCCACATAGCATACAAGAAAGAGAAAACACTCCACATATCATACAAGAGTCCTGAATTTGGAATTTTAAACTGCAACCAGAACAGAAAACTAGGAAATATATAATAATATTATATATACTTGGTGCAGGATTCCAACAGTTGTCTTATAAAATGAGAGAGAAAGAGTTGAGAGCAAGGGTAGTGAAGGCGGCCAGCCTAACATTGGGTGGCACCAGCAGCACCAGCAGCAGCAGTCTCCCCTCCACTATTTGACTGTTGCTGCTGCAAAGAGAAATTGTTCTTGTTCTTGGTTGAGAGCCTTGCCATTGTCACTAGCCTGGAACAAATTTGTCCTTGCCTCTCTGCTCCTCCTAATCTATGCAAATAAATACTGTAAAGTTGAAACCCTTGGTTGCTTGCTTGCTGGCTGTGTACACAGACAATCCTTTTCACAGAGGGTGAAGAAGTTCATCAATTCATGGCCCCCAACGATCAGATAGGAAACATGTGTTCTAATGTCTCTCTCTAGAGGTCTCCAGCCCCCAAAACTCCACCACCTTTCCACTTGGGAATCATGCAATGATGCCCTTACAAGCTAAGTGAATATCCTGGGGGCATTCATTTACTGAGCATGCAAACAATGCCTGCCTTTTCTCCCCACCAATGCCAGCTCCCAAACTTGTGTGTGGGAGAGTGTGTGTGAGCTTTGTGTGCCACATGACAGCTACTAAATGCTGCTGTTTTTCCTTGCATGAGATGGGAATTCATATGATGCTAATTATGACCTCCTGTCCAAACCTCTGTACTAGAGTGTGTCTAGTACAACAGCAGCCTCCTCTTCTTCAATCCTTCATCTGTTCTTTCTCTTCCCTATGTATGTGACACTTCCCCAAGCTTCCCACCTCTCCCCACCATAGCCAGCAAGAACAGCATAAAAGAAAAACACTAAAGAGGTGGTCTGTGCCTGATGAGTTGCTGCTCTGCTACTGCTGTTTCTGCCACTGCTACTGCTGCTACTCTGCTGCCTCCTTTCCTCGTCACCAAATGCACCACCATCAGCCTTCTAATCGCGGAGCTTATCATTTCTCTTGTGATTTTCCTCTCCCCCTGCCTCTTCTGCTTGGCTTGCTTGCTACCTGGTACTTCATATTGATTTAACTTATCAACGTCCTCGTCGTTGTCTGGAGACGCCCAACACGCGCATTCATTGGAATTTCCAGTCTATGTCCAACGCGTGGCTGCCTCCGCCTTCCTTTTCCTTGGGTCTTTCCATTTTCCCGGACTTTGATACGTCCCTTCTGTTGGACGACCCTTCTTCCTCACATTTCGCCAACTTCTCATTTCGACGGTACCACAGCTCGCTTTGCTGCTAGCTAGCTTTTCCCTGATTGATCCTGTCCATATGCAGCCCCAACAATGTCCCTGTGTTCCTTCTGCTACCCGGAACTCTCAAGCGTGACGCTTCAACTTCCTGCCTATCTAGCCGCGGGAACTATTGTCACCAGCCAGCCGCGATCATCTTAGAATACTCTCCTCCAGATCACCATTGCCGACCACTACCAGCAAGCCTATGCTCTAGCCTTCGAAACATCTCGCAATCGTCATGCCTTGTGCAACTTTTCGTCAGAGAACCGTCTTAAACAATGTACAAACGTTGCACAAGACACAAAGATCGCGTGCAAAAACCAAAAGAAGTACAGGCGCATACCGGAGAGATAAGCTCATTGAGTACGTGAGCTTTACTTCTAATGGTCTTGTGGATATAGAACCAGGTGACTTTGCTAGTTGCAGGAGCAAATCTAGTAATTCCAAAGAAACAAGGTTTTCAGCGTATATTGCCGAAGGCATACCTGAAGGCCTTCCTTTTCAGGCTCCCAAGTCGTGTGACTAATCAAGTCGTTCAAACTGTTTTCGGAAGCTGTGGTTCAATAAGTAGTTTCCACAATGGAAGCAGCTAAAACAGTGAACACGTGACTCGCCAAACCTGCAGATGAACCATTTTGAGGCACTCAGAAAACAAACCGTGCAGTACCTTATCGCCTCTGCCTATCGTCGAGCTTTTCTTTGAGCGCTTTATACAGGAGTAAGGAGATCGCAGTCGCAGGAACAATTTTGACATAGCTTGCGGCCAACCCTGTAACATTTCTCAAGTCAAAACAGAACGAAAGTATTCACGACATACCTGAATAAAGGCCATTTACACCCTCCTTTTCAAGGATAACTTGGAAAGCATTTATCATGTTATTGTATACCAGTACTCCTTGCTTTGCAGTCTCAGCCTGTACAAGTAATTAATCCAGGTCAAAGTTCTCTCAACGATACCTGCAACCTCCGTTGAACCACTTCGAGAGGATGCACCAGGGTCTGTGCCGCCGTAGCCGCCACTATCCTAAAGTGGAAAATGGCCAAGCGCGTGTCAAACCAGGTTCACAAAAATGTAAGACAACGCTTACCCGAATAAAGCATCCACGGAAGTTTTAATCTCGCCACCAGGACCAGTCTTTTGTCTATGACGTTCTTGCAAATGATTAAATACAGTGAAAGTTATCAGAGTATATGGTACTGCCCTCGCCTGCCAAATAAACACTCAGGGATCAGAGATTGCAAACAGCGCAGCTCGTAAAACTACGTACCAAGTTGGGTATAAGGCCTCTGTACAAGTTTAGAAATCCGCCATTGTCCAAAGCAGATTTTACCATCAAGTCGTCCACATGCCTGTTTGGTAATTGTGACGCTAGAACCGTTCTCATGGTATCCAGAGGATACCCGGCAATAACACCAGCCATAGAAGCAAACGTCCCCAAAAGTAAGCGATCGAAATTAGAAATTTCTGACTGCTTTCTTTTACTCAGCAGCGTTTCTTTAAGTTTGTCATAAACAAGGAACTCCACGACCTACACATGCAAACAGTCAACAAAGCGAAACAAATTTGAGCTTTGCAAGTCATACCCTGGTTGGAATCACGCGGGCCACATTCAGTAAGTTGCCTCTAAAAAGTCCTTGAAACCCCTCGTCCCTGCAGTCAAGCACTAAGTGATGTCAGCAACTGCAACCAGGTAAGTAGAACCGCTTACTTCCGGATTTCTTCGAAAGCCTTCCCAAAAGCAATATTGGAATCCACCGTTGAGAGAAGCTGCAATTTCAGCCAAACAAATTCTTGTCATGTTCGGAAGGTGTGAAAAGAGTAGTACCTTCACACGTTCCAGAGGTGCCACGAGCGTCCTCGTTACTGCGGAGGCAAGCACACCAAGAGACAAATGCTTCAATATCTTGTCCTTCGACAGGAGGAGGTCGCCAGCTTTTCCTTTCTTCGCAGATATAAGAGGGAAAGATGTATCCACGTCCCCTACATCTATCGCAGCTCGAGCCCAAACTTGATCCGCGTCTATCAGATCCTTTTGACTGTACGCCATCAAGCAATTCCTGCAGTAAAAATTCAGTTCTTAGTCGCAACCACCAGTACCGAGAATGCATATGAATTACCTGTAATCAGCAAAATCAAAGAGCTGGTTTTCATCAAAAGGACCAGCACCAACTTTGCTGTAGGTCCGAGCAAGTGCTTGCAGATCACTGTCCGAAAACCTGAAACGCAAAAAAAAAAAAGAAAACCGAGAGAGAGAGTTCGCAATTCACATACTTTGCACAGCCTACCGGAACTTGTATTTCACCAACGCGGCTTTTATTTCGTTCGTAGTAAGGTATCCTGTCTGTTGCAAGCCAAACAGACAACAGAGAACAATAAGAACTAGACGGACATGATATGATTCGTACGTTATTCTTGTCGAGCTCTCTGAAGGTATCAAACAGGAGGTTTTCTCGGCTAACAGCGTACTCCGCGAACTGATCAAATGGCACAGTATTGCCACCAAGCGAATCGAGAAACTCTTGAACATTCTGTGCATAGAAAACGTCACAACACCAAAGAGATAATAGAAAACAAACACTTAACAGAACCGAATTTTAGTACCTCTTCCGACGATGGGAGATTGAGGCTCTTGAGCACCGCTTTCAGATCATTCTCGCTTATGTGCCCAGCGTTTTGCTTGTCCAGCTCCTGAAAGAGCCAAAGACAAAGATCTTCCTTCGTCACGGCATGGGAATAAACAAAACAATCTAAAATCCCACCTTAAACCTCCGCTGTAGAGCGTCATGCGCATACGTCCCGCGCTTGGGCGAGTATGGCACCGCTTGAGCCGGAGCAGCCTCCTCCCGGCCCGCATTCTCTTGCTTGCGGCGTCCAAACAAGCTGATGCTCGCGAATCCCAATCCAGCACCGCCGAGGCCCAGATTATCGCGTGGAATCGGCAACACCGGGCTCAGCCCCTCGATTCTAGCCCAGCGCACCTGTGCTCGCCGTGCTTCCCTGTGATCGAGCGACGCCATGGAGGAATGGATCGATCCGAGAAACCTAGCTAAAGAGCTTCCATGGCAAGTGCCAAGTGATTAGGGTCTAACGATAGAAGGAAGACACATGGACAGCCGATAAGCATCAACTTGGCACATTGTGAGCCGATATGATTTTTCCACCCGGGCAAATCTCTACCGCCCACTTTGTGCTTGTAGTTAGTTCTTCACATATATCTATAGAGCTGACAAAGAATCGACTTAGTGGATCACTGAGATATCTTTTAAGGAATGGTGGAAGAATTTTATTGTGATAGAAGATCTACACACTCTTTCATAGCGCTAGAAGGAGTGACCCGAGCAGAATCAATAAGCCGCAAGGAACTGCAAGGGATGATCCGGCACTGCTTTGTCTGATCAAACAAAGCCCCGCCAGTGGCCCATCCCTACTCGTCCATACAACCTGGTTAGAGGACGTCACAAGTGAGAGCTCTCCACCATCGCTGAGCCTCGCAAAGCTCGCATTTCTCCCATCTGTGCTTGTGCTCCACACCACCTCCTCCATCACGACGAGCTCCAAGCTCCCGTTGACTTGGAATCGAGAGGAACAGTTTAGGCCCGGTGCGCAAGGCGAGCTCCAGAAGATTGGCGTTGGCTGGCCGAGCAGCACCGGCGTGTTGGTGGCTTGAATCTGGATCTGGCAGAAAGAAGCGGAAGTGCTGGCGAGAACAGCAGTGGAGGAGTTTCTTGGAGAGTTCAACCAAGTGACTGACAATGAAGTTCCTGGTGATGGAGGACCAGTGAAGCTTAAGTTTACAGAAAAATCACTACCATTCGTCTGGCCGAGTTGAGCGAAGCAGCGTGAGACAATGGACAAGAACAGCGAGAACAATATGAGCTTTTCCATCGTCCTTCAATGAAGTTTTCTCTATGATTGTGGATCGACTGAGCAATGCTTTGAATAAGAGCGTTTTGTTTCCATGAGAAGCTTATATATGAGAGCGATGTGGAGAGTTTTGATAGGACTCTTTTGTCAGACCATCAAAGGAGACTGGTTTGTGTTTTTCGTTGTTCTTGATTGGCGGCCGAGATTGCGCGGGCATTTTCCTGACTCAAATTGTGATTTAGTCAAATAAGGTGAAACGTAACAAAATGGGGTATAGGCTTGGCTGGGACAATGTCAAAAGTGATGATAGCAAGTGCATTTGAGCTCACTTTCAAGCCGGTGAGGAAATTGAGTATGAACCCTTTCAATGGGAGTTTGTTCTATAGGCTCCAACATCTCAGCTTTAGGCAATTTCTATTTGCAAGTCTGCAAGTCGCAAATTCAAAGGAGGAACTTCTTGAAGAAGTTGATTGTAATCCCTGGTACCAAAATAAAAATGGAAACAATATATTTTTTTCTATTTTTTTCATTTTTATATCGTGGTCTTTAGTTATTTTTATTATAGCCACTTGATTTATTGGATACAACATATACTTGAAATTAACCTCGATTTATTATTTACTTAAGGTCACCATACAGAGATAAAGTTCTTGAAATTATCTAGCTCATTCTTTATATTTGTGAAATAATTTAGGAGTGCTTTCTTCTACTATAGATGTACTTAGAAATGGCAGTATACCTTTCATTTATCATTATGGTGTAAATTAAATTGCATTTCTAGATCTAAGCCTATCTTCATTATGGATTTTTCTCCAATATCTGGTAAAGTTCATTTGCTAACACCAAAAAATCCACAAATATTGAGTCGAGGATATTTAAAATATTTCTTAAACTTTCCAAAGGCTTTTGTTCAAGTATTCTGAAAAATTGCATTAGGCTACTTATGTGTTTGTACAGAAAAAATTATTTTGAGTGTCTGATTTGAACACATCATTTGCAGTTATCACAACACTAAAATTATTATGAGTTCTGACACAAAATACAAAGGGAGAATAAATTTACTAGAAAATTTGCAAATAAAAAAGGCCTGTATGGTCTTATTATTTTTTATAAATAATGTTTTAATGCTTAATGAAACTAATGAAATAGAAAATATAATCTTCAATATTCTCTCTTTGAATCTTTTGGTTTGCTTAAACAAACTTGTAGAGGGGCTAGGATGGTAGTGGATATACATAAAATATACTTGGATATCCTAGGATATTCTACCATCTAATGGTTGTTATTCATTTAGATTAATCTTGTATTTATAATTTATAAACATTTTTATAATTTATAAAATTTCTTAAAACCTTTCTAGTATATTATTTTTTATTCTATCATCTAATGGTTGATATGCAATAAGATTAATTTTGTGTTTATAAATTACAAACATGCTTATAATTATAAACTTTATTTGATCAATTGGATTAATAAGTAAGAATAACACTACTATTAAACACACCAAGCATTTCTACATGCAATGTGTAGCAATGTTTTATTTTTTAATCAATTATCAATTACTTATCTTAATTTATATTTAATTTAAACTAGGTATCTAATAAATATGATATTATGCACTTAGATGATGGTGGCATTCATAGTGCATGATGTAACTTCTCTTGCTATTATTCCTAATCCTTGCATAAACTAGATTTTTTCCTTAGGAATTCTATAGATGACGTGTATCTTTCATTTAATCACTTTATAATGATTGCCACTTATCTTATGCCAATGTTTAGTGTTTACATAAGTTTCCCACATATTTTCAAAATATGTGGTTACAATGGTATAATGGTTTAAATATAACCACTCATGTTGATTAAAGTTTTTTCTTGAATATCTTCAAGCATGCATTTAAGATTGCGTAATTGCATTGTCTTATTAAGGGTTATTTGAGACTTTATCAAGATCTTATAAGATTTATACATGTAATTGCACTAACCACTTTGATGATACTTTTCAAGTAGCACAATACTATGAAACATATCTCTCCTATTTGTAACTATATATATTTACTTTTCATGAGACATTATAAAATTTTGATGATTGTTGCTACTTGTGTTCAAGGACAAAAATGAAAATATGGGCATGATCATTGCCAAGGGAGGAAAAAGAACTTTAAATTTCACTTCTCTAATGCAAGGCTTTAGATGATCTTTTCTATAACTTATGCATCGTACTTTATTAGGTGCGCTTTAGAGGGAATTTCAGAGCAATGATGTAATCAAGAATAAATCTTTTGATAAAAGAGTTGACAAAGATTTTATTAATTCTTCAGCTTCTCTTTACACAATTATGAAATCATTATGTTTGAATTTAGTGGTTAGTGGCACACTATTTTTATATACTTTGTGCTTTGAGAGAAAGAGAGAGGAGAGGGATTTCTACTAACTTGTAATTTTTATATTTTTTAAGGAAGTAAGGATCAATAAAGAATATTACAAAAATAAAATCACTCCATACTCAATGCTCTTCATTATATAGTCTTTAGAATATATTTTATGTTTTGCTGTTAATATCATAAAATATTGGTGTAGAAAAGGTGGCAAATTTAGATGACTATTAGTGAATGCATATATTACACAAGGAAATATTTTTGAATGATGGTAGAAACTTTTACAAAGTTGGAGGGTATACTTGAATATAAGAGTTATATAATATATCATTTTATAAAGATGATGGAAGATAAGGTTTGTGATAAGGTAAAGTGGATAAGTAATAGAACAAATATAAGATATAGAAAGGAAAGAGTAGTTATACTTTGACTTCAACTATAGAATTATAAGGAAAAATTGATAGTAGAGGTATAAGGAGGATGGTTTTGTATATACATGCCTTGTATCCAGATATCTTGACTTTAAACATGCCATTTTTGGTTGTATAATCCCACCCAAACAAGCAACATGGCTATAAGTCATGTAGGTTATTTACAACCTAATGATAATGTTGTTTTATAGTTGAAGTTAGAACATTTATATCCATGCACTAAGGTGTTCTGTTGTTCTTCATTAAAATCTACTAGCAAATATAATTCATTAGAATTCCATTTATAAAGCTTTTATAAATTTCTTATCACATCTATACTTTCTATTTTATTGAACTGTTTTTGTATATTGAAGAGCTAACATTGATTCTCATGTTGAATAAGCCTCAATTACAAGTCCTTCTTATCACTTAGTCCATGCTTAAACACTAATTATAGACTTAAGATTTTTAACTTAATTGGAAGTATAGCTAACTTCCTTGATGTTGGTTTTAATTTCTATTGCTTTAGCCCACTTAGTAAGGTAGTTTATTGCCACCAGGATAGATTTTTATAACTTAATGTCACTACAATTTGTCCTACAAAATTTATACCGTATTGCTCAAATGATCATGTTGACAAAATTGAATAAAGACTTCTTGATTGAAGGATTCTTCTTCTAAAGACTTGATAAATATGACATGACCTACACCATTTCTTTATATCTTGGAATAATGTTGACTAGAAATATCTTATATTTACAATCTTCTTAGTTACATAATTATGGGAAAAGTATCCACTACAATATCTTTTATAATTCTAAACTTTTGATCTCCTTTCATTTATTCTATTCAACTGCTCCCTAAAACATATTGTCTCATCCAATTTGGTGAAGTTGATTAATTATTAATATGAATGGTTTTGACTTGCATATGATTTTCTACTTCTCAATGCCTTTACACCCTTTTAAAAAACTCCTTATTTTCAAAATTGTAAAATCTTGATATTCTTTAAACACTCATTATCAAAACATCATGATCCTCTTCCTAGCATGGATCTCTTCTTGCTCTAGAGGTATTTTATAATCCAAAATTATAGCCAATTTTGCTTGAGTGAATTTTTTTATATTAAAACTCAAAGTTATAATTTGTTATAATTTATCATCCACTTAGAAAAATTTCTTAGAAGTATTAGCTTTTTTGCAATGTACCTCAAAGCAATATTATTTATAAGGAATACAAAATGCCTTCCTCACAAGTAATTCTTTAATTTCTCTATTGCATATAGGATACATGCATCTTGCTTCTCTAAAAGTGGATAACCAAGCTCAAGTCCTTGAAGTTTTCAACCAACATAGTAGAGGGGAAATATATATCCTTTACTCCTATTTTGGAATAAAATTGCTATAATAGAATATTTGCCATAGGTTCTTGTTGTTCATGCTAAACTATTGATGTAACCTCAAGAGTAAAAAAATCTAGATTGGATCTTTGTAATTCTACTTGTGCTTGCTGTTCCTCAAGATTTTAGCACATGAGTTCTAACTTTTGGGTAAAAGCCATTTGTAATTGCCTATTAATCCATCTATCTACTTAATTCCTCTTAGACACTAAGAGCACACACAAAAGGCTTTTAGGTGAAGTTTCACTCCCATAAAACCCAGAAACTTTGAAGCACACTTTAGAAATTATGATTTTCAATAAAAATTTTATATGCTAAATAACCTTTCAACTTAAAAAACTAATATGCAATTTATAAGTGTATGGAGAATATGGAAAGATGCATATTCAATTAACCTAGACTATAGTGGTTTGGATTGAAACCAATCCAATGATTATCAAAATCCCACTATGCTAATATTAATATATAGCATTGAGTTAATAAGCTAGGATCTTGAAAAACATTAGGAGGAGGCATTAGTGGATCTATAAGTAATGCAACTTATTCTTACAATAATAACTAGATGGAAAAGGAAATGCAAATGGTTTAAAGATATACTGATCATGATGAAATCTATTGTTAGATATTTCAAGTTTGTTACAATAACTCCAACAATATTGGCCCTTTTTCATTCTTCAAGGGCCAAGTGTTTACAAAATAAAGAACTTATAAAGCTAACAAAACTCAATTATATACATCTTTTACACATTGGCAAGGTTGAGAATTTTTTGAGAAGTTTTGAGAGCAATATTTAATAGCCTCAAATTTATAATCCTTAATAAAAACAATTGTGTCAAGAAGAAAGTAAAAACTACTACTATTTGAACTAATCTCAATGATAATTCTTTATGAGAGTTAGTTGACGATGTCCTCATTATTCTAAAGCCTATCTGGTATAGCATCAAATTATTCAATTGTAAAAGTCCTATATATGGCCTTATTTGGGAAAATTGAGAATCAATCTAGAGGTAAGTTTTTTATTATCAAAGTTCTTCAACTTTAAAATTTTCTTTATAGACCTCATTTTCATTTATAGTTTTCTAGGTGTTTGACAAAAAATATAGAAATATTCTAAGAATATCCTTTTAACGTTGGGATGCTTTAAGGAGGTTAAGGATTTTATCAATGTCATTAAAGATTTTCTTGCTTCACATGGACTCTCAAGATGAATAAATCAATCTCATATCTATGATTACCATTGTTACATCAATCATATAAAAGATTATGGTATTGTAAGATGGGAAGTTGTTACCAGATGTTTGTGACAATTAAGGGGTTGATTGTTAGTTAGAGTCATAAGAAAACTATTTATCTCACAACCCAATTTTTTTTCAATGAAGCTTATGGGTCATACTTCTTTGTGGTGGAAAAACTACTTTAAAATTAATCCAGATACAATTTAATAAAGGTTTCCTACCCTTTATTTGTCAAAAAGTTTGAAAAGGTTGATTGAATAAGTAATTGTGGAGCTTATCATTTCCCTTGTGATTTTGCTCTCCCTATGCCTCTTCTGCTTGGCTTGCTTGCTACCTGGTAATTCATATTGATTTAACTTATCAAAGTCCTCATCGTTGTCTGGAGACGCCCAACACACGCATTCATTGGAATTTCCAGTCTGCGTCCAACGCGTGGCTGACCTCCGCCTTCCTTTTCCTTGGGTCTTTCCATTTTCCCGGACTTTGATACGTCCCTTCTTTTGGACGACCCTTCTTCGTCACATTTCGCCAACTTCTCATTCCGACAGTACCACAGCTCGCTTTGCTGCTAGCTAGCTTTTCCCTGATTGATCCTGTCGCTTTCAGATCATTCTCGCTTATGTGCCCAGCGTTTTGCTTGTCCAGCTCCTGAAAGAGCCAAAGACAAAGATCTTCCTTCGTCACGGCATGGGAATAAACAAAACAATCTAAAATCCCACCTTAAACCTCCGCTGTAGAGCGTCATGCGCATACGTCCCGCGCTTGGGCGAGTATGGCACCGCTTGAGCCGGAGCAGCCTCCTCCCGGCCCGCATTCTCTTGCTTGCGGCGTCCAAACAAGCTGATGCTCGCGAATCCCAATCCAGCACCGCCGAGGCCCAGATTATCGCGTGGAATCGGCAACACCGGGCTCAGCCCCTCGATTCTAGCCCAGCGCACCTGTGCTCGCCGTGCTTCCCTGTGATCGAGCGACGCCATGGAGGAATGGATCGATCCGAGAAACCTAGCTAAAGAGCTTCCATGGCAAGTGCCAAGTGATTAGGGTCTAACGATAGAAGGAAGACACATGGACAGCCGATAAGCATCAACTTGGCACATTGTGAGCCGATATGATTTTTCCACCCGGGCAAATCTCTACCGCCCACTTTGTGCTTGTAGTTAGTTCTTCACATATATCTATAGAGCTGACAAAGAATCGACTTAGTGGATCACTGAGATATCTTTTAAGGAATGGTGGAAGAATTTTATTGTGATAGAAGATCTACACACTCTTTCATAGCGCTAGAAGGAGTGACCCGAGCAGAATCAATAAGCCGCAAGGAACTGCAAGGGATGATCCGGCACTGCTTGGTGTGTTCAAACAAAGCCCCGCCGGTGGCACATCGTTACTCGTCCATACAACCTGGTTAGAGGACGTCACAAGTGAGAGCTCTCCACCATCGCTGAGCCTCGCAAAGCTCGCATTTCTCCCATCTGTGCTTGTGCTCCACACCACCTCCTCCATCACGACGAGCTCCAAGCTCCCGTTGACTTGGAATCGAGAGGAACAGTTTAGGCCCCCGAGAGAGGGGGGTGAGAATGCGCAAGGCGAGCTCCAGAATGGCTGGCCGATCAGCACCGGCGTGTTAATCTGGATCTGGCAAAAAGAAGCGGAATTGCTGGCGAGAACAGCAGTGGAGGAGTTTCTTGGAGACTTCAACCAAGTGACTGACAATGAAGTTCCTGGTGTTGGAGGACCAGTGAAGCTTAAGATTACAGAAAAATCACTACCATTCGTCTGGCCGAGTTGAGCGAAGCAGCGTGAGACAATGGACAAGAACAGCGAGAACAATATGAGCTTTTCCATCGTCCTTCAATGAAGTTTTCTCTATGATTGTGGATCGACTGAGCAATGCTTTGAATAAGAGCGTTTTGTTTCCATGAGAAGCTTATATATGAGAGCGATGTGGAGAGTTTTGATAGGACTCTTTTGTCAGACCATCAAAGGAGACTGGTTTGTGTTTTTCGTTGTTCTTGATTGGCGGCCGAGATTGCGCGGGCATTTTCCTGACTCAAATTGTGATTTAGTCAAATAAGGTGAAACGTAACAAAATGGGGTATAGGCTTGGCTGGGACAATGTCAAAAGTGATGATAGCAAGTGCATTTGAGCTCACTTTCAAGCCGGTGAGGAAATTGAGTATGAACCCTTTCAATGGGAGTTTGTTCTATAGGCTCCAACATCTCAGCTTTAGGCAATTTCTATTTGCAAGTCTGCAAGTCGCAAATTCAAAGGAGGAACTTCTTGAAGAAGTTGATTGTAATCCCTGGTACCAAAATAAAAATGGAAACAATATATTTTTTTCTATTTTTTTCATTTTTATATCGTGGTCTTTAGTTATTTTTATTATAGCCACTTGATTTATTGGATACAAAAATTAACCTCGATTTATTATTTACTTAAGGTCACCATACAGAGATAAAGTTCTTGAAATTATCTAGCTCATTCTTTATATTTGTGAAATAATTTAGGAGTGCTTTCTTCTACTATAGATGTACTTAGAAATGGCAGTATACCTTTCATTTATCATTATGGTGTAAATTAAATTGCATTTTTAGATCTATGCCTATCTTCATTATGGATTTTTCTCCAATATCTGGTAAAGTTCATTTGCTAACACCAAAAAATCCACAAATATTGAGTTGAGGATATTTAAAATATTTCTTAAACTTTCCAAAGACTTTTGTTCAAGTATTCTGAAAAATTGCATTAGGCTACTTATGTGTTTGTACAAAAAAATTTATTTTGAGTGTCTGATATGAACACATCATTTGCAGTTATCACAACACTAAAATTATTATGAGTTCTGACACAAAATACAAAGGGAGAATAAATTTACTAGAAAATTTGCAAATAAAAAAGGCCTGTATGGTCTTATTATTTTTTATAAATAATGTTTTGATGCTTAATGAAACTAATGAAATAGAAAATATAATCTTCAATATTCTCTCTTTGAATTTTTTGGTTTGCTTAAACAAACTTGTAGAGGGGCTAGGATGGTAGCGGATATACATAAAAATACTTGGATATCCTAGGATATTCTATCATCTAATGGTTGTTATTCATTTAGATTAATCTTGTATTTATAATTTATAAACATGTTTATAATTTATAAACTTTCTTAAAACCTTTCTAGTATATTATTTTTTATTCTATCATCTAATGGTTGATATGCAATAAGATTAATTTTGTGTTTATAAATTATAATTATAAACTTTATTTGATCAATTGAATTAATAAGTAAGAATAACACTACTATTAAACACACCAAGCATTTCTACATGCAATGTGTAGCAATGTTTTATTTTTTAATCAATTATCAATTACTTATCTTAATTTATATTTAATTTAAACTAGGTATCTAATAAATATGATATTATGCACTTAGATGATGGTGGCATTCATAGTGCATGATGTAACTTCTCTTGCTATTATTGCTAATCCTTGCATAAACTAAATTTTTTCCTTAGGAATTCTATAGATGATGTGTATCATTCATTTAATCACTTTATAATGATTGCCACTTATCTTATGCCAATGCTTAGTGTTTACATAAGTTTCCCACATATTTTCAAATATGCAGTTACAATGGTATAATGTTTTAAATATAACCACTCATGTTGATTAAAGTTTTTTCTTGAATATCTTCAAGCATGCATTTAAGATTGCGTAATTGCATTGTCTTATTAAGGGTTATTTGAGACTTTATCAAGATCTTATAAGATTTATACATGTAATTGCACTAACCACTTTGATGATACTTTTCAAGTAGCACAATACTATGAAACATATCTCTTCTATTTGTAACTATATATATTTACTTTTCATGAGACATTATAGAATTTTGATGATTGTTGCTACTTGTGTTCAAGGACAAAAATGAAAATATGGGCATGATCATTGCCAAGGGAGGAAAAAGAACTTTAAATTTCACTTCTCTAATGCAAGGCTTTAGATGATCTTTTCTATAACTTATGCATCGTACTCTATTAGGTGTGCTTTAGAGGGAATTTTAGAGCAATGATGTAATCAAGAATAAATCTTTTGATAAAAGAATTGACAAAGATTTTATTAATTCTTCTTCACTAAGTTCACTTAGTTGTAATTCAATCACCTCGTAATATATATATGCATTCCTAAAATCTAGTCTTTATGTAGTAGCTCAATTTTGATGGTCCTTCCTATCCATATCACTTTAATTTGAGCTATGTTCATGTCTTGGAAGAGCAATAAAGACTTTTCTAATATGATTCAATGTTGCTAAGAACTTCCCAAGGATAAAATTTCTTAAAGAATCTAGCGGATTTACAAATTTTTTGCCATTAAAGATGAATTTTTGATCATGCAGTCTATAAATAGAACCATCCTCTTTTTGTAATATTGTAAACACCCAACTGGCCTAGTATATTTTAAAATGTATATAATTTTTTAGCATTAGTTTTTGATATCTTGAATTACCATCAAATGCATGGGTAATTTTTAGGCTAAGAACTTATTGCAAATTATTATCCCAAGTGTCATGAACTCACTCCCGTTGCTGTTGAATATCCAAGTTATAAGACTTCTAAGATTAAAGTTACTATAACTACAAATGAAATATCTAAATATCTATTGTAAGTAAGTTGGATAACAAGAAATAACTTTGGTAGATTGTAATAGTATAGTAAGTTCACTTTAAGCACATGACTATAATGAGTTTGTTAGAAATTGTCAAAAATTGCTATAATGTTATTGTAGCCTTCCTCTCCTGCCCCTACTTTAACAAGAAATTTGTCATCTCACATGTGATTTGCATTTAGACCACAAAATCCAACAAGTATATCTACCTTTACATCCAAATGTAATGTTGTTTTGATGTATGTCTCATCTTTAGCCCTAGTATAAGAATTCTCTCAGCATTTTGATTTATATAAGCATTGTAGATGCTTGAACTTGCTGGAATATATCAACCAATAATTCAATACTTAGTTTATATATAGAAAACTTGAAATCTATAGAAAAATACCTACACTCTAATACTGTAGTGAAGTGTTGTTCTTATAGCTCATCTGGTTATAGAAGTACTTGGCCTAACAAAATTTTAAGGATATAAAATCATCAATTTGTGCTTCTTCATGGATTTGAATAACCTCAAAAATTTGCTCTTAGCTTGTATTTCATGGCTATCCACCAGCTGGGCGAAACAAGTTCTTGGATATATCCACAAGAAAATTCCAAAACCCTATCTTCCTTTCAAATTTGCTATCTCGTGCTATATCACAAATTTCCTTGTAAAATTTTCTACTATCCATGTGATCTAAATCCTTTGAATACTGCTCACTAAGACCTTAAACTTTCATAATGATTCTTTATTATTGCTTCATAATTTGAGTCTTAAATTGTTATATAAGTTGATGCCTTAATCATGCATTAGCAAAAGCTCTTTCAATATCACCGTATTTTCTTAGAATCTTAGGGGATAAATGGGGATAAAATAACTACTAAAAAACTCTTTTATCAAGCAATTGCCCTTTTTCAAATTAGATTAAGAGGAGAGAAATAGAATGCGTTATATGTGGTATTAGAGCAAATGGCACTTACTCAATTCCCATTAATTAGTGATTACTTAAAATATAAATACCTTTGAATAAAGTATATTCCTACCCCTAAATTTTAAATTGTCTTTCCTTTTGTGGAACATCTAGGGATAAAGGTATCTATTATGAGATTGTGGTACGAGTGGATGTTCCTACTCCTAAACTTGAAATTATCCTTCCTTTTGTGGAGCATCCACGAACAAAGTTATTCACCATGGGACTGTGGTAAAAAAATATCAATGTAATCTACTATAATATTTATGTATGCTTTAGTTTCATTCCTTAGCTCTATGTTTAGGAGTTTGGCTTTGTCCCTTCCTTTAGTGGCCTAAGGCCCTAAAATTTAAATTCCACTCTATTACTATTGCAAAGGTTTAAGTTCCATTTTATTATAATCCTATGGTAAATCACTATAGGGACAAAAGTGAAAACCACATGTGCTACAAAATTTAAGCACTCATCATTGTCATTTCATAAGTGATAGAATAGATATTGATCTCATTATAATGTCTTATGCATTTAAAGTTCATCAAATCCATAACCACATTCCAATAACTTCATATTGGGATTATACATAAACTTTATCTAGTAATAAAGGATATATTGGCAGCAATGGTGGTAATATAAATAGTTATAGCTCAAGTTATATTAATTCATACTCTAGTTAGCCAAATAGTATTTGGAGAACTAGGAGTATAGATAGATATAATAGTAGTGGTAGGATTAATAGTGGTGGTGGAGACAATGATTGGTAATTCTAGATTTAATTATGGTGGAATGATGGGAAATAGTGAAGCAATAAGTGGAATGAAGGAAGCTATAGTGTTAATTATAGAACTAGATAGTCTAAGAGAAAAGAGAATCTAGTTGTTTAGGTTATACTTTTTAATGGTTTGTCACAATAGTTAATTCTTTCCTCTAATAGCTTAGAAAAGAGGATTATAATGACTCATAAACGCTTTTAACAATATTCTATACAGCATTCCATAAAGGGTAAACTTTTTTTATCTTTCTTATCTTTTTATTGTTTGTGATGGTAAGTATTGATGTCTCCTCTACACAAAATATATTTACCATTTTCATGGACTAGTTGTGGTGTATGCTTATTACCAGAGTTCAAGATAAATTCTTTTACTTTTTCTTCATCACTTTGATTTAACAAATAAGTTTTGATTAATGGTTGAAAGGTCATATTGACCAAGTTAATAATTGATTCCAAAGTGACTCTTTTATGATATTCCCAATTATGTATCCACACTAGTGGCTTCCTTTTTTACCAATGAAGATACGTGTCATCTAAGTTAATGATGATAGCACTTAGCCAATATCCGTGTTACGAACACGGCCGGGATCCCGGCCGTGTTCACCGTGTTTCACAAACACGGCCATGGGTCGTGTTCCCACGGCTGTGTTCGTGAACAGTGGTCCGTGTTAGTAACACGGACCACTGTTCAGAATATTCTCGCGCGGAATATTCTGGTTTTAGGGCGCACGGCATCACATGACAATCCAGCCAGGGCGCACCATTTCAGGGCACAGCAGCAGCAATCCAAGGCAAACAAGCATGGCGCAGCAATCCAGCATACTGCGAAAGCATCCTTCTTCGCGATGGTGGGATGAGGTAAGTGTTCTTGAGAGCAGGGGGCATGGCCACAAATTATGGTCATGCAAATACTGCCCAATGGTGAACAAACTGAGTGGTGTTGATCGTGTGCGAGCTCATCTGTTAGGAGAAGGCCCAAGCAGCAAGGATATTGTGAGTTGTCCTCTCATCCCAGGTAACAAGAAAGCGGATCTGCTCAATATGCAAAAGGTTATTGATTCCGAGAAAGGGGCAAGGGGGAAGAAACGGCCGAATGAATCTGGTGGTGCTTCTATGAGAATGGATGGCAATGTCCAAGGATTTCCACCGGTGGTATCATCCCAGTCAAGTGGAAGTGGCTGCAGTTCCCTGTTTTTTAGCAAACAGAGTCAAGTCCATATTGTTGATTCGATGGATCCTGAGCGGAAGAACCGAGTTGATGTGGCTATCAAAAGATTTTTCTGGAATGAACACATTCCATTTGTCAAGGCTCGGTCACCTTACTTCCTCAATATGATACAGGAAGTTGCCAGGCATGGTGTGCCTTATGCACCACCAAAATATGATGATCTCCGGGATAAGCTTTTGGTGAAAGAGAAACGATTCATTGACATTGAGATGGCGTCCTTGAGGAAGCAGTGGGAGCAGAGGGGTGCAACCATATGCGCAGACGGGTGGGCAGATAGGAGGAATCGGCATATCATGGGGCTTGTGGCATATAGTCAAGGACGAGGAGCTTTTTTGAAGGCTATCGACATTTCCTTAACAGGAAAAACAGCTGAAAATACTCTGCGTTGCTGGGAAGAAGGCATTAACATTGTAGGTGCAGAGAACGTTGTCATGGTTGTGACCGATGGGGAAAATGCAAACAGAGCAGCAGCAGCACTTTTGCAACAGAGGTACCCGAAAATTCAATGTTTTGCCCATTGCTTGAACAATGCCTTGAAAGACTTCGGTGTACTTCCATGGATGGCAACACTTCTGGAGCGTGGAAAGTCTTTGGTGATCTTCGTTAGAAACCACTCTCATATAGTGGCACTGCTGGCGGAGTTTACTCACAAGCGATTGCTGCGTTATTGTGATACCAGGTTCGGCTACAACTTCATTATGATGGAGAGGCTGGTGGAGCTCCGAGAAGCTTTACAACAGATGTTCGTATGCCCTGCGTACAGAGCAAGGCCTAAGTCGAAGTCGAGAGCAGGAAGGGACAGTTATGCAACGGTTTTTGATGACAGTTTCTAGCAACAGGTTAAGGACATGCTAGAGGTGTCCAAGGATGTTATGCTGCTTCTTCGTGTTGTGGACGGTGATATACCTGCGATTGGAAAGATATATGAGTGCATGAACAGGTTGGATGCAAGTTTAGAGGAAGGACAGTCGGATTATGGCAGGTACAGGGAACTTCATCAGATCATGTCTAATAGGTGGCATGAGTATCACTCGCTCATGCACTCGGTGGCGTACATGTTGGACCCCGAGTTTCAGGAGTATGAAAAGCATGCTAACAGAGAGGTCATGAAGGACTGGAATGCTTATCTGCTGGCCATGTTTACATCCAGTGAGAGGGATGTGATACGTGATGAGCTTTTAACTTACCGGAGGATAGGAGGCATTTTCAACTCATATGATGCTAAGGCTGATCGCACTAAGAGGGGAGCTGTACGTTGGTGGGAGGATTATGGTTATGAAACTCCAGCTCTTCAGAAGTTGGCCATTCAAGTTCTAAGTCAGGCATGCTCGTTGTCCTCGGTGGAGAGATTGTTCAGTACTTTCGAGCATGTTTCTTCAAAAAAGAGGAACAGACTTACCATGGACAGGACAGCGGATCTGGTTTTTGTGGCTTGCAACACCAGGTTGTTAACCTGCAAAAATGATCGTGATTACGACAAGTTTGTAAGCTACAAAGTCCTGGAGACAGTTCCTCATCCTGAAGACGAGCTTGAGTCAGGACAGGAAGAGGAAGATGGAGATGATGTCGAAGATTGTGAGGTCGAAGATCATGAGGTTGAAGATGACGATGAGATGTAGGATATTTGAGTAGTTTAAAAGTGTGAAGTAGTTTATGTGCAAATAAAAATATTAAGAATAATATAATAAAATATAGCATATTCCTATAATAATATAATAAGAAATAGAATATAATTTTTAAATAACATATTCTTAGAATATTCAGTAGAATATTCGTGAGCCATCGTGGGCCGTGATCGTGTTCCGTGTTCGGGTTCCTGAAATCTGAGGCTCGTGTTCGTGTTCCGTGTTCGTGTTCGTAACTATGGCCAATATACCATGTTGTTTTAAAGAACTCCATATCCAAGACTTACTATTGTTTTAGTTTGCAATTGTGATTATGTATCATAAACTCATTATGCCAATCTATTTTTGAATAAAAAAGGAATTCTTATTCAAATGCATAACAAGAGTGTTTTTAACAATTTTTTTGGAATCAACTTCCATAAATGGCTTGAATGTTTTTTTACTATGGCATTTAAGGTTGAGGCAATGTTTTTTCTTTATCAACCATACTATCAAAAATATGTTATAGTTCCAATGATGCTATTAGTTTTTCATCATTAGAAATAATATTACTTTCCACCTCTTCTAAAACATCTACTTCGTCACTTATTATATTCATAACTTTTAGTGTTTTTGTTGTTTTTTTTATAATGCACCCTATTTCTCTCCCTTTAAACCAATTGGAAAGTGGGTAATTCAATAATAAAGTATTGTAGTGCACTCTATCTCTCTCCCCTTAAATCAACTAGAAAAGAAACAATAATAAGTATTGTAACGCACTCTGTCTCTCTCCCCTTAAATCAACTAGAAAATAAACAATGATAAAGTATTATAGTGCACCCTATCTTTTTTTTCTTAAGCCAACTAGAAAAGGGGCAATTTCTTGATGAAAGACTTCTTAATGGCTATTATATCCTCATTTATACCTTCATCCACATATATGCTACACTTATATCCTTATTGACTATTGACTAGATTTATTTTTTAAATAGCCATGAGAATTGAACTCATGCCATTTACTCCTATACCGTATGTAACATGCTTTATATTTCTCCCTTTAAACCAATTGAAAAAAAGGTAATTGCTTAATGAGAAAACCCTTAATAATTATTTTATCTTTATTTATCCCCTAAGGTTCCAAGTGACAGTATATACAAATTTCATCTTATAATCACATATGCTACAAATATTCAGTTGATGACTAGTAGATGCAAGCACTCTTAAACTTCTAATAACACCACCTTTATTATCAAACTTCACTTAGTAAGTAACTTATATTATAAAATCATTTTCCATAGGAATTGAAGCACACTTCAAGTATATTAGATTTGCAAAGCCTTCATGGTTAACTCAAATGCATGATTTATGATAAAAAATACTTTTAATCTTAACTTCCTTCCCAAGATAGATCACAATTTGTTAAGTTTCCAACTTAGCAAACTAATTCACTTCTAACTTATCTTGTAGAAATGGCTTTAAGCTCACAAGCATTTTGTGATACTTATATGTTAGAAAATGATATCCCCAACATAATCATGACATTATTTCAATCCCTAGAAATACACACATAAAAACTATTTATATCACAACATTAAGAATGCATTCTGTCTTACTATATTCTTTTTAAAATGTTTTGAAGAACCAATCAATCATCTATTGTTAGAAAGAATTTAGCAATATTTGGCTGTCATGCATTAATAGTAGCAAGATTGAAAACATCTAAATCACTAATTTTTCATTTTGCCTTGCCATCAGTAGTGTTTTTCATGATTGCTTCTACATAGCCTTTGGAGACAAGATGTTACTCTATATTTTGAGTGTAAGAGCCTAAAAAAATAATTGAATTTAAAATGAACATAATGCTAAAAAAAAAAAAAACAATTCACCTTGTCATGGAAAGAGTTTGGTTACATAGAATCTTCATACTTTCTAAATTGTTAAACTTACAACCCGGCAAAAGAACAGTTTAACTCCTTGCAAATGTTAACAACTTTCTCCATCATCCATGAGTTGTTGGTTTATGGAGGGTAAAAGAACTTAATCACTGCCAACTAAAAGAGTGGTTATGGCACATAAGGCACATAACGTAGACATTGAGCACCCACCTCTCAAAACCAAACGAATGCTCTATAGGTCAAAGGACCATACTGCCTCTTTTTATCCACACTTGCAGTGTGAGAAGAGGGGATAAGAAGCTACCTAAATTGGAAAACCATAAGCGATTCCAATTCCCAGTGTATCTCAAACCGCAATGCGTCTTTGGATAAAACAAAATTCCACCACCTTGTTTGCCACATCCAAACCTTCTGAGCTTGCAGCTCGAAGTGGAGGATCGCCTAGTGTGGACGAGTTCTGGTGGCCTCAGAGGTGCCACTACCGGATTCTTGCTTGCTTGGACATAGCCGCGATTGCGGCTTTGGCTCCGCCTTACACTGCTCTCAATCGTGTTACTCGCTTCTCTCTAGGAAAGAAAGGTTACCTCTAACTCGTGTAGTTTTGTCTTTTGCAGAGTGTCTTCCATCTTGCTGCTGCTCAACATTACGGTCAAAACGATTTTCAACAAAACAAAATCCAAACCTTACCTCTGAGTCGATATTAATCGTTCTCAATCACGCGAAAGCTTGCATGTTTGACAGAAGCACGTACACAGCCGAGTCTCCCATGTCTCCGGAACTCAAAACGCTCGTCACGGCTTTCTTCCCGTGCCTGACATCGTTCCGGCCTCTACAAGCTCCCAGCAAGGACTTCCACTCGACACCATCCGGCACAAACGGCATGTCCGCGATGAGCTCTGTCGCCTCCACCAAGTGCCCGGCTCGAGCAAGTATGTCCACCATGCACGAAAAATGGTGCTTGGAAGGCTCGATCCCATAGTCCATGATCATCGAGAGAAACCACTGCCTCGCATCGTAGACTTTCCCTGCGTGGCTGCTCGCAACGAGCACCGAGACGAAACAAACATCGTCCAAGGCGTGAGCGAGCTTCATCGAGTGGAATATCTCGAATGCCTCGTCGGGAAGTCCGTTTTGAGCGTAGGCCGCAAGCATCGCCGTCCAGGACACCGAGTTTCGATCCAGCATTGCCTCGAACATTCTTCTGGCAGTGACGAGATCTCCTGCTTGGAAGTAAGCCGCGAGGATCGAAGTCCAGGAGAAGGAGTCTCGCTCCGGCATGGCATCAAAGAGCTCCTTTGATTCTTCCACCAGGCCGTGACGAACGTAAGCTCCCAGGATGGAGTTCCAGGCCACGAGGTTCTTCTGTGGAAGCGTATCAAACATAAACTTTGCTTCCTCGAGGTGGCCTTGCTGAGAGAAAGCACTGATGAGCGTGGTGACGAGCACCAGATCTTGCTCGGGCATCGACCAGTAGAGCGCTCTCGCTTGATCAAACCGGCCCTTTTCGATGCTGCAAGTGATCATCAAGCTCCAGGAAGCCAAGTCCTGCTCGGGCATGCGATGGAAAACCTCCATAGCTTCGTCCAATCGCCCTTCCTTCGCAAACGCAGCAGCGAGGACGTTCCAAGACACCATGTCCCACTCGGGAATCGAAGAGAAGAAGTTTTCCACCTCCTCGCAGTTCCTGTTTTGTGCAAAAGAAGTCAAGAGTGAGTTCCAAGAAACCAAGTTGTGCAAAGGCATTCGATCAAATACCTCTTTTGATGACGCAAACTCCCCATTCCGGGCAAATGCTGTGATCATCGCTGTCCACGAGACAACGTTCTTCTCTTTGATCATAGAAAATATCCTTTTCGATTCTCCAAGACTAGCAAGCTCCGAGTATGCAACCAGAATAGCGGTGCACGAAACAGTGTCCCAAAAAGGCATAGAATCAAACACCCTTGTCGATTCCTCCAGATGCCCATTCTGGGCATATGCTTCCAGCATCGCGGTCCAGCAAAGAACATCCTTCTCGATCGCGAGAGTGAAAATCTCCTCCGCCTTGTGAAGATCTCCACTCTGCCCATACGAAACGATCATCACCGTGCAAGCCACCGAGCTCCTCACCGGCATTGCGTCCCAGAGCTCCCTCGCTCGATTGATCCCGCCATTGCGGATGTAGGCCACAATCATGAGATTCCATGAGAAGAGATCGAGATTTCTGGAGCCGTGGAGGGCGTCGAAGACCCGGCGCGCGTCGCTGGAGCTGCCGCATCGCCCATACATCTCGATCAGCTTGTTGAGAAGGAAGACATCGTCGTCGCGGACGAGGTCGCGAATGCGGGAGTGGAGCGTCGACGCCGCGGAGAGCTTGGTGCACGATTGAATCGCCCGGAGTGTTTGATTTCTCCCCTCGATCATAGAATACCCAAGAACCCTAAAAGTTTGAAAAGGGGTAAAAAGGAACAAGAGCCCTAAACTTTGAAAGGGAGAAAGGGGGCAAAAGAAATATTCCTTTTAGGTCTAGCGCCTTAGGGTTTTTCCAGGGTTTGGGCGACGATGAAGGTGAGAGTGATCTCTCGATCGGAGGAGGCGTTCACTCGCGAGCGATCCCAGGATGTCACCAAGGTATTCCGCAACCTCGATCCCCGCCTCCACCCGATGGAGCGCGCCCAGGAGTACACGCGCGCGCTCAATGCCGTCAAGCTCGACAAGATCTTCGCCAAGCCCTTCATCGGCGCGCTCTCGGATCACAGGGACGGCGTCTCGTGCATGGCCAAGAATCCCAGCCGCCTCAATTGCCTCGTCTCGGGCGCCATGGATGGAGATGTCCGCCTCTGGGATCTCGCCTATCGCAAGACCGTGGCAGAGTTTCCAGGCCACAATGGGGCCGTGAGAGGGGTCTCCATTTCCAGCGATGGAGATTTCCTGGTTACCTGTGGAGACGATTGCACTGCTCGGCTCTGGGAGCTTCCAGCGGCGGAGATTGGAGAGGTCTCGGGTGGCGTGAAGCACTGCGAACCTGTGATGGTTTTCCAGGACAAGAACTCTTTCCGAGCAGTGGATCACCAGTGGGAGAAGAAAGTCTTTGCTACTGCTGGAGCCAACGTTTCGGTGTGGGACTATAACAGGTCCGAAGCAATGACGAGCTTTTCCTGGGGATCCGAGACAGTGGTATCGGTGAAGTTTGATCCGGCCGAGCCGGACGTGTTCGTCACCACGGGGAGTGATCGAAGCATCTGCCTCTACGACTTGAGGATGAACACTCCACTGCGGAAGCTTGTCATGCAGACTAGAACGAACGCGGTTGCTTGGAATCCTCGCGAGCCTTTCAACTTCACGGCCGCCAACGAGGACTGCAACTGCTACACTTACGACATGAGGAAGCTCAAGTTTGCGAAGTGTATCCACAAGGATCACGTCTCGGCGGTGATGGACGTGGATTTCTCCCCGACTGGGAGGGAGTTTGTGACGGGGTCTTACGACAGGACGGTGAGGATTTTCTCCTACAATGGTGGCCACAGCAGGGAGATTTACCACACGAAGCGCATGCAACGTGTTTTCAGCGTCAGGTTCAGTGGGGACGCGACGTACGTGATGTCCGGCAGCGATGACACCAACATCCGTCTGTGGAAGGCCAAAGCATCGGAGCAGCTCGGCGTGCTACTTCCGAGAGAAAGGGCCAAGCACGAATACCTTGACGCCGTGAAGCAGCGGTACAAACATTTGGACGAAGTCAAGAGGATTGACAGGCACAGGCAGCTTCCTAAGGCGGTTTTTAAGGCGAAGAAGTTGAGGCAGGAAATGACCGAGGCGGCCAGAAAGAAGGAGAGCAGGAAGAGAGCACACAGTGCTCCCGGGAGTATGCCTCGTGAGGCAGCGAGAAAGAAGAGGATCGTAGCGGAGCTGGAGTAGTTTGGCATGCAAGTTTCAGTTCAGTTTACTAGGTGGTTTGAGCGTCACTCGACAGGCAGCAAAAGTCCAGGGAACAGCTTTCATCTCCAGTCAGAAAGTTTTACGGATCTGGTCTGTAGAGCTTGAGGAGATTCGCCATCCTTTTCACAGGGGATTCGCTTCAAGTTGGAAGAGAATCCAGGAGGTGCTTCCAGGCTGCTGCAGGCTTCAATGAGTGAGGACTTATGATTGGTCTTTGGGATCGTGCGTAAAAGTCTCGAGGTGGCGATTTTCTTAAGTCGGGGAATTCGCTTTCTTTAAGCGGTGAGCACCGATTCGTATCCAAAGAGACAATCGAGTACGTACCGAGTGGTGGGGGCTGAGGCCTGTGCACGACAAGTTATCTGGGATTTAATTACGACAGCAAAGAGGAGGTGCAAAACATGTCACAGTCGCAGCTCGCGCGTCAACTGCACTCATGTGGCAAGTGGATATTAGTTTTCTCTCCAGTCGCAAGACTCGAAGAGCTGGGAAATCATCTCACAGTCAGAGCTCCAGGGGATGGGAAAAATGGACGAAGAAAAAAGGAGATTTTGCGTGCTCGATGCGCACGATCCCACGAGAAGTTGAGAAGTTGAAGCCGGTAATGGAGGTGGATGGTCGTTGTGACGATATCAGATAGATAAATAGTACGGAACGTGCCGGGGCGGCGGCGGCGGCGCCAAGAGCTGAGATGGAAGTCACGAAAATGGCTTCTGGAAGAATCGGAGTATTTAAGGAGGGTGGAAGCTCGCAGCTCTCAGAGATCCTCTTATCCGGAGGCAGTGGCAGCAGTAGCAGCAAAGGAAGGAAGATGGACTTCTTTTCGGCAGTTTTTCTTCCGGCTGCGCTGCTATTGTTCGTGGCTCTCAATCTCGCAGCTGCGCAACAATGGAGCAATGCTCATGCTACATTCTACGGGGGCAGCGATGCCTCGGGAACAATGGGTATGGCGAAGTGAAGTTCCTTTTGCGATTAGTTTTTGCTGACAAAAGTGGTCTTTTGTTTCTTGAAGGTGGTGCTTGCGGCTATGGAAACGTGCTTAGTGCTGGCTATGGAGTCAACACCGCGGCGTTGAGCACCGCCTTGTTCAATGGGGGAGCTACCTGCGGAGCTTGCTTCCAGATGCAGTGCGTCAACTCGAGATGGTGTCGTCCCGGAAAGTCGGTCACCGTCACCGCCACGAACTTTTGCCCCCCGAACAACGCCCTCTCAAGCGACAATGGAGGCTGGTGCAACACACCCAGGGAGCACTTCGATCTCTCCCAGCCAGTCTGGGAGCAAATGGCCATTTACCAAGGAGGGATCGTCCCAGTTCAGTACAGAAGGTACACGCAAAAGCTTCCTTTTCCCTGTTTGTTTTTTCTCCAGGACTTTGATTTTGATGACGGAATTGATGATGTGGTGATGGTCTATCAGGGTCAAGTGCTACAAGCAAGGTGGGATCATCTTCACCATGAACGGTAACCCAAACTTCAACTTGGTTCTCATAAAAAACGTTGCCGGATGGGGGGATTTGAGAGCCGTGTCGATCAAAGGCTCCAACACCGGCTGGCTCCCAATGAAGAGGAACTGGGGATCGAATTGGGAATACCATGGAGTTCTAGTCGGCCAGTCCCTCTCCTTTCTGCTCACACCCAGCATGGGAGGATCTCTCATCTCGTACGATGTTTTTCCTCGCAACTGGCAGTTTGGACAGTCCTACTCGGGCCGGCAATTCAGCTAAAACGAAGAGCCTTGCAGAACAAACGAAGAATAAGCGAGGACTTTTCTTAGTTGTGGGAGCGCTGCTCGAACTTTTCTCACGCGGAAAGAGTCTTCCAAACTCTCAGCTTTGCTGCGGTGCTTCAGGGGTACCCGCCACTGAGACTCCATGTTGATAGCAGTTGGATTTGATAAAAAAAAAAAAACAATGGCCATCACAGCAAGATTATAGACAAAGTTTTGCCATGGTAGAAACATAATATGCATTGCATGGAGAAAAGGACCACTTGGCAATTGCTAGCATGCATAGTTTAGGTATATATAGGGTCTCAAGCCTCCAGCAATTAATCACCAATCCAATAGGCTCAATCAAGCTCGCTGTGATTACTCTCACCATGAAGGCTGCTTTAGTGTTCGTAGTGTTTGCAGTGGTTACTTTCCAGATTGCATTTTCTTCTTCTTCTTCAAGTAGTTTAGATGAAGTTGAGGTCTATGGGGTTTCAGCAGCTGTGGAGCCAGCGTCTAATTCTTCACTTGTGAATCCTTCAGAGATGGATGATTGGGAGCAAAGTGGTGATGGCCAAATCAAGCACAAGAGGAAGAGCAACAACAACAACAACAACATCAACATTAATATCAATATTTTCTGCAAGAACAAGTCTATGGATGGTGATCACGAGGAGGAGGAGGATGACAAGAAATCCATGGATCACGAACACAAAGATGAGAAGGAGCAGGATGATAAAACTATGGATGGTGATCACAAGGGGGAGGAGGACAAGAAGTCCATGGATCAAGACAAGAAAAAGTCTTTTCCATAGACAATGTAGGAGTCTCAAAGCACCAATAAAATCATGAAGCATTCATATAGTTATTGAGAGAATGCATAAGCCCTAGTTGGAAGATTTTCTAGGGTTTAAGCGAGGGGCAATGGCGCTGCGCGGCGTCTGGCAGCTCAAGAAGCTCCTGGTCCACTACTGCAAGCGATCCGGCGGCTCGCGAGGCGCGAGGTACTGACGATGACGATGACCGCGGTTGCAAGCGCCTACATTCGTTTTCTCTAGGGATTTCGTGGAGACGCTCCTGCCGCGCTTCGCCAAGGCGAATCCACAGATCGAAATCGAGGCGAAGTGGCGCCCTCACCAGGATCCTTATCTCGAGGCATTCTTTCGTGAGTGTTTTAGAGCTCTACAAGTGGTTTTTACTCCTCTTTTATATTCTTGTTGTGTTCTTCATGTTCTTCCGGGTGTGTTCTCAGCTTGTCTGTGTTTACGTGCATCCACTCTTTTGGCTTATCTTTTTCTGTTCTCTTATATTTTTCTTTGTGTTTCTCATGTGTTCTCATCTCCTCTTTCATCTTTGCCTACATTGCTTTCTTTGCATCTCTGCGTTTCTCATTTCGGTTTTCTCTGTTTCGAGCAGTGAACAAAAGGGAGAGGACGATTGGTCTCAGGAACTTAAGCGCCGAGGATTGCCTGGTTCAAGCCAAGAGGCTGCGCAACCTGGTTGGGCGGAGACCGATCAAGAGGAGAACGAGAGAGATCTCCACAAGAAAGAGCATTCAAGGGAGATGGACTCCCTTCCTCAAAATAACGTGATTTTTACGTGGAGGTAAACTCGAAAGTCCTGTTTTTCCTCTTTTATAATTTCCAAACCACGGTAATTTGTTCCTAAGATGGTTTCAAGGTGTTTGAAGCTGTGGAAGAATCGATGCAGGACGACGAGGACTATTACAAGATCAAGCTTAGTGAAGAACATCTTTGAGACGGAGTTGGGAAAAGCTGTGTAGCTCCCAACATCAAGCCGATTTGCTTACCTCTTGACAAAGATCTTTGTTGGTACTTTTGATATTTCCAGCCCTAGAATCTCGACTGCGTTGATCTCAGAGATGGTAGCAATAAACGCTGAACACAAAGAAAATATTGCCAGAGTTTTCTCTATTAACAAAAGAAGATCATGATGGCTGAACACAAAGAAAATATTGCCAGAGTTTTCTCTATTAACAAAAGAAGATCATGAAGACCTTCAGACTGTTATTTCGCTTATTAATGAGATTCGGCTCGTATTGGTGTCAAACAAGCTCTAGGCGGTCTTGGGTGGTGGTAGTGGCACAGCTATGGTTTCCAGCTCTCGTTCTTCAAGCAAAGGTGATAGTGGGCTTGGATTTTGGGACTAGTTTTCTACTCCCATCTGGCCAGTTGTGGAAGCGTCGCACACCATCCGGATGAGAGTGATGCACGAATGAGAGGTGCCAAACATGAAGGTGCCAGTTCTGGGGGACTGGGAGGAGGAACTTATGTTGACAAGAAATTTCTCGACTTACTGATCAGAAAGATTGGGTGTCTAGAGAACATCATCAGATGGTGGCTGGGATCGCTTGGAAAGAGTAGTTTCAATGGAACTGGTGTCAAACTGTTTGAGCTTCTATGGAAGCTATTTGATGGGCAGCTGGGATGCATAGAGGGTCATGGTGAGAAGTATTATGAGGAGATCCACCCTTGACACCGAGGTGGAGAAGGTTGCCTCTCATGACACGATGATCAAGCATGTCTTTTTGGGTGGCGGATTTTCAGAGAGCCTCGTGATAAAGATCATGGAGGAGTACCAGAGTAATGCTGACGTGACAAGAGAGGTGATCTCTCCTCCATCACCAGATGTTGCCATTTGCAAAGGAGCAGTGTGTTAGAGGTATAGATGATGTGGCATGTAATTATGCCCATGTGGTAGTAATTTCTATGTATATGTATTTGTCCATATATTATAGTTGAAATACACAAAGAATTTTTCCTCCTTGTGCACATCTCTCCACTATTAACATAGTATCAAAGCAATTAACTCCTTGATTCTGAGAATGACACTTGCTAGGTATAAGGCCAATAACAAGGAAAATGAGCTTTTGCACTAGCGCAGTAGCAAAGTCAATGGGGGTTAAGAAATTTTAACATAACCTTATTAAGCTATATGTATATTATAATATTTATAGAGTGTATGGGATATAGAAAGGGAATATAGAAAATGTGCATATCAATTAACTTAAAAACCCTAACTTATATATAAGAACAAATGGTCCAGATTGAAACCAATCTAACAGTTACTAAAATCCCACTATGCTATTATTAATATATGGTATCATAGCCATATACTTAAACATTACATCATCCCCTCCTCTTGAAATAATGGAAAACCATCAGAGTTCTCTTATAGATAGGCTGGGATTTGGAGGAACATCAAGAGGAGGCATTAGTGGATTTGTAGGCGGTGTTAGTTGTTTCTGATACCTTTGTAAGAAGTGTTTTAATCATTGCACATGCATAATTTATAAAGAATTGGTTTGCTAGATATCATACCAAACCTCATAAATTTGCAATCCAACTTGCCGTAACACCTAATATGGTCCTTTGCTTTGAGCAAGAAGCCCTTTAGATAAACCAAGATGGGGAAAATAAATTAACACTCAGTCATCCACTTTGTACTCCACCAGTGAACGATGATGGGAGTTATAATGCCATGGTTGTCCCATTTATAGATGGCTCAGGTGTTCGGCAAACTCTACTTAGACAAGTGGAAGAATACTCATCAAATATATACTTGATCTTACGACCTAACATCGGTAGCTCGTGGCAATTATGAAGATAAACTTAAATGACCATATAGAAGTTTATATAGCGAAGCATCAATAGAACTCATGATCATCCTTTTGAATCCCTTCGCGATCATCCCTTTGATTATCCCTTTGAATCCTTTCGCAATCATCCCTTTGAATGTCCAATGAGCCATTCCACCAAATTGTTTGAATGTGGGTGATAAGCACTAGTGAAAGTGTGGTATATCCCCAACCGAGATGTCAAAATATGAAATACCTCAGCTATAAATGCAAGGTCATTATCCCATTCCAGACAAGAATACTGAAATACCACTTAATTGAGGAGGAAATATCTAATAGCAATTGCAGAAGCACTAGCAAAAGCACCAACCTCTACCCAATGAGTCAAGTAGTCAGAAACAATAATAACATATTCATTGCTAATAATCAATTGTGGAAAAGGTCCCATAAGATTAAATACCACGAACTCAAATGAACGAGGAATTGCAATTGACTCCAACTGTCTTTTTGCAGCACGAGGGGGAATATTATGAGTTTGGCACTAAATACAGTTACACACATATTGGATAGTATTACATTGCATTTCCAACAAATAGAAAGATTTGCACAGCTTCTTGGTCACACAACAATATCCTATATACTCACATAAAATAGGAGAATCATGGTAAGCATAGAGAAACCATAGAATAAAGATTGAAAGCATCATTAGCCATAAATGATCACCAGGATTTATCCCCACAAAATAAAGAAAATCATCTTCAATGTGATATTGAAAATATAAATGCTAGAATGGCAAATCATCAACAAGTGATGCAAAATTCTAAAACCCATCTTGAATTTTTTGAATCCATGGCTCAATTTTTTGAACCTTATGAACTTCATCAAAAGAAGGTAAATTTTGCTCTACACTTTAAGCACACTGAACATCAAGTACAACAACCGCAGATGGCATAGAATTTTTATTTAGAAAATTCATTGATGCTGGACCAACAGGCTTGTAAAAAACATAAGAAGAGAGCAAAGAGGGAAGAAGAGCCTAAGAAAGGGCATCAGCATCAACCATAGAACTCCTTGGGTGATAAATAATATCAAAATTATATATTTAAAGCCTCAAAACCCACTGAGCAATATGACTAACTAGGTTCTTCCGCTTCAATAATGAAATAACAGCAATATGATCACCTTCTAGTAATGTTTAAGAACCATGTAGATATGTATGAAGTTTCTCGAAACCCTAGACTACTCCTAAACACTCCTCTATCATGGAGTAGTTTGCCTCTATTGGTTGTAATGTACGGTTTATATATGTAATGGGATGGTGTTATCCAGGCACACTCAGGTTCCCTTGCATTAATACACTTCCAAGATTAATATCAAGAGTATCCACGTGCAAAATGAAAGGTCGAGTGTAATTAAAATATGCTAAAACCGGAGGAGTTGTCAATAGCTTCTTGAGATCTATAAATGCCCGCTCATAGTCTACAGACCAGATGAAAGATGACATTGATGACTTCAACAATGCTCACAACGGTGCAGTGCGATCAAAAAGATGATCCACAAAATGACAAAGATATTGCACTTTGCTTAAGAAGCACTATACATCATTCACACACTTTAGAGTAGGAAACTTAAGAACAGCCACAAGTTTGTTAAAATCAACTTGTAAACCCTTACTAAAAATATGGTACCAAGATAACTTGTGTCCTTGGACCCAAACACACACTTTGACCGTTTTAGCTTTAAACCAACTTCTTGTAACCAATTTAACACTTTATGAACATTATAGATGTGTTCTTCCCACATCTCTTCCAAATGGATCAAGTCATCATCAATGAAGTCAACAGTCACCTTTAGCATATCACAAAGAACTTTATCCATTATTCGCTGGAAAGTTGCTGAAGCATTGTTCAAACTAAATGACATCATCAAAAACTCATACAAACCAAACGATGTATGAAAAGTAGTTTTAGGAATATCTTCTTTAGCCATTGATACTTACTAATACCCAAAAGCAAGATCTAGTTTAGTGAATCAGCGACTTCTCCCTAAATGATTTAAGAGATCAACAGTATAAGGAAAAGGGTATATATCTGAGATTGTCACTTCGTTTAACAGATAATAGTCGATGTAAAAATGAATACTCTCATTAGGCTTTATCATAAGATAAGGTTTATATACTCAAGGACTTCACAATTTTTGAATAACACCCTTCTCTAACATTTCTTCACAAGATGAAGTTTATATGCTCAAGGACTTCGTGATTTTCGAATAACACCCTTCTCTAACATTTCTTTGATATTTGCACGTAAAATTTTGATCTCTTTAGGTGACCGATGACAAATAGGAACCTTGATTAGATGAGCATCCTCAATTGGAATCAAATGATGTGTGGCAATCTTGGCCCCAAATGATAGATCAAATTCAAAGAGATTGGCATATTCCTTCATGAGCTGGTCAACCACTACAACACAAAGACTGTCAAAGGGATCGAAAAGGGGAAGAGTGGAACAAAATAAAAAAACAAAAGGAAGTAATGGGGAAACAAAAGTAATGAAAGCAAAAGTAGAAGCAAAGTGACAAAAAGGTATGGAAGTGAGAGGAATGAATGAAATATAAAAAAGTATGAGATAAAGGGGAGAAGCTTCAAAGTCACATTTAACATGATTGTACTGCAACTAATACATACCAAAAATAAAGTCAAAAGCTTAACTCAGTACCACCGGTAATGATTGCAACTCAAGTTCGAAATCTCCCATACGCACCACTAAGTCCATGTAAACTCTTGAATTTGGACTTCCCAGGAGGTCATCCAGCCCAATACTAATCAAACCCAAGGATATTTAACTCTAACTATCCCAAAACCCTTAACCGATTGGAAAAGAGGGTGCACTTTTGTTTATGGGCCCTTTCCCTTTATATTTGAACCTCTATGGATCGTCTTTTGAGTCGTTCCCTTTGGTTGCTTATAATCCACCACACTTCCCTGCAAGTTCACACCCTCATGAACGGAAGCTGAGAGCTGTAGCTCTTCCGAGAACCCCGCTCTCTTGACACCCGACCCCTCAGATCGAGCCCAGTGGGAGTAAATTGGACCAGTTGAGAGCCGTAGCTCTCCCAAGAGCCCCGCTCGGTGCAATCTTGTTCATGGACCCTTTCACAAGTTCACACCCTTGTGAACGGAAGCTGAGAGCCGCAGCTCTCCCAAGAGCCCCACTCTCTTGACACCCTACCCCTCAGCCTAGTGGGAGCAAATTGGACCAGCCAGATGTCAATCAACATGTGGTGTGATTCCCCTAGCCAACCAACAAAGTCGGAT